CTCCGGCCGAGAAACCATCGGCCATTCATCCGCCGACCAACCGGCCGACCGTGAAACATCCGGCCACGACCGTTCCGACTCGGCCCAAGACCCGACTGTCCGGCCGATCGTCCCGACCGACCGTCCGAACGCCGCGGTCGACCCGAAGCCGTTTTTGAAGCCCAATCCGCACAATTCAAGCCCAAAGCCGGCGCCGACCTAGCAAGATTAGGTCTAGCCGCTTTTTCATACTTAGTGCATTATAAATACTTCTTTTTAGCCTTGTAACTCAAGAAGGAGAGAGACCACAATTATATTTACATCTTTAATAAAGTTTTGCTTGCTTTTACTTTGTTCTTGCTTGTTCTCTTTCTAGAGAGGATTCGAATCTCTGTTCTTATGAATATGAATTCGTGTTCCTTCTCTATGTCTGAGTAGTTTACTTGTTAAGTGATAGGAAGTCAAAGGATAGCATTCATGTATGCTTGATGATTGATCACAATTAGGGTTTTACTTATAATCTCCATCTTTGCTTATACTTAATGCTTGTTGTTAATCTGGCCAATTAGCATATGCTTTAGGTTGATTTGAGCCTCGACAGTGCTGTATCATTCGCCTGAACTAGTATTTGGTGGGCAACTCTTTTAGACTGCGAAAGTTGATTTACTTGTAGGTTGTGAACAATTGAACTTATCGAACTAATGCTTGATTTAATCACCTAGGGACATACCAAAAGTTTAGCGACTAGGTAGATTAACAAAGGGGTCGGAGCCTCGACAGTGGAATGATCATACCATAGTGTTTCAAGTTCTAGATTAGCACCTAATTGCAGTAACCCTAATTGATTGATTTCATGCTTCTTGAATTGCTTATCTTAAGACTATCCTATTGCTTAGCCCTTTCTCTCCTATTGATTCTCACTTTTATTACTTGCATGCCTTTACTTTCTCTGCACTCAACCAACTTATACTTTTGCCCTAGCTCGATCTCAACTCATAGCTTGTAGTGTGCAATCTGGTCCTCGTGTTCGATACCCGTTTACTACTTCTGACCTGTGCACTTGCAGAATCAGGGATAGGAAAGGGGAAGACCTGATCCCGCGATCAAGTTTTTGGCGCCGTTGCCGGGGACCAATTCGCACCTACAAGTTCTTGCAAGAGAGCTAGTCTAGGGTTTTATCTTTTCCTTTTTAGTTTTGTTATTTTCCTTTTTTCTTTGATTTGTTTTTCCTTTTTGTTTTTGTTTTTAGCTTTTCAGGTTTTCCTAGTTAGATATGGAGAAGGAGCCACAAGCCTCTTCCCCTATAAAGGCGATTCCACTTCGCCACATACCACCTCAAAGAAACCTCTTGGAGCGAACAAGAGATGTCAAGCCCTCAAGCACCACCACCTTCTTGGGATAGTCCTCCAAAACTATCCTCTTGAAGACAAAGAAGAAACTTCTTCCCTACCTTGAAGCAGCCGACCTGGAGACGTCTAGCCAAGCCGCATCTTACAGAGAAGAACACCTTCTAGCCACACCAGAAGAGGAGATTGACCCTGAGCTGATCGAGTTCGTGAAGAGAGATCAATTCCATGATCTGTTTTCAGAGTATGCGCTGGAGCACATAGATCACTTTGATAATCTTTGTGATTCCTATGGAGTTTTTGACTTTGAGAAGAAGATGATGCTATTCAGCACATCACTAGCTGGACCAGCACTAGATTGGGCGCAGCATGAGCCACTCTCTACAATCGAGTCATGGATCGATTTTAGAGAAGCTTTCTTGAAGAGATTTGCAAGGACCACCTTTCAAATCCAAGTACACACTACTCTCATCAGCTGGAGAGAGAGCGTGAAGAAGAAGAATGGGGAGGCATACCACCCCATCCTGAAGTGAATGAAGAGCTAATCAAGCATGTGGAGAGGAAACCCTTTCTACAATTCTACTTCAGAGTGTGCAAAGGAGCATCTATGCAACTTTGAGCAGCTTTGCCGACTATGGACTTGGAGACAACCCCAAGAAGATACAACTTTTCCAACTATCTCTAGCTGGACAAGCCAAAGACTGGGCTAAGTTCAATGCCCAACATGCTTTCAAGACTTGGAATGGATACAAAGGAGCTTTCCTCACAGATTTGCTAAAGGTCCTATTTATGTCCCACCACCACGCCCAAGCTATTCACAACACCATCCATCATCACCAGACATAAACAAGACACCACTTTTCCCAAGGGAGAGCTACCAAGCTGCGCGCCAAACCAAGATTGAAGATATGCTTCAAGAGTACTTGAGAAATCAAGAAGAGAGTACAAAGAAGATGGAGAGAAGAATCGATTTCATCCATGAGAGCCTTGGAAACAAATCTGAAGTCCTATTCAAGCAAGTGATCAAGCTTGATGAAGACATTAAGAAGTTAAGAGAGGATCATGATCGATCTTTGACCCTAGTTAAGCTTGATGTTGCTTCCAAATATCAAGAGTTGCTGAACAAGAGCATGAGAATTGAAGATACTAGCTATGGCAATAGCAAACATCTTGGATCAATCTACAACCGCCTACAAGCCCTTGAAGGATCATCTCATGCCAATTACAAGAGAGAGAGGAGTCCAACACCCAACCACCCTCCCTTTTATTGCAATGCCATCACAAGAAGAAGCACTACTCAAGTCCATGAGGACAATGAAGAAGAAGAAAGAGAGTATGAGGAACAATTGAATGATGAAGATGAAGAGCAGAGCATCGACATCAATGCTTCCCCAAAACAGAGCATGGATACACCTAGCCCTAAGACCCTCGTTTCTCACCAAGAAGTCAAGCTTCTACACTTCCAAGACTGGAAGCAATGCAAAGACCATCACCATCTACTGAAGAAGAAGATACTTGGCAGTATGATCCCATTGATCCCAACAAGATAAGCCCCATGAAGCTTAAAGAGTTCAATGCTAAGGTGAAATCACTTCCATTCTATGTCACTTTTGAAGAAGCTTGGGATAAACATGGTCTAGTGGAGTTCTTTTTCACAACTAGTGAAAACAAAGAAGAGATACTGATGTACTTGCATTTTACATAGTTTTAGCACATCTTTTATGCATCTTTTGCATAGTTTTAGCTTTCATTTGCATCATATCTTGTTCCTTTTCTCTTCTTATGCATTCATGTTAGTTTTAGGTTGCATTTGCATACATATGCATGTTTGGTCCTTTGAAATAGGTCTTTTGGAGCATTCTGGAGCATATGGGACACAAGGAGCATGGAGGGACTTGGCACATGGAAGCAGCTCAACTGGATACGCAAAGGAAGAAGGGAGAAGCCATCTTGAAGACCAGCTCGACCGTCTACTCGACCAACCGGTCGAGTTCCTCAACTCGACGAGCTGGGGAGTCAAAGTCAAACCCGAAAAATGTTGCTTCCCCCTTGACTTCCTTTGACCCTAAACCTAATCCTCTTGTATTTAAAGGCTCTAGCCACGAAAAAACCACCAAGCTTTAGATTATTTTGTTTTAGTTTCTTTTAATTTATTGTCTTTTACTTTTTAGAGATCTAATCCATCTTTGTGTTCTTGAAGCTCTTGCTTCTTGAATCTTAGATCCTGGATAATCTCTCTTGTATTTGCACTTGCTTATTTCAATAAAAGTTGTTTAATTTCATCTCCTCTTTCTTATGATGTCTCTTTTATTGCATTTGCTTGTGTTTACATTCATGTGTAGTGAGTAGTTACCCATTGGGGTTTGAGATGGGATAGATTAGAGGTTTCATATGCTTAATCCTTCTAGCTTATGGTCTTAATCTAGATTCTCTCTCTTTTGGATAGATCTTAAGGCTACATGACCACTACCCCTGGCTTGTAAGTCCTTAGGCGACTCCCCACACGAAAGTGATGGCATTCGCTGGAAAAGATCCACTAAGAGCTCCAATATCTCTTGCTCTAGACATAGAGGTCTAAGGGGTTGGATGGATTAGTTTGGGCAATGATCCTATAGCCTCCAAGGTTTGATTCTCACTGGCTAACCCCCTGTTTCTGAGATCATTCCTTGGTTGATAGCCTCCACCTTGGGAAAGGGTTGGCTAGGCATTGAGAAGCCCAATATCAAGAGAAGCCTTGATACAAGGAGTTTTAAGAGCTAGATTGATTAAGTGTAGATTCCTTTGATTGCAAAACCCTGTCTTGAACCCTAATTCTCTCTTTATCTTGTTAAAGTCGTCACCTTTAGCTTTCTTTGTCTCAACTCGTCCCTAAACTCGATCGAGCTGGAACTTTGCTCTGATCGACTCGAGCTCTTGGTCGAGCTGACACTTCACTGCTTTGTTTACTTTTATTGCACTACTTTTCATTATTTTTAGGTTGTTAGTGTTACTTCAAATCTATAACTGCTTGCTTGACTTTCAGGTTGTTTCATACTCTCAAAGAGTAACAAGTTTCCCATTTTGGATTGATAACCTCTTATGCTTCAATGACTATGATGGTTAAGAGGAATTGATTGATTGTGATTGCACCATACCATATCATCTTTATTCACCCCTGTTTGCATTCCACCTCATTTCATATCACATCCGCATAAAATCCTATCATCAATTTTAGTGTTACTTCAAATCTATAACTGCTTGCTTGACTTTCAGGTTGTTTCATACTCTCAAAGAGTAACAAGTTTCCCATTTTGGATTGATAACCTCTTATGCTTCAATGACTATGATGGTTAAGAGGAATTGATTGATTGTGATTGCACCATTCCATATCATCTTTATTCACCCCCGTTTGCATTCCACCTCATTTCATATCACATCCACATAAAATCCTATCATCAGATACACCAACTTTTCAGGAAGGCTCGATTTCCAATTGCCCCTCATGGAGTCAATCAACCACCATCACCACCATCATCACCACCACCTCAGTGGTATGTCAATTCCATATCAAGAGAGAAGCTTGCTGAGTTCAATCAGTTTGTCCAAACTCTTCCAGCCAGCATGTCTTTCAAACAAGCTTGGCGCCACTACCCATTCACCACTTTCTTCCACAACTGCAAGAGACACCTGAGGACATAAAAGAGCTTTTTGAGAAAGCTAAAGTTCAGCCAACCTTCAAGACCCTCTACAAGATTGAAGACCCAGGTCAATTCTCTATTCCCTGTCAAGTAAATGGTCATTACTTTGATAGAACACTATGCGATTCTGGCTCTTGCATAAACCTCATGCCAACCCAAACCGCCAAACTCCTTGGCATCACACGCTTGCAACCTGCTCAAATTAGTATTGGACTTGCTAACCATACTATAGCCAAGCCAAGAGGAGTTGTTGTTGATGTTCTTCTAGAGATTGGAGATATCAAGATCCCGGTGGACTTTCATGTCATAAACATTCAAGGAGGATGTGACACACCATTGATACTAGGCCGACCCTTTTTGGCCACTGCTGGAGCTGTCATGGACCTTCCAAACCGGCGAATGTCCTTAGCCAATGTGACAAGACAGTCTTTTACAAGACCATACCATTCATCGCACCAAACAAGCTGTCTTACCTCATCACTGCCCAAGGCCGCCCAAGAGAGCCACCAGACCACACTCAAGGTCACAATGAGACAAGAACTAAAAGACTATGTCTCAGGCCGTGCCCTTACCCCATCTCCAACTAAGAGATCCTATCAGTCAAGCTAATGACTAAAAAGAAGCGCTGCATGGGAGGCAACCCATGAAAGGTGTTTTTCTTTACTTTTCTTTTCAATTAGTTTTAGTTAATGTCTAGTTTTGTTTTGAGTTTTGGAAACAGGAATCTAAGAACCACACAATGGTAAAGAAGATATACCACAAGAAGAATGTTCATAGTTGGCGCGACTTTGATGGCCGAGCAGAACCTCTCCACGCTCGCCCATGTCCTCTCAAGCCGCCCAACACACCATCCCATCTCATTCCATCTGCATCTCACCCATCCCACCTCACCACACTTGCATTCCATCACTACCATCATTCCACTGCATTCACCATTCTTCAAGTAACACAAATCAGGTTACATCTTTCTTTTTACATTCACAACCACTTTATTACCTCTTTCTTTAACTCCCTTAATTGGATTTTCTTTCACCGGGACGGTGCAAGTTAAGTCTGGGGGGATTGTCGGTACTAATGTGTTTGTTCATGGTTGTTTTGATCTTATAATTGGTTTTTCCTAACCCACTTTTTCAAAACTTCTGTTTTATTGAGTCAAAACCAGTCCGGGAACAATGAACTTGCTTTGAGATTTGATAGTGTCATGCTAACAATCTATGACCCTAGAGCAAACATCAGCTGAAGGCACAAGCCTAACAGAAGCTCCTAGAGTGGATCGGCATGCTAGCTCAGCGAAATTTCTAAGGTAACCAAGCAATCTAGAGTTAACCTCACCCTTAATCAATCTTAATAACTCTTGTCAAGGGGATTGGCATACATGTCGACAGTTCCTTGCTTGATTTTCAATGAGATTTGTCTAAAGAGTTCACCTCTCTCTCCCATCCCAAATGGTAAGTAATGTTTATGAGAAAAGCTCAAAGAGCACAAGGAAAACAAGTAAGCATGAGGAATGCATATGTCTGTACCTTCATGTCTTATGGAATACCTAAATCAAACAAGGAACAAGCTAAAGACTTATCCTGTGGTTGAAAGAAAGGTCAATAGAAAAAATAAAATGATACCCTAGAAAAGTAGGGAGAAATTGACCTTTCAAAGTTCTGATGTGAGAAAGAGAGAGGAAAGGAACTCATTGCACTCAAAGACAATCTTGGAGAAGATCAAGTGGGTAAGAACAAGTTCAATTGATCGATTTTCCCTTGATAAAGAACTCACGCTTTAAATTTCTGCAAGAGGTTAACAATAGAGAGTTTGGATTGCTGGATGAGACTAGTTGGGTTGGTATGTTGCTAAACTTGCAGGGTGTATGTGAAGCTAACCTTATGTTGACTATGTTCTTAGTGGAATACAGGAAAGGAACCTTTCACAGGATTTTCAAAGAAGCAAGAGAGTTCCCACGTTTTTCAAAACCTCTTCACTAGTTTAGATTCTTTTTGCTTGGGGACAAGCAAAGATCTAAGTCTGGGGGAGTTGATATACCTCTATTTTACCTACTTTTTATGCTATTTTACTATGGTTTTCTAATGGTTTTCTAGTGGATTCTTGTGTTAAAAGGTAGTTTTTATGGATTTATAGTGCAAAGAGTCATTTTAGGTAAAAAGGTGCATTATGGAGCAAAACAGGAGATTTGGACTCTAAACCAGTTCAATGCCCCTGCATCAACTTTGGATGGAGCTAGAAAAAGATCTACTCAATGGATTTCATCAAGACCAGTTCCCTGCGTGCTCTGATTGAGTTAACTTTCCAACGCAACTGGAATGGCTTCATTTGGATGAGTAGAAAAGGAGTTATAGCCAAAAGAGTGAAGGCTGCTCCAGACGGCTATATCGAGAATCAGCGCCGAACGCGCAGTCCGGCTGGCCGAGGAACGAATGTTCCGCGCTCGGCCAAATATTCCGTCCGACTGAAGTCTCGGCCAAAGTTCAAACCGTCGGCCGATCACGCAACACGACCCGGGAAACATTGTCCCGCGGTCGGCCAAGCACAACGTCACGCCACGCCGCGCACGACCAGCGCGCGAGCCGGGAAACAAGCCTCGCGGCCGCGCAACCTTCGCGTACCACGGCCGATGCATCCGTCCGAGCCGGGAAGAACGTCCCACGTCCGGCCGAGAAACCATCGGCCAAATCTCATCCGCCGACCAAGCCGGCCGACCATGAAACATCCGGCCACGACCGTTCCGACTCGGCCCAAGACCCGACTGTCCGGCCGATCGTCCCGACCGACCGTCCGAACGCCGCGGTCGACCCGAAGCCGTTTTTGAAGCCCAATCCGCACAATTCAAGCCCAAAGCCGGCGCCGACCTAGCTAGATTAGGTTTAGCCGCCTTTCATACTTAGAGCATTATAAATACTTCTTTTTAGCCTTGTAACTCAAGAAGGAGAGAGACCACAATCTATTTTACATCTTAATAAAGTTTTGCTTGCTTTTACTTTGTTCTTGCTTGTTACTCTTTCTAGAGAGGATTCGAATCTCTGTTCTTATGAATATGAATTCGTGTTCCTTCTCTATGTCTGAGTAGTTTACTTGTTAAGTGATAGGAAGTCAAAGGATAGCATTCATGTATGCTTGATGATTGATCACAATTAGGGTTTTACTTATAATCTCCATCTTTGCTTATACTTAATGCTTGTTGTTAATCTGGCCAATTAGCATATGCCTTTAGGTTGATTTGAGCCTCGACAGTGCTGTATCATTCGCCTGAACTAGTATTTGGTGGGCAATCTCTTTTAGACTGCGACAGTTGATCTACTTGTAGGTTGTGAACAATTGATCTTGATCGAACTAATGCTTGATTTAATCACCTAGGGACATACCAAAAGTTTAGCGACTAGGTAGATTAACAAAGGGGTCGGAGCCTCGACAGTGGAATGATCATACCATAGTGTTTCAAGTTCTAGATTAGCACCTAAGTGCGGTAACCCTAATTGATTGATTTCATGCTTCTTGAATTGCTTATCTCAAGACTATCCTATTGCTTAGCCTTTCTCTCCTATTGAATTCTCACTTTTATTACTTGCATGCTTTACTTTCTCTGCACTCAACCAACTTATACTTTTGCCCTAGCTTGTTCTCAAACTCATAACTTGTAGTGTGCAATCTGGTCCTTGTGTTCGATACCCGTTTACTACTTCTGACCTGTGCACTTGCAGAATCAGGGATAGGAAAGGGGAAGACCTGATCCCGCGATCAGTAACCCAGGAGTTCGTTTCCTACTCTCCTGGGGCACGGTTTCTACCGGCAATAATCCACTAGAACTTAGCTCGAAGCTTGAGCTATGGATCGTCTTCTTCCTATGTGCCTTATCTCTCTTTTCTCTCACCCGATCCGTTACAACGATAAACTTCAGATCTTATCTTGGGTTCTCTCTCTCCTACTTCGACTTTATGACTAGCCGGTACAAGGATCTACCCAAATGTGACTTGACCGACACATTGATTCTCTGTTACGCCTAAACCGGCCAACCCAACTTAAAACGATCTAAGACACAAGGGAAGATACAAATGCACATGAGATTCAGAACATTAACCTTCAAAGAGGATCGAAAAACTAGCATATACAGAAGAGAGTCATGATGAGACTATTTGGTGAACAAAAATATACAAGTATTACAACCAAAATAAAATTCAAGGAGAGAGGAGGAGCTTCCGTCAGGTGGGGGGAGGGAGAGAAGACTGAAAATGAGCCTATCGACTGAAACTTTGACTGAGGATGAGGGAGTGGAGACACCTCTGAATATCCCTGAGTTGTGTTCTTGCCAGATCCGGTAGACTGTCGATTGGAACATCAGCTTGATGATGATTGAGGCTGGCGCCTGAGCTGGTGGACGTGTTTGTAGAATCCATGAGACTGTCGCTGAGAGATCTAGAGGAGGATTCTGCCAATTCCTAGAAGCTAGATCGCACCAGATCTCCTAGAGTAATCACACCCGAAAATAAGTGGTCATGTGTTTCTGTTCCCGATGAGCATAGTACACACGACGCAGGGACATTAAGGCCCCAGTTCCGAAGCCTAATAGGCTTCTAAAAACTTTCACTGTCTGTAATCCTCTCCACAGACAATAAGTTATGTAACATATAAAATTCAGAAAATTGTATAAATTTTAATATTTCAAAAAAAAAAAAGATACAAGTAGAAGTAGAAGAAAAATGAAGATGATGTAACATACGTAATACATTGGTACGTAAATTAATAACGAAGATGGTGCAGTGTAATTAGGGGTGTCAAAATGGATCATTATCCATGGGTCGACTCTAATGATCAAAATAAGTTTGGATTAAAAAATTTTACCTATATAAATAAATGGGTTTTAATGAATTGACCATAATAATTTATGGGTCTAATGGGTAAACCCATAAGGATTATAGCCTTAGAGCATGTTTAACGCAAAGGTGCTTATGGGATGCTTAAATTATATCTTATTATTAAAATGAAATATTCGTTTGCAAAATTAATTCAAGTTTATTGGAGAGAAGAAGCAAAGAGAGAGAAAGGGAAGAGAAAGAAACACGTTTTTTTCTCAGTTACTTCCTTCCAATCAAAACCTGCCATATGTCCATTAGCACCAGCGCTTAAAAAGCTTATTCAAGCGTTGAAGCTTTGTTTTTTGGGATTCTTGCACTTCTAACCCACAATTTGAAGTCAATGGCAAAAGTAACCTGCTGTTTTTTTCATTTGGCTTTACCCAGTTTTGTCCAGATAATAACGAAAATGCCATTACTTTTATCTCTTGTGGTCTACGAATGAGGTCTACGTTGTCGACCAGAAGACCAACAGAACCTCATCCTCTACACTTATTCACGAAACTGCCACTCTCATCAATGAACCCAACCACCATTTTCAACTAACTTCAAGCTTTTAATGCTTGATACTAGTAATTGTGATACTCCAAACATAATTGCACATCCCATACACTCTAACACTATCATTTTCTCCACATTTTCATCCCAAAAACTCTCTAATTCTACTTTTCCATATTTCAAGTTCTTGATTTTCTCAAAATCGGGTTTGTGGCTTTCCTCACCACCGCCGAACGGTTGTGAAGGCTTAAAGACAAAGTTTCATCCCTCGGCGGCCCTAAAGACGACGGCCAGGTTGTGGTTTACTCCATTTTCGTTTTTTCAGATCTGAGTCGATATCGTAGATCTCAGGGTTAGGTCTATAGGTCAACGCAGAGGTTAGTTTTGCAATTGACTAAGACAAATCTGTGGAGTTAGACCGCGTAGAGAGTTCTACATAATCCCTTTGAAAACAAAAAAAATATCGTAAACCTCAAGCAGAGGTCTATTTTGAAAACAGGTTAGTTTTGCAATTGACCAAGGGAGGGCTTTTTTTTTGAGGTCTACAGATGAGGTCTATTGGTCAAAGAGGTTAGTTTTGCAATTGACTGAAGTTCTGGTTTTTACCTTAGACCTCTTAATGTGGTCTATAACAACTATTTTAAGCTGACGTCTACGTCAGAGGTCTACATAGGTTTTAGATCTCAGTCTTAGGTCTACCTTAAAAAGTTGGTCAACGCAAAATAATAGGAGGTCTACGATAGTGGTCTACAGGTGGAAAAAAATTTCAAACAATTGCAAAAGTAACCTGTCTGAGGTCTACAGATTTCGTAGACCTCCCCGTAGACCGTATAATTTTTCTAGACTACAGGTTGAGGTCTATTTTGTTCGTGAGGTCTACCCAAATTTTTTGGATGAATTGCAAAACTAACCTCTTTTTTTGTAGACCGCATTTGTAGATCTCAAAAAAGTCTTCCCTTGGTCAATTGCAAAACTAACCTTTTTTAGACCTCTTTACTAGGTTTACGCTACGATCTAGTTTGGAGGTCTACGATTTTTCCGTTTTTTAAAATCGATTTTCTGCGAAAACTAAAATTGTTTTTGTTAATATTTTTTCATAAATACTTCTATTAGCCTAATAACTTGTCCCTATGAGAGTTTTGCATGCTAATGTTATGTAATGAAGGTTGTATTAGATTTTTGGTTAAATTTGGTAACTTGGTTAAACTCTGTAGACCGCAGCCGTGTGTGGAGGTCTAACGTTTCCGTCTACAGGGCATCCATCAATATATATTAATGTGTTTTCCCTTTGGTTTTCATGCAGATCATGGTTTGTTTGGCATCCGTGTATGGAGTGTGGACTATCAGAGACAGAAAATGGTATTTTGAGGTTGATAAAACGAGAGGAGGTAGAATGTTCTACCTGCAGGATGATTGTAAACATGAAGAGCTGGTTGAAATGGTTGTGAACGACTACATGTTGCAAGTTAATGGCGAGCTGCTGGAGTTGTCATATCCATTACCAGCTGCTATGATGGAGAAATTGCCAACGGATTCACCTCCTATGTTTGTGGCAAAATGTGTTGTCAATGGATGTGCATGGAAGTTGAGAGCAGCTGTGAAGAATGAACCGGATTGCTTCTGGGTTACCAAGTACGTAAAGGGTCACACTTGTTCAATTATGACCGTGTAGCTCACCGTAGACGAGCTACTCCAAGATATATTGGACAATTGTTTGTGGAGCGGACTGGACTCATAGATGGAATTGTCCCTCGACAAATTGCAGATTCGATGAGGATCATGTTTGGCCTGAATCTTACCTATACAACGTCATACCGGGCTCTCAAATTCGCTCAAGTATTTGTCATGGGAACTCCAAGCCTGCTGCAAATGCAAGCAACCAGGACATACTCGCCCGTACTGTGTAAGCTTCGTGCGTCTCGCAGTTCCATTAGTTTTCATTACAACAATGCTATAATTGTTTGCTCTTCATTAGGTGTCCAAGCCTGCTCAGAAATAAGGTCGGAGGTCTATGAGATAGATCACAAGAGGTCTACGAGGAGTTCCTGGATGACTACGAAGCATTCACGCGCAGTCTACTATTTATTTCGTGGAGGTCTATGAGACGTCTACAACTATATCCATTAAATTTTATTTTCATATCATCAGGTACAATGAGTGAATGACGTCTACCTTTTTTCTACATGAAGTTAAGTAATACTAAAGACAGATTTCATTAATAACTGCGTTTCAGTTTGTGTTGCATCCAAAATAGTTATACAAAATCAGTGTTGTGAAGAGGGGCCAAAAAAAAGATAAACCCTCCTCCCCGGCTAAACGTTCCGGTGAGTTTACAGAAATCATTCCGTTAAAACACACTTTGTTTCCTTTATGACAATGTTTTTACATAATTTAGAAGCATTTTGACATTAAAAAACTATGGCCATGAACGCTTCTCGACATTTCCAAGAACGTGATTCCAACATCTTGTCTTGACTCTGATCCAACATTTTTTCTTGAGGTATGTTCTGCGTGAGGGATATTCTTCACCTGAAAATCAAAATAGTAAATCTTGTGAAACACTATACTAGAGTAATCAATCTTTTGCTAAGTCTGTTACTCATGAACTCACCGCCATACAAAAGATTCTCCAAACTTCCATTACTCATGAACATTCATTTGAAAATCAAAAATCAAGGGTATCAAAATCAAGGGTATGAACATTCATATTCATAACACAGACGTTCAGAGTTTCACTTCCATATATATGAGTATCAAAAATCAAAAATACGATTTAAATACAACAACAAATCTATGATAAGTAACTGAATGTTTGTGTACCATGTGTAAGAAGAAACTATAAGAGTTCTGCAAACGCTCAAGGATTAGTTACCTTTATTAACTAGTTTATTGAGCTTCATTGTCTTCTTTACGCTAAATTTTCTTTGGGATTTCTTCGAGTCTTCTGTTGCAGCTGAGACCAAAAAGAAGAGATCAGCTTCTATTAATGCAAACCATAGTACAAGTCACAAGAGCAAAATGAATCTGAACAGGCCATTGTAATGAATAATACGCAAAACAATATACAAAAGAGGGCATATCAATTAGACAAGAGAAGACACAGAACAAAAAGAAAACATTCTATAAATATGCTAACAGGGAAAGGCACAATGTTTTCACAAGAGTTATGAGCAGAAAACTAAGCAAGAAGAACAATTCCAAGAAGATATTATAAAGTTACAGCTCAAACTGATTATATTTCTGAGTACTAAAAGTTTATTTCTAGCTGATATTAGATTTATAATCACAGAATTAGGTAAGTCGAAGTATCAATTAGCAGAGCAGAAGCTGAGGATGAAAATTTACCTTCAGCAGAAGCCATCTCGACATCCTCCATGGTAACAAGACCCTTCTCCACCATCTCTTTCTGCTCCTGTTTTCAATCAACAAACATTTTTATTAGGACTTATAGCTATGTTTCTGCTCTTGTTCTATCAGCTTTCGCCTCTCTTACACTATATTTATAAGAAGAAAAAAAGAAACAACTTTGAGATTTCAATATCAGTGTGAGCAAAATTATTAAATCTAAAAAGAAAATACGTGTGTGAAAGATGTAATTCAACCAGAAAACAAAAGTAATAGCAAAGCAAAAGAGCAGAGATGATGAAAGAGAGAAATTTAGATAACTCACAAAGTTATAAGTGATAAACAAGCGGTCACGCCTCTTACAATTTCAGGCTCTTTTTCGGTGATGAATACAAATCAGCCTCATGCATCTGCGGATGTACTTCTCCCCTAGGTCATTGAAACGCATCAACGAACGGATTCAAAGCCTGCTTGGAAAATAATCTAACATGTTATTGTTCAAATCTAAACTCAGATCTGTTACAGAGAGAAGAACATGGTTTACCGGTGACAATGGTGATGGAAACTGACTCGACGCGAAGACGGCACTGGATGCGGCAACGACGGAGGTGGATGCGGCGGAAACTGCACGGAGATGGAGGAAGAAGAAGAAAATAAGAAAGTGGCGACATTTCACAGCGAGAGAGCGCGCCGTTTGATGAGAGAACGAGAACGAGATGGTGACGGCGAGAACGAGAAGGCAAAGGCGAGAGGGAAGCGAGATAGTGAGTTTGAGGTTCGAGAGGGAAGCGAGAAAGGAGAGACAAGAGAGAGAGAGAGAGCGCCGTCTGAAGAAAGAGGCTTTTTTCTTTTTCTAACAAAACCTAGGGTTTTTTTTCTTTTATAGGAGAAGATAAATTTCCCGGTTTAATTAGAAAATTTCGGATAACCGAACTTTCTTTTTTGGTTTAGCTAAAAGATTTAGCTTAAACCATAATTTGTTAAGGTCTACGAATGTAATCTACAAACGTGGTTTACGAGTGTGGTTTACAAATGCGATCTACAACTACGGTCTAACTAATTTAGGGAATTTGGTTCCCGCTCATTCGGATTTCAAATTTTGGAATTCCCGCAAATTTAATTACTAAACCATTCCGGTTTATTTCAATTTCATCTTCTTGTGCGGTCTACAGATGAGGTCTATAAAACCCTAAACTACAAATTTTCTGAAAAAACATGAACCGAATATCAATTTTGTTTGTCATTTACAATATTTATGGTTAAGATAACAAAAATATTAAATATACGTAAAAAAAACCAACCAAAAACAAAAATTCAAATTGAAACTATCTAAACCCTAAGAATTGGACAACTAAACCCTAAACTATCTATCCAAACTCTTATCAATTTGAAACATTTACTCATGACATTTATAGATTGATTCATTTTTCGTATGATTTATTTTTAATAAATGTCAAATGTATAAGAATTAATTATGCATACAAGTTTTTAATCAAATTATTTTTTATCAATTTTATAATTTATTTTTAAGATTTCATTTTCCTGTAGACCTCGTTGCTAGACCTCTCACGGTTTTACAAGTTTCTAACCTAATTTGTTTTTGTCAACCTAAATTCACTTATTAACATGTATGTTTATTTTATATGGACTCTAATTGTCTTTGTCTTGTTTATGAATACAAATTTTTCATCTAAATATTTTCTATTTATTTTATAAATTAAAAGTTTCATTTAATTAAACCGTAGACCTCATCCGTAGACCTCTTACGTTTTTACAGCTTTCCAAACTAATTTGCCTATGTTAGTTTAATTTGACTCATTTGTATGCAATTATAATTTTCCAAGATGCAAATTACTATTTATGATTTATGTATGCAAATGGTTTCATCAAAATGTTTTTTTTGTTTTTCCCAATTAAAATATAAAATTAAAATACAAGGTAGACCGACTATAAAAGTCTATATGTAGACAGCAAGCGTAGACCTACGCTCCGGGTTAATTTGGTAATCGCGGCAAATTTTTTTTGTTTGTTCATGAGGGTGACCTTTGTAATTTCGCTACCCAAACAGGTTAGTTTTGCAATACTTTCAAGTTTCGGGTTATGGTTATAGAAAAAAACAAATTTCGGGTTATATGTGGAAATTATCCCTTGTTTTTTACGTATTTTTGATTTAATTAAATGGTCAATTCATGCTAAGCGTCCCATAAAGCGCTTGCGTTATTCATGCTTTTATAGGTTACCATGGGTTTATCACAAAAAAAAAAAAATAAATAAAATATAAAATATTCATAAATTTATGGTTGTATTTTATGATTTTATTTTATATGTTATCTAATTATGAGTACTTTGTTTCATTTTAATACACAAATATTATTATAAATTTGTTATTTGGAAGTTTTTTAGTTGAATTTTTAATAATATATAGTATATTTTAAAAAATCTGTTACTCATTTGTTGTAAAAAGATAATATTTATAATTCATCTTTTATATATATGAGTATCCATATAACCCATTTAACCAATGAGTATTTACATAATGGGTTTGAATTATAAATTACAACCCATAAAATAAATGGGTCGGATCATAACCCAACCCTATAACCTTTAAATCCGTATGGATTAGGGTCGGGTCGGATTGAGTCGGGTACCCATTTTAACACCCCTACGTAATACGTTGGAGGGTAATTGGCTAACCAAAAGAAAACGTTTAATACTATCAATCCTTGTAAACATGACCAAGTAAAATGTAAATGAAATGTTTTACATGTTAAAAAATATAAAGTGGTATAATGAATCAAATCAGTTTTCAATTCATATAAATCTCCATTCCAATTCTCTATTTTCTTGGCTGAACAAATATAACAAAAAACAATTCCCGGTAAAATTATAACCTAATCAACACAGGAAAAGTGCATGTGCCTCTCCAGATGATGACATAGGATTTTTTAGAGTTTCTAAAGGAGCCAATCAAAACATTTTAATTAATACAGCTCAGCATTTTTTAACCACGTAAGCCTTATTGTCTCTCACGCTGAAACGTGTCCTCTCGATCTACAATCTCTGGTTTTCAAGTGACAAGATTAATCCAATCTTTGACCATCTCTCTCTCTCTCATCAAAAGAACCTAGAGAGTAGAGACTCATCAAAACTCGGAAGAAGAACCTTGAAACTCTTTAATGGTGTGGTTGACGACGAATCAACAGATCGGGAGATGGAAAAGGAAAATAATTTTTGCTGGGTCGTTCCTCTGTTGGCTAATCCTTATGTTCATCACTCCCAAAGTTCCTCTTAATTCCTTCCGTCACCACGTCTTTGCCGATAAGCGCAATTTCATGGGTATCTCATACACACTCACTCTCTTTACCTCTATCTCTCTGTCTGCCTGCCTGTGTGTAATAACGACATGTGTTTTGTGTTGAATTGATAGAACAGGAGTGCTAAATACAATGAATGTGATGACCAACTTCCCCTTTCTTATTATTGGTGTTCTTGGTTTCATTCTTTGCGTTGGAGGAAGCTTCTTCAATATAAGGTGCTTCTCTCTCACTCTCTCTATCTCTCTCTCCTCTTTTAAATTTGAGTAATCTAGAATGCTTATGATATCTCAATTATATATGTAATGCAGTTTGAAAGGTGAGATCTAGGGATACACTATTCTACGCAAGCATTGCATGGCCTTTGGCTCTGCTTTTTATCATCTCAAACATTATGACAACAGAATCATCTTTCACACTTTGCCTGTTCGTTCTCTCACCATCTTATAATCACTTCTACTTTACATTTTCTTGGAAAGAATCTTCCTTTTTCGTTTATGATGGAAAAAAGCTTTAGATGAATCTTATTTCAGTTTTGTGGAGCTTTTTCTTGATTATTAACCAGTAATTGTAGAATCTTGTTTTATAGAATGGCGAAGTTGTTTGTTCCCATCATGTTTAATGGTTGGTTATGAATAGTTGTGTGTTGATTCAATGGCGGTAATTTGCAGATAATGATTGCATATTCGTCGCAATCAAATGGAGAAGAAAAGAAGGCGAAGAGAGGGAGAGGAATCGATCCAAGAAAGCTGAAGATGGAGCCGGTGGAGATTAGGACAGTCTTGATCCGCTGAAAAACAACCAAATAGCATCCGCAGAGTTCGGAGAAAGTGGTTTTAATTATAGAAAACATAACACTAATCAAGAAAACTTGTAAGTAAGACAGAGTGGAACAGCTAATAAAAGCTTAAACTATATAAAAAAAGGGTTTACTTAAAAACTTATTTTATAACTACTGGAGGAACTAAACCAAAAAAACAAAACTACTGTAGGAAGAAGAAAGGAAAAAGAAAGTATCTAAATTTTAAGAAAGAAGAAGGGACGGAGAAAAGAACTCGCTAACGTCCTGAGATTTTTGGTGAAACATAAACATAAACAAGATTGTTTCTTATAAAAGAATTTAGTCTAAGTTAAACTTTTTTTTTGATAAATCTCTTCATCTGAGTGTGTGACAATTTAGAATCGATAATCCAAGTTGCATTTCTTGTCTTTTTTTTGTTGTTGTTAAAGGCCTGCATCTTTTGTTATTTACTCAAGTAAGAGTGTAAGACTTTTCAATCCTCTAACTATACTCAATTGTTTTACATTTACACTTTTTAAATAATCTAATTTTAGATAATTCTATATTCAAATAAATAAGTGCTTCTATTTTCTCCAATGTATAAAATAAAAGTAAATGATATTTTAACTAAATTTTGTTTTTCCAGTTTCATTCGGACAACAAAATTAAGAAAACAAATGTAATCTTCTCTTGTACATATCGATAATTTCAGAGCTTCGGAATGACCACCGAACACAATCAAACAGCACGTCTATAACAATAATCTTTGGATCCAAGCCCAATAGTAAACCATTTTAGTTTAATAGAAAAAGTTATAATATCTTTAATTAAATTAATTCAAACATAACAAACAATTGAATTGAATAATATTCTCCCGCAGTGAAGCGTGGGTATTTACCTAGTGATGATAATAATCAGAGTAACTGAAAATGTTTTCTTATCGTGTTTTCTTATCGTTTGTTAGTTATTAGTTATTACATATATTTAAATATGTTCTACCTCGAAGAATTTGCAGAGATCTTATTAGTAGATCTCTTGATGGATTCAATCCTCTGTAACCTAATTTGTTCTCTGAACTTTGCAATGAATTCATCAGCCTTCTTGTCCACGTCACTCCCATTGTTGCTCCCACAAACTCCTTCCTCTTCTATCTTCTTCTCTTCCTCGTCGTGGTTCTCATTTTCACTGCTCCTCCTATGTTCTTCCTCAACTGCCTTGCTTTCCAAGTAACTTCTTCCATCATTCTTCTCAGTGTCTCTGATAATTCTCTCTTCCTTGGATTCCACGACTGGATCCGACCACCAGACTTTTCTAGGAGAGTTTCTTTTCGCTGAACGCTCATCGAGTTTCATCTTCTGCTCCGACGATTTCCTCCGTTCGCTACTTACTCTGAGCTTCGTCGGAGGTGTCTTATAATATTCCGCCGGAGGTGGTGGTGGCGGCGGCGGCGGAGGATGAAACTCACCGCCGGAAAAGTTCGTCTTATGAACTGATTCTCTCGGCTTAATCCTGTAAATTCCGGGAGGATAATCCTTCCTCGACGCCGAGTTGTAAAACGCTGGTAACGGCGGCGGTGGTGGTGGAGGAGGAGGTGGCGGAGAGGGGTGAAACTCGCCGTGGAAATTCGCTCCAGACTCAGATGCGAGATTAGGTAAAGGCGTTAACTTTCTTGGAGAAGAAGAGAGAGAGGAAGATGGTGTCAGATTCTTGATCAACGGCTGTAATTCAACTGTAGCAAGATTCTTAACGGAAGGCTGAGATTCAATCTCCTTTGATGATGATGATGACCTAGACCTCCATGGAATCGGAGAAGGAAGCACATCACTGTTATCATCACCGAGACTCTTGAGGAGTTGTCTCTTTGATCTCACTTTTTCCCATCGATCGGAATCAGAAACCCGCGAATTATTCAAGCTCCGAACGGGCAAAAGCAGAGGCTTTTCTTTGATCCCTGAACCAACTCGATCGACGAAACGAGTCTCGTGATCTTTAGAAAGAACAATCTCGGGAGTTTCCATGTGGTACTTGTTCCTCCATGTCTGAAACTTACGGTGCTCACCGGAGGAATCATCGGAAGGCTCAGATTCACTCTCGTGCTCCACGTTAAAAACAGAGGATACCTCAAGAATCTCAGGCACGTAGTCATGCGTATTAGTATTATGATGATCGTTATTGTTTGATCCTCCTCCGTCGTAGTTACGGCGGCTAAAGAGGCCGTAAGAGACGGCGATGCCAACGACAACTAGGTGGAGAAGCTCGAGGAATCTGGTTTGATTAGCGAGCTCCGGCGTCTGAGAAAGGAAAACAGGTACGACGGAGCAGAACGCGGCGAGGATAAGAGCTTTGAAGATGAAACGAGAGTAGAGTTTTCTAGGGTTTTGATCTTCTTTGTTACCCAATTGGGTTGGTTTCTTGGAGCTTCTTGTTTCCACCATTAGAGATAAAGTGAGTGTTGTTGTAAAGGTTCTTTTATGTTGGCGATGAAAGAGGATTTGGAAGAGGAGAAAGATAATAGTGGAGAAATGACTTAGTGGTTAAGTTCTGTTTTAAGTTTTTTTTTTTTGGTTATTTTAAAAACAAAAAAAAATGGGAAGAAGAAGAAGGAGATTGAAGAGAACAAAATCTGAAATCCAAGTTGATGTATGACTTCACTCTCCAACTTTAATTTTTGGTTTCTTATACTATTCGAACGTTATTTTTGATGATTGACAACGATTGGAGAATCGCTACCTCAAACTGTGTAGAAGATCCAAATGTTACGTAGTTTTGTGGTATTTATTAGTACCGTTATATTACTATCAATCTATCATTATCGGAATTCTATCTAATTTGGATGTAGTGTATGAGTTATACAATCCAAATAAAAATTAAAAGTTATACGACTCATGATCTAAGTCGGGTAATAATTAAAAAACAAAAGGAGGCGATTATAAGTTGTTTTCTAAAGAGTGTAAATTAATAATTTAGAGAATATCGCAGAGGTCGCGTAGGCATATATATGATGAGTTCCCGGGAAGAATTGGATTCATTCCCTCCTTTTTTTGGTATGTTTACGCTAAAGCTTTTTTCTTACGCAACAAGCTGCTGAAAACATTATACTACTTACCAAATCCTTTTAAAATACACTATTGTTTCTTTAGTACGACCAAACTTGTCGACAAGGCATCAAATACCTTTAGAACATAAAGACTTTTGACATCCAAAAAATGAATAGAAAACAACGAATTTATCTTGTTCTTGTTGTTGAATTGAATGGGTCTAAAACGGAATTTGTATCACTGTATCCTCAACACTAGACTTTTAACAGTTCCTAGAGTCAATAATATTGGCATTATGAATGTAACTGAGGTAAGTTTGACACGTCAAAAATTGTCTAATCATCAACACATCATTCTTAGCACCACTTTATTTTGGGGCGGTGGATCACAACACTGGTCGGCTACTTTTGTTGACTCCATCTCCAACTTTTTCTTCATTTTTTACTTTACTAGGTGTTTTACCCGCGCACGCGCGGGTTCCGTTTTAATATTTGTAAATAAATCTTATGTCCTCTTTATTTTAATTTTATTCAATAATATTAAGAAAATGTATGATTCAATTAAGAATATTTGTATATCAAGTTCGAGTCATCAATTTTTTTTTGTTTCTTTGATAAGAGATGAAAATAATAGTTTCATTTATTAAAAAAAGATTTTTAAAATGCTTCACTATTTTTCAATTTTTGTTTATAATTTTTTTTAATAAACTTTTTTTAATATACTTTTAATTTTTTTTACCTAACCAATTTAATTATTTTTATAAGTAGTCATAATAAGTAAGATACCTTTTAAAAATATTTTTTGTCATAAAAACATACAACAGCCCAATCCTCAAATTTCTTAAACTAATCCCTTAATTTTACAAGACAATTTTTTTTATATCCAATAAAGGTTATCTGGCAAACTTATCCAATATTAGTCTAATACATATTTTAGTTCTTAATTTATTTTTTAATTTTATTTATTTGTTTAGCTTTTCCAGCTATGAATTTATGATTTATACTTAATTTTTTTTGTAATTTTAATTATGTTGCATTTAATTCCATCAATAAATTCATCTCTTTATTTTTAAATCACTGTTTTTGTATTTAAAAGTCTTATATCTAGAAAATAAAATAAAATATAAATGTATTTTACAGATCATTAAGGACGGGAAGAAAGGAATCAGAAAGATCAGGAGTAAAAAATAATTTTTTTTTAATTGTTTCATATGATATAATCGTGTTAAATGTATTCCCACTTTTTCCATATCATATGGCTTCTTCTTCTTCCCGTGGTCATCATCTTTTAATTGTTTTTCCAATTCCCGGTTAAATTCTTTTGGTTTGTTACGGTTCGATTTTCCTATCTCATAGAAATTAGAAATGCTTCATTTCTTTTTCTTTCATTTACCGACCACAATCGAACAATATTTCTTCTTCCTTATTCCCACCGGAACCATCTCATCATTTAGATCCCTCTTCTTTGTTGCTAATCTTGTTATTACCAGGGGAGAGCTCACGCTTCTTCTTCTTTTCGATCTCCTTCGACTCTCGCTCTGAATTTCTCAATTAACTTAGGTACCAATCTCGAATTTCCCCTTTATCGCCGATTGATGGTTTGATTTTTTGGTCAAATGATTTTCGATAACGTCACCGAGTTAAATTTTGGGTTTTCTCGGTGTTTGCTAGTTTTGTTGATGTTTAATCAGTCTATGTTTGTTTCGGTTCGGTTTAGCTATCAATTTGATATTTGAAATATCTCGTTGGTTTTGTTTTCTGTTCATATGGAGCACAACTTTTCTTCAATGGCTTTAGTCAATGACTTCGACTTCGTTTTAAAGTCATCAAAATCACTGTTCTTGGCATCTCATCATCCCCTTCCCTGAGTTTCGATGCTTCTTTCTTCTCCTGATTCTCAGCTAATGGCTTCGATGAAGGTTATGATTTTCCGTATTTTCAATCTTTTTTTGCTGATATCCAAATGGTGTATTTTGTTTGTAATCTAATTGTCCGGATGCGAATTGGTGATAAATGTATAACTCTAGGTGGTGGCAATTGCTTTGGCAAGTTCCTGAGACTTATAGCTGTCGAGTTTTAGAGCGTTTTCTCCTTTCACTGGTCGTTTTTAATAATATTTGAAATCTCTTCTCATTGACTTTACCCCTTTTTGTTTGGTTTTCTTGTTTTTACAGAGATCAAACGTCCTTAGCCTTCAGGTTCAATTTTTTTCTTTAAAATCCTTTGATTAAGTACCTTCTGATCCATGAGAAGGAGTTCTACACCCATGAGTAATCCGCCTTTTTTAACGTTTCGTGCCTCCCAAAAGTGGATGACTCTGACAAGCAAATCATTATTTTGAAACCTTTTTTTAGATCATCGAAAACCAAAGTATGGCTTAACTGATTAGAAACAGAAGAGCATGAATTTGCCATGGCTTATAAAAATCGATTGAGAGATGTGAATGTATATTATGAACTTGGTTTCATGTGGCAATAAGACCACGTATATATAGGATTTAAGATCATCTTATTCCTAATGGAAAAAGGAATCAATGTATATCAATGTCATTGTACAATAAGGAAATTAGAGAAGTGATAATTACAAAAATAGGAACTATCCAAATCCTAATCTTTATCAAACAATATCCAATTTGTTTTTCAAGAATCTTCTAGACTAAAACGAAATAATGAAACCAAGAAATAAATTTGGAAGAAGAAATAAGAAAAAAATGCCAAGAAGCAATCTTATATTCGCCAGAAATTAAAGCAGCCGAATTGTACAGTCAAATCACAAGACTTATCTTAGTAATAGATTCCGAATTTCTCCATTTTTGGTTTAATACTCCCTCAACTGAAGTTGTACTGAAGCTTCAAACTTGCAACAATGCGAAATAGGGAGTTTAGGGCAAAATAAATCCAATTCGATTTACGAAATCTGTGAAATGAAGAATGAATTTTTGTTGTTTGACGGTGGAGAGAGAGAGAGTTTTGTGAGATGCAGTTTTAGGGTTTGTAGAAAAAAGGGGAAGAAGATGTAGCAGATCCCGTTTTGGAGATGCCGATGTCTTTTTTTTTTTTTTTTTTTGTGGTAACCTAATGGCAATGTCCATATAATTATTTTTGAAACGGTTTAAAAAAAAAACAGGGGACTGCAAAGGATCGAACTCAATACCTGTTGAGTTTAGGACAATTGTGATAACCGCTACACCATAGCATCTTTTTGGCTGAATAGGAAATTTATTTCTATAATTACTTACAACATGTGTAAATTTTCCACTAAAAAGAAACTAATACTAATAATATATGTAAATTTAGATAATCTATGAATATGAAACTTATAATTCAGTTCTCGAAAATTGTAAAATCAGAGAAATTATCTTTACTGAAAATTAATTAATAAATAATATGTAAAATAGAAAATTTACATAAATTAATTTAAAAGCAAAAAAAATAATAATGACATGGACCAATCAAATTCAACCTTTTAAATCCTAGGTGGACAGCCTCTAATGCATATAGGCTCAACTTAAAATAGAAAATTTACATAAATTAATTTAAAAGCAAAAAAAAAAAAATAATGACATGGACCAATCAAATTCAACCTTTTAAATCCTAGGTGGACAGCCTCTAATGCATATAGGCTCAACTTTTATTAGTAATAGATGCTAAACGATTAAAAGGTAAAATTCATCGACAGTTTTTCTGTATGAAGATATTACTGCACAACACGCGTGAAAAGTTAGATCCAATCACACTGAAAAACAAATTAACTTATAAAACAAAAAGTTCAAGTAAATGTATGAAATCAAACCATTAATTTCAAATTTGAACTTTTAATCAACTTTATTTTTCTTCAAAAAGCGATTCTAGCTTCAGCTATATCATTTTTTTCGGTCATTATCAACTATCAAAGTCACTGAATGCACAAGAAACATTTCAAATGTCCGTTTGCTTGTTTTCTGTGTCATACGCTTTATTATAAGTCTAACCGATCCCGGTTATTAACATCCAAATTCAATTGGTTATCTCCCCCGGCTCTTGAAACTAAATACAGATCAGATCTTCACTTGCCAGTGTAAAGAGGCTTACGCTTCTCAGCAAAAGCAGCTAATCCTTCAAGACGATCTTGAGTATTAAGAAGCTCCTGATAACACATCTCTTCCACCTCCAAACCTGAAGCCAAACTCGTCTCAATTCCTTCATCAATCGCCTTCTTCGCCATTTTTATAGCCATTGGACCCTTTTCACTTATCTGCTGAGCTATTTCCATTGCTTTCTCATGAGCCTCACCAGCCGGTACACAAAAGTTTACCAATCCTGCACCACACAAGAAAAAGAGAGCATATGAATGTCGAAACCAAAACCACTGTTGGTTATGAGAAATGCAACTTTAAATAGCCACAGACCTTTGTTTGCAGCTTCTCTTGCATCAATCTTTCGACCTGTGAATATAAGTTCTTTTGATACCGATCTCCCAACCAGCCTCGAGAGCCTCTGTGTCCCACCAGCGCTAAACAGAAGCCAAAGATACAGAAATGATCAGAAGAATGATAAAAAAGAGGAATCGTTTGTCAAGAGCGATGGAGATTTATTCTGTACCCTGGGATTATAGCGAGTCCTGTTTCAGGCAAGCTAAAGACTGCACCTTCACCTGAGTATTAACAACAAATTGCTAATCTCGTCATGTACATTATTATATACTAAGAAAATCCCCCAGATATGAATATACCACAGACTCGAAGATCACAGGACAGAGCCATTTCGAGTCCACCTCCCAATGCCGCACCTTCTATTGCAGCAATAGTTGGGATTCTCAGTCCCTAGAAACACAAGTCTTCAAAGTCACTTTAGCATACCAATTCCCAAAGCGGAGAGAAAAAACAGAAACATTCATCTTCACTTGTATAAGTTCTTGATCTTGATAAAGCTACAGCTAATTCCATAAATGGAAAAGCCAACCAACAAGAATAGATGAGAGTCGGAATATTAGTACCTCTATGAACGAGAACATGTAGCGCAAGGAGTTGACGAATGTGTGAACCTCAGATGGGGTCATACTTCTACGTTGCTTGACATTAGAAACATGTAAAGAAACAACATTGTAAAGCATGAGCTTAGCAAAATTTGAATGCAAAACCTTCCACAAAGGGGAGAAAAAGAACTACCTTAAGATCTGCACCTGCACAGAAAACACCTGGAACTAGACTTGTAATCATCACAACCCTAGCGGAAGTATCCTTACCTATGGTCTCAAATGTCTTCTCAAGGCTTTTCAGCATCTCCTTGTTTATGGCGTTCTTCGCCACAGGCCTATCTAGAGCCACCTCCATAATCCCTGTAAAACTCATAAACACACACACACACATACACACACACTGAAAATGGTCATCTTTACTTGTGCAAATGGTAAATGATTTCGGTGTAAAGTGTAAACTCAGAAAGGTCACCAAAAAAAAAACAAATAGCATAATTGAGGAACCAATTCCAAGGACAAAATCGCAGTTCAATTCGAACCCAGAAAGTTGAGCCCTAGTCAATAGAATCCATTACTGTTAAGCAGCAACAAAATCAATCTCCAAAAAACACACCGATTCGATAAGGAAAAAGGGTAAAGTGAAATTACCAGAGTCGGAGCCACAGAGACGGTTAAGCTTGACGGATTCAGGCGGAGCGGTTTCGATGATGAGAGTCCGGCAGGTCTGGAGCATGCTATTTCGGTGAAGAGATGGTTTTCTGGCTAATTGGAGCAAACTGTCTCGGCGGAGATACTTGACGAAGCTCATCTTCACCGTGAATCCTCCAAAGTTTTTGATTTTTCCTTTCAGAATTTCAGCCACCGTCTTGGTTCTGAAATCAACGTTTTTTTCTTCTTCATCTTCTTCCGGTTTAGGTGAAAAAACCAGTCGGTTAAATACTTAATGGTTAATGACTCAACAATGCTTATCCAAATACGAATGTTCTTCGATTCGGTTCGGGTGGTGTAGATTGAAGGATTCTAAATTGAATTCGGTCTGATCCGGTTTGTGTTGGAACTTGGAACCAAAAAACAAATCCAAAAGAGAGAGAAGAACGCGCAATACATAGTTTGTTTGTGAAGCCTAAAGCTTCTTCAAAGAGTCATACTTTATGTATCCATGTATCAAGTCGAAGCTGCTTCAATGCCGGACCTGATTTAACTTTGTTTTTCTGAGGGCAACGCCATTTTCCTGCAATCTCCTCGGCTTCAGAGGACTGGAGGTTGGGCATTTCCCCCAAGACTTTTCTCTTCTTCTTCTTTCTTTCTTCTTCTTCTTCCTCTCTGTCGATCATCTTTAACTCTCTACTCCTCCAACCCCCCACCAGAACTCCTCTATTTGGTTTCGTCTGGTGGTCTCTTGATTCTCTGAATCTCGCCTTTTTCATCGTCACAAATCCAGTTTCGTGAACAATTTCCTTGTCATCTGATTCTTTCTCTATTGACCCCAGGTTTTCTTCTAGACAAGCCTTTGGAGACATTTGTCTGCTGGAATTGGTTTCTTGGATATGTTTTGGTCTCAGCTCTTGTAAAGAAGCTTGGTGAGTTGAGAGTGATTGTTGTTTTGGGTTGTACAGAGAAAATCGGGTGTCAGACCTTGGTTCTTGTTGTAGTTCACAGAATAATGGATCCTGCTTGAAGCTTGGTTCTTGTTTCATCTCATTTATCGACCCAAATGATAAATTATTTTCCATTTCTTGGTCTGAATATGCATTGTCCGAGGACACCTCCTTAGCCTAACATGACCAGTTAAGAAAGAGTCATTTAGGGTGTCCAAATAATAACGGACAAGTGCTTTAAGTGATCCACACAAGTCTCTTTCCTTTGAATACAGATGTTGTCAAGCATCTAGACTCAAAAAAATTGAGTAGTGATTATTCTCATTGGTTCAAGAACATAGCTTACAATAGTCTCTTGCTTGCTCTTAGTTTTTCGAAAAATACCACAAGCATTTTCTTCCTCCGTGTCACTCTCGTCAATGATTAATTCATCTTGCTGAGAAGAAGAAAGTTCTGAAAGCTGAGGAGATTGATACTCATAGCTTGAAAACCAGTTTCTGACATGAGGAGGCTCTGATAGGAACAATAGACATTACATGTAAGATCCTAATAACACACATTTTCACAGGAAATTATATGTAACTTGTTTTTACTTTTTACTAACCCGAAAGAAGAAGAGACTGCGACTGAGTGAAATCTGCAATAATTGTTGTTGTCTCTTCTTCTCAGTGCCGGCCCGAAGGTATTTGGCGCCTAAAGCATTCAAAAAATTTGTTGCCCCTTTAACAGCAACATTTTTTTTAACAGCATATAGTCAAAATTATATAATTTTTTTTTGAAACTTAAATTGTTTTCAAATAAAAAAAGGATAGAAACACCATTACATTGTGTTAAAAAAAAGAAAAGAAACACCACTTCATTTCTTAATAAACTTAACTCTCCTTGCTTTCTTGCTCGCAAAATCATCCGTCAACTTTGAATAATCAAGCTTCTCTGCCAAATCTTGTTCTATTGATATCATTGACAAACCATTCAACCGCTCCTGAGACATAGTCGAACGCAAATAATTCTTTATGAGCTTCAACTTGGAAAAACTTCTTTCTGCACAAGCAACTGAAATCGGAATTGTTAGTAAAATGCGATAAGCAATCCATGTGTTAGGATAACACCCATTCATTCTTTTCAAAAATTCCAACATCTCAGTCGCCCTTGTTATCTCTTTTGGGATCGTTCCTCTTAAAAACTGCAACTCCATGAATAGATGTTTTCCATCTACATCAGAAACCCCATCTTTCTCTAGAGAAGCTTCGAGCTTCATACAAGATTCCATCAACTCATCATCTTTTGCTGACTTTAGTTTCTTCAAACCAAACAGAAATCCAAAAATTGCCTCATACTCTCCAAATTGCTCAAATCTTATCCCAAGAGACACTATTGCTTGATCCACTATGTTGATAAAATAATCAATCCTAAAACGCTCCTCCGCATTTAACGAGTTACTTTCATCAACTTTCTCAGCATCTTCAGATTCTTCACCGTAATGCTTCTTTTTTTGAATCAAGCGCTTTGGTTTTGTAGAAAATGTTGGTTCAATCTCCATATCAATGGCAATTTGCATAGCTTCAGCTTTTGCTCTCTCAAAACCTGTTTCCCTATAGATTTTCAGAAAATCAACAAGCCCTCTTAACTGAATACTAGCAACCTCAAGATCCATATCCTCTGATTGTAAGGTTTTGCTCACAATATTGACAGCATGAAGCAAATCATACCATATTACCATTCCAAACAAGAATTCAAACCCTCCAATTCCATGTGTTTCACTTTCTGCAAGAGACTCAGCCTCACTACGATGTCCTGGATTATCACTATATTGTGCCAAGTAAAATAAAGCCTCTCTTATCTTTGCAGCTTGAAATCTTATTGGTTTAACACTATCAATGCGACTTTCCCAACGAGTTGGTGCCAATGGTTTAAGTGTTATACCGTTCACCTTCTCTCTGTAGACTTCCCAGTTGTTGGTTGAAGCTGCAAACAAGACGTATATGCGCTGCACAATACCAAAAAATGAAAGAGCTTTCTTAGATGAGGAAGCCATATCAGAAAGAGCAAGATTGAGACTATGACATCCACATGGAGTATAAAATGCCCTTGGGTTTATATCAAGCAATCTTTTCTGAACTCCTTTCTTTCTTCCTTTCATATTCTGTCCATTGTCGTAACCTTGTCCTCTTACATCATCAATGTCTTGAAGAGTATTAAACATTCCTTCTCCTGTCTTGTCTTTGATATCCAAAAATGACAAAAAGAACTCCTCAACCTTAGGTGAATCCGTAGAAATATCCACACATCGAATTAGAAAGGTCATTTGCTCCTTACGACTAATATCCGGAGTTGAATCCAAGATGACTGAAAAATACTTTGCATCTTCGATCTTCTTTAAGATCTCCATCTTAATCTCATCAGCAAGCAATCCTATCAACTCATTCTGAATCTTATGGCTGAAATAATGGTACCGACTTTTACGGTTATTAAACCGCCGAATGTGTTCCTTCATTACTTCATCAAACCCTCCGATCATCCTAATAAAAGCCCCAAAATTCCCACTGTCCAGATCTTCAACCTTTTCCTTTCCTCCACGAAATGCCAAATTTCTTTCTGCTAGAGTCTTCACCACTGAAATTATCCTCAACATCACATCTCTCCAATGCTTCCTCTCCTTGTTAATAGCCTCCTGCAAAGGTTTATCAATAGTCTCTTTGTTTGTCAGCCTTAACTCTAGCTCAACCCAGCGAGACATGCAAACCATATGAGGATGAGTAGTTTCATGTCTATTCAGCCTATGTGAAGCATTTCTCCAATCACCATACCCAGTAGTTACCAAAATAGGAGGATTTGTTTCTTGAGTGAATAGTTTGCAGCAAAAACAAAAGATCTTGTCTTTAGACTTTGAATAAACTAACCATCTTCTGTCTTGCTTCTCTCCATTGCTCATTTTTCTTGTATACCAAGAATGAGTGAAACATCTAATACCATCTCTCGGATAAGGATAACCCGCTGGTTGTCTTGTGGGTGGACCTTTCTCTACCAAAAAATCTCTCATTTTCTGGTCAATTTCTCCCCAATTTCCAGGATCATCCATATCCACATTCTCATAAAAATGCTTAGTACCATCAACTTCTTCATTTCTTGTATACCAAGAATGAGTGAAACATCTAATACCATCTCTCGGATAAGGATAACCCGCTGGTTGTCTTGTGGGTGGACCTTTCTCTACCAAAAAATCTCTCATTTTCTGGTCAATTTCTCCCCAATTTCCAGGATCATCCATATCCACATTCTCATAAAAATGCTTAGTACCATCAACTTCTTCATTCTCTTCCCCGTCTTTATCTTCAAATTCTGTACTCTCGGTCCTTCCATTTGCATCATCTCCAACGAATCCTTCTGCACTTTTTGCATCTGCATTATCAGTAACAAGTTCTTCATCTTCTTCAATAGGAAGTTCTTCATCTTCCTCGTTCATCTCAGCCCCAACAGTTTCAGATCTTTTAGTTCTTGTCACATACTTTAGCATATCATTTCTTTGAGAATTTACCGATTCATCTTGTCTTTTCCTTCTCTTCCTATTTGCACTTCCACTTGGTTGAATCCTGATTCTCTTTACCGGCGACATAGCTACAAATCCATGAAAATTTATGAATACTTTTCACTTTTGTTTCTTAGTGAAAAGAAAAAAAAAACAGAGCAATACGCCAATAAGAAAAAAACAATTAGCAACGATTTGTTTGTGTTTCTCACTGGGAGCTTGCCAACAGAGCCGAATGTGATTGAAGAATAGAACCAAATTTCCAAGTTTCATGTTTGTTCATCAAGTTTTGAGAAAACGCTGTAAAAATTACAAACAGATGACTGAAGAAGAAAACTTACATATAAAGAAGTTCTTCTGTTTGCGTCTCCTTGACACGTTCACTTTCCTCAGGAATCGACGACAATTCAAGACCATCACTTGTATCCAGGATCAGTGATTCATACGTATAGTTCGAAAACCAATTACCAATATCAGGAGGTTCTGAGATACAAAATGGATCAAACAAGATTAGCTTACAAATAATTCCATCAACAGCTACAGAATTTACATAAAATTCCACAATAAACGATAAAAAATAAGATTCTACCAGAAGGGAGTGATTCACAGAGATTCTTATTTTCAATAGGTTTATAATATTTGTTCGAGACAAACTTGGCTGCGGATTTGGTTTCTGAAACAGCAGCACCAAAATTTTCTTTCTCCTCTCCAATAGAAAACCCATTAACATCGCTTTCAATTTTCTTCGGAAATGGGAGATGTAGAATCAGAGTATCCCGGTTCCTGCTTTAAAAAAACAATGAAAAGAAATTAAACTCGAAATCCTTAGTAAAATGTCCAGAAATTTCCGCAACAGATTTATCAAAAGGGCAACAAAAATAATAGAAATTAATAGAAATTACAAATTTCTCACCATTGGGATAAAGTCCTCCACTAGAGAGCTCTCAATCTCAATCTCCGTCTCTCTCTCTCTCTCTCTCTTGCTGTTTCTCTTTCTTCGCCTTCGCCTCCTCGGGATTGTGCAATCTGAGCGGTTTATTATACTTTTCGAAATTTTTATCGTTTCGCGCGTTATTTTCACTTAAAACTACTAGAAGAAGGCAGAAGGAAAACATAATCCGATATTGGGCCTGTGTTTTAAAAACCCAAATTAATTTAAGGCCTTTTAAATATACTACCGTAATATTCCTTTATGATTACAAGGAGTGAAATAACGGGAAAGGGAAGTTTGAGATTAAAACTTATACACTCAAAATTTTATTAAATCGACATAATTGAAATGATTTTGGGAAAATATAGAAAAATACGAAAAATATTTAGGAAAATTTAAGGAAAATATATGTAACTAGGTGGTAGGTGAAATACTCTATTTTTCCAAATAATTTAACTTAGTCAAATTTTAGGTCTGGTTTTCATTTAACATTTTCAGTTGCGTGAGGTTCCCAAACTTAATCATTTATGCACAAACGAACATACATAAACTTGAATTATTTAGATTAAATTCTTGTTAAAACAAACATCAATTTAACTTAGGAAAAGCAGAAAACTTAAAATACAAATTCGGTTCTAGCAATAATGCGAGTTCACCACATGCTAGTAAAAAGTAAAAACCATATAAAATAAAAATTAAATAATAAACAATATAAAATTCTTCTGGAATATAAATAAAATATAAATCCTCCAGGGATATAAATAAGATATAAATCCTGTAGGGATATAAATAAAAATAGAAATAAAATATAAATCCTTCAGGAATATAAATCAAATAAATAAAATACAAATCCTTCAGGGATGTATATACTTGAAATATATAATTCTTTCAAGGAAAAATAAAATATAAATCCTTCAGGGATATAATTTGAAAAAGCAATAAAAAAAGATGTATATGAAACATGTGATTGCTGAATCCAAAATATTATCAATAAGTAATATTGATAAAAATGGATCTTAGTAGAATAAACACAAATCAACAAAGTAATAGAAATTACTCATTGAATTTTGTGAAAAAAAAAACAATAATAATAAGAACTATGAGGAGATTTGATTTTGAGAGAAATCAAAAGCTAAGAGTAGAGACTCGTGCTGATAACATGTTGTAAGAAAAAAGAGAATGGAATAATCTTGTTCATGAGTAGAGAAGCTTTTTATATAGAGTACAAAGTTAGGGTAGAAGGAGAACTTGTAGTACAAGAGTATTGGGCCTAATAGGATAATGAGCATCCACATATTTACCCATAACAACAAATATTGTTTCCAAACGTACTATTATTTATCATAATTACCATATAAATATTTAAAGTTTTCTTATAAAAAATTCAACATCGTGTGCTTCTCAAACACGGGTCGAGATCACCGCATAAACATTATTTTACAGTTACAACACACAAATCTTTGAGATCTCTAATTAGAAAAAAGAGAGAATATAAGGACAACTTGACCCTAAATTGCCAAATTTATTTAAAAACAAAAAATGAGCTTCACTAATATCAAAAAAATATTACCGATAAAAACGGTTTAGTTCTCTTTAATCAGATGATTAAACAATATATAAACTTAGAAGTAGAATATTCACAAATTTAACTAACTCAACACCACGGGTCAAAACCAAACATTATTTTAGACCCGAGTCTTTTTGGAGAGACAAAAGAAAAAACAAATCTAATTAAAGGTGAACGTTTGTAATCTTGACTTTAACATGTTTTATGAACAAATTTACAAATAAAGAGAAAAGAAGAAGACTGGATCTGTAACAGGGGTGGGCACAATTCCCGTCTCGTCCCGTCTCATTCCCAATCCCGAATTCCCGTACCATATGAGAATATATTCCCATATGAGATGTGTAGCTGATTCCCATTTGGGAATGGGACGGGACGGGACAAGAACGGGAATTCCCGAAATCCCATTTGGGACAAATTATATATCACTTACATATATTAATAATAGTATTATACATAATTAGATATATATTATATAGCTTAGATACAATAATTTGTAAATATGGTTTCATAACTCAAAAGATTCAAAAGTATTAAGCATTATCTTTATGATTATTAATTTTGAGATTTGAATTTTATGATTATATTTTGAGATTTGAATTTTATTATTATTAATTTATCATGTTTTATTATTTTTGGGAATTCCCATTCCGTTCCCGTCCCGTCTCGTCCCGTTCCCGTCCCGTCTCAAAATTTAAATGGGACACATATGGGACAACTATTTGATTTCTATATTCCCATCTCATTCCCGTTCCCGAAAAGTCCCGTCCCAATTTCCCGTTTGCCCATCTGTTTATTTATTGTTGATTCAATTATTCTTATTCCACCAAATCACATGGCCAAGGCCCACGAAATCAAAGGATAAAAACTATGACAAATGGGCTTAGAAGATGAGGCTCATACCCGAGAAGAATTAGTGCGACCCAAATATTAACCACTTCATTTATCACTTTTTCTCTTATAATTAATTTAATATTTAAATTAATCGTAAACTAAAATGTACATTGAATAATTGTATAATTCAAAAAACTAAAATCTTCAAAAATTATCATTATATGCTTCTCAATATGCGCTTCTCAAGTATCATACATTCGTTTCTAACCACAGGTCAAGATGGTAAACAGATTAGATAAATGCTCAATTTGCAAAATCATGAAAAAACGATAAACAACATGGGCTTTGCCGTTTTGAATTGATACCCGAAAAGAAATAGTTCGGATCAAAATTTTGACAACTTAATTTATCACGAGAGTTGTCCTATAATTAATTCAATCTATACATTAATTTAACCTTCAAGTAAATTCAAGTAAAATTAACTCTGACTAATTGAATTCAATTAGCTAAAATCTTCAAAAATCTCAGCATCCCACGGTCAAGACCTAGTCTTCCTTTAAAGAGGAGAGATTATCTTTGTAAACACTTTATCGTTTAAGATAACAAAATCAAACAATGAAATCTTTCTTTCTCTCTAATCTTCTCTTCTCATCTCAATCTTCGTTTATTCTCCCTCCTTCTGTTCGTGGATAAGTCCCGGACTTATCAGTGTGTAAATAAAATAAAATAAAAACATTTTGGTGAAAATGATCTCGACAACACAACAAAAGAGTTTGCGGCACATGTCTTCGTGGCAGTAAAAAAGTTATTTCCTCTCCCCAAAACTGACTCAACCGCAAATGTGTTTCTTGAACTCAACTCAATACTGCTGACAAATTCCAAATCCATCACCGGTTAGTATTGTGACTAGAATATGAACAAAATTAAACCACAAGTAAACACAAACTTTCTAACATTCCAGAGACAAATCAAAACTACTCGTATCCATGTGGGTCTTTATGAATTCCTAAGTTTCACAAATCAATGGAATAATAGAAACTGAGTAAAAAAAATCTGCATCTATGGATGAAATCGAAAACCATCAGAAAAATCAACCACGATAGTTTTTTTTTCCATTTTACCTGAATAAGAGAAGAGCCAGAGGATTACAACGCAGAGAAGAAGAATGAGAGGAATGAAATGGATGACGTTCTCCGCAGATCTGACACGCGATTTCTCTCTTTTCCCCGGTTGAGAATTCGGATCGTAACTTGGCAAAAGCAGCTCCGTATCATCTCCCATATCTGTAACGCTCTGAGATCGTGGCGGAGACGGTGACGACGTTGAAAGAATCGCCGGAAACTGATCGGAAACTCTTGAGCCACTCGCCGATCTACGCATCTCTCTCTCCTTAACGTAACTTGTCAAGTCAAAGGCCGAAACTTTTTTCACCACAATAACGCATATAAATACTGTCGTCACGTCAGGTTTGACCAATAGAGAAGAGTCAAAGCTTGAAAAATGGTGAAACCTTGTGGTGTCTCTCACTAAGATCTCTCGTCTCTCAATCTCGGAGATATATTTGATTGCTTTATGACAATCACCGCAGATTCTCAGGTTCTTGAACACTTGTATCGGTGAACCTTGAGGGAGTTTTAAGCACCCAAAAGCAACAGCTAACTTCTCGCTGTGCCATAACAATAGCTTCTTTTTCTGCTCTTCTTCTACATGGTGTAAAGCAAACTCTAGCTCCGGTTTGTATCCAGCAAGTTTCATTTTCTTCTCCAACTCCTTGAGTTTCTTGTGTATTGAGTCTAGCTCAGGGTGAATCCGATCACTTGATCTAAAATGGTGAACCAACTATATCCAGGTACCTGAAACAATCGATTGAACACATAAAAGGTCTTGTAAAACGAATAAAGAATCAAAAACTTTTTCAATCACCATACCTTGACGACATTGCTCTCCTTGATTCTCTTGCGAACCCTAGCAACGTCTTCCCAACGACTCCTCGAAGCGTAGATATTAGCAAACTGCACATATCCGGCTGCATTTCTCGGGTCAAGCTCAAGTAGTTTCTCAGCTGCGAACTCAGCCAATTCTACATTCTTGTGCCACAAGCCGCAGCTTGTGGTCTAAACGGCATTGATCTTATCAACTTCAACGCCTCCGCCAGCTTCCCAGCCCGACCCAAAAGATCAACCATACACGTGTAGTGATCAGGCCGCGGTTCTACCCTGTAATCTCTCACCATCGAATCAAAATACTCCAGTCCAGCATGGTTACAAGCCAGCAAAACCGCAACAAATGTTATCCAATCCGGTTTGGTCCGGTTATCTCTCATCTCACAGAACAAAGACAGCGCCTTTTCCGCTTTACCGTGCTGTGCATACCCGGACATGATCGCATTCCACGCCACAACGTCTTTCTTCTCCATGGCCTGAAAGAGTTTCCAAGATTTCCACATTTGCAGTACATACTTATCAGAGACGTCACTGCGGTTATGTCACCCACACAGAGTAGATTTACAAACTATTTGATGGATTTGACTCCCTAACTGTAACGCCGACAACTCGCTGCTCAGTCCAGAGGCATTAGGCCTAACTCCTTCCTCCATCATTGCTCTGAAAAGCTTTAATCCATCTTCTGGCCGAGAGTTTTCGACGTAACCAGAGATCATAGCATTCCAAGTTACGAGATTTTTCTTCACTGTCATGTCTTTGAACTCTGCCTCAGCTAATGCAACCTTGTTAGCTTTCATGTACCCTGTGATCATCGCCGTCCACGCCTCTAACCGGAGCAGCTTTGAAGAACTGTCTTGCCATTTCCAAATCTCCGCATTCTACGTAACCCGAAATCATGGCATTCCAAGAAATTTCGTTCTTCTCCGACATGGAATAGCGCTTTTTCCGTTTCCCTTCTCCGCGCGTACCCTGTGATCATCGTGTTCCATGACGCCGAGTCCGATCGAAGAAGCTCCGGGCCTTGTCGAAGTCACCGCAACAGGAGAAAGATGTTCAAAGAACGTCTTGTTCCACATTTAACACTTATTATTTGGGGAAATCTGAAAAAGGACCTGAGTTTACGCATGCGATAGATTCCAAAATAACTCTTTTTATCACAAACTTTTGAATCTTAATTACGGATTTTATGATATTCTAAGAACAGGAGCAGAAATGAGAAAGAGTAAAACTCAGTGAAGACTCAAAACCGATAACGCTAAAGATGTCTGTCTGAAACTTAGTCATAAAATGAGAAAACAACAACGACTAAAGACTAAAAGGTAAACCAAAAGGAGTGTATTGTTTCAAAAGTAAAAAAAAAAAACGGTCAGGCATAAGTTCACAACAAAAGACCGGCAAACAGTAAAAAACACCCTCCCACGAATATCCTCCAGTCTTAATCTCAGCAGAAGAGAAAAAAACAAAGGGAAACCGCAGGAGTTGTAGGATGTTTTCATGGATAGAGAGCGCTCTTTACTTGCCCCCAAGAGATGGGAACTGAGCAGAATCTCCAATGGCAGGCGCAGCTTCATTACGGTAACCACCAAATCCGCCACTTGAAACTCCTCCACGGCCACGACCACCACGTCCACGGCCACCACGACCTCCTCGGTAGTAGTTCTCACCCTCAGCTGGCTTCAGAAACTCATTGATGCTCACAGCCTACAAATCAGAAAACCCATCCCATAAGCAGACTTATATTGATCATCTATCTTCAGACAATGATTTAAACCTTCTTAGCCTTGTCTTCTTTGTCATCTTTGCGTTTGTCCTTATCAGAACCCTGGCAAATATATCCAAGCAAGGTTCAGAATCGGTTAACCAAGTGTCTCGTCGACAATGAAGAAACGATCGAGGAGATATGTCTTACCAACTTGATGAAGATTTCATCGTTGGACTTCTTGTTTGAGAGTTGCTGCATTGATTCAAACTCTTTAGTATCAACTTTCCTCTCAGAGGTGGTACGAGATTGAAGGGCCTTTTTCTTCTCCTCGAGTATTTTCTCATACTCATCCAGAGTCATTTCCTATTGAAACACGAAACCAAGAAGCAATCAATGAGACTAACAAGTCAAAATTACAGAGGAAAACTGAGTTCCAACTCCTATTTTTACTCTGAACCAAGTTGTGATATAGTAGAAACTAGAAGGTAAACTAAGGTCTCTTTTTCCTTCTCAACTTACCTTATCTTCTTGCTCTTTCTCCTCCGCAACTTGAACAGCATTTTCCTTGCTGGCATCAGCAGCTACATCATCACCAGCTGGCTTCACCACAACATCCTTCTCAGTCTCAACACCAGCTACTTCTTCAGTCTCACTTGAAGATCCATTGAAGCTTCTTTTAGTCAATATCATAATATTTTTCAGAAATGTAATTACTTAGAGAAAAATGTTTACCCAGAAAACACTTCTTCTCCTGGCGTTCCCCAATTCCCACGACCAGATCCTAAGCGTTTGAAGTCGCCACTAACCAAAAGACAAAAGGGTTAAGCTTATGAGACTGACACCGCCATTTCAATGGCAAAATATACAAAAACTGAAAGAGACTCACCCTCTGCCAGTTCCACTACGACGCTCATATGTCCTTCGAGGACGTTCACCTTCACCACCTTCATTGCTGGATCCACCACGTCGACCACCACGAGCGCCGCCACCACCATCACCACCACGCCTCTCGTAAGAAGACCTTGAAACATCTCCTTCCTCTGAGGGTTTACTGTATCCCCCTGAATATCCATTGTTACCTCCAGGACGATCACCACCTCCAAACTCACGGTTGTAACCACCGCGAGCACGGTTAAATCCACGTCCACCACCGCGTGGCGCATCACTCCTTGCCTCTCGCACTAGTTTAACAGCATTAAAACTAATCAGTTACCAATCTCAACAACTGAAATGACAACTCAAAGCTCCAAAATCTAGCAAATGAATCCAAATAACAATACAGACGGTCTACTTTAATGGATGTCAAATTAATAACAAGTCGATAAATTTGATGATTTTGTTAATAGAATCTCACCAGCTTGAGCAGGAGGAAGCGGCTTCGACGGGAGCTTTCCAGCAGCTGACTTTGCAGGCAAGCCAGAAACGGGTCCAGATTTCTTGGACTTATCAGCTTTCTCCGCTGGAGCGATTGAGACAGCGAGCTGGCTCGGATCCTCAGCATCGTTACCCAACAGATCAAAAGGGTTCACAGTTGCCATAGCTTCGAACAATCAAACTGATTAAAACCCTAACTCTTACTTTTTTCCCCCAAATTATCACACAGAGACGACACCACTAGTTATTAAGCGAAGCCATGGATTAGTAGATCTAAAGGAAAAACGTCTAAATGAAGGAGACGAAATGGGTATTGACGATAGGGTTTGGGTTGGTGAGAGAGAAATGAAAGATGTCAAATTTTAGAGGAGTGAGAGACTAGTAGCGGCGGACCAAAACAATCACTTTAAAGCTTCCTTAGGGCATCTCTCTAGTGTTTTAGTATTTTGTTTTTTTTTTCTCCATCCAAAACACACCACTAATCCAATGTGGACTGAAATTGAGTTGTATTTGAAATGGACTGAAATTGAGTTCTAATCCAATGTTATTCGATCAAGATTTCAAATCCGGTTTTAAAATCCAGTGTTATTCAATATCTGATTTATTAATAGAGTTTCAAATCCAGTGTTATTCAATCAAGATTTTAAATCCAGATTTAAAATCTACTGTTATTCAAAACTAAATGACTTTTCAAATCATTTGTTTATTGAGTCATTTGAAATGCATTACAATGGATTTCTATGAGTAAATTATTAAAAACAGAATCCATGAGATATTGCAGAGATTTTGAATCAACTGAAATAGATTCTTAAAATAACACAAAACTAGGATTTAACCCGCACAAATGTGCGGGACAAACTGTTGTTATGGTTGATATAATTTGTATTTGACGTTTGTAGGTTAAAGGATCGAAGTTATTGAGGGTACTTATTACAATTATAGAGCTTGGAGAAGGAAGAAAGTTGAGAAAGAAGTAGATTGCCATTACAAAATAATTTGTAAATAATATTTGAAGTAGTAATGAAATGCATTAAACTAATGTGTTTGGAATATAAACAAAATCGGAGAGGCTTGAAAAAATTAAAACATTTAAACGGGTACGAAAACAAATGGATCATGGGGAAAATAATTTTTTTAAATTGTATAAAAATTAGTATAGTTTCATTGTTTGCGAGAAAAAATATGTAAGATTTCAGATGTTTATATATTATATTTTATATATAATAGGAGAGTTGTCTCTCCATCTAGGCTATCCACATCAGCAAAAAAATTCATTAAATTGTTTTTAAGATATTTAATACATGACTATTCATATTTCTTTACATATATTTATATTTTAAATATAAATAAAACTAAGAAAAATACACAACTAAATTACTTAATTAATATAAAGTATGTGATAACTTGATGTTAAAAGTTATCAAAAAGTTTGAATATAAGTAAAAATATATTTAACTTGAAATGGTATATATTTACCTTTTTATTAAAAGGATTTATCCTATTTCAAAATGTTATAATGTGTTTACAAGTTAAAAAGTTGAATATAAATTAATTAAGATAATAAAAAACCAATGAGAAATTAGAGTTAGAGTTTGCTTTTTTAAAAAATAGAAGTCGAGTTTTTATATGTAAATTTAATTGCAGTGAAAAACATGAAATTTTAAGGATTGTGATATGTTTGTTTCAAAATATATTCAATTACAAAACTAACATAATAGAAAATAATCAATGGTCATGAGGCTCATATGCTACCACAACAAAGTAGATATGTAAAAAAGTATATATATTATTTTTTTCATCTTATTTCGGTGCAAATGCGATTTTACATTATACTTACAAATTTTAACGTTGAGTCAAATACATATGCATGTTTATAGTCTAACAGAAGTAAACAAACATAATATTTATAATATGCTAAAATGTTAAAATAGAAAACTCGAGATAAAGTGGGGTGTTAACATCCTAATAAAATAAAATAAAAGGACGCGATGTGAGATAAAGTATAAATAAAACTAAACAGAAAACTATCGCAAACAACTCCGCGCTTGCGCGGGCTTCAAACCTAGATTAGATTAATATGGAGACTCCCTTATGATTTAATAATAAACGAAATAGAGTTGGTCGTCATATTCACTTTGTGATAATGTATATTTTGCAATGTTGTACTAAATTTGATAATATACTACTCTACTCATTGAAACATAGTCCATAATAATACTAACATCTTTGAAAACAAAATTGTTAATTGTTAAGACCATAAAAAATAAAAAAACTGGTAACTAAAAAGGAAAATAATACATGGAGTAACCTATCCCTGATCCGATTTTTGAAAGAAAATTATTGACTCGTGAAAGAATAATATTGGATCTGTAATTGAAAATTATTGAACTACTAAAAGAAAATTATTTTAACCCTTAATAAATTATTCAATATGTAAAATTTATTTCACACCCCAAAATGTTATTTAACAAATAAATAAAATTATTCAATATGTAGAACTTATTTAACCCGTAAAACAAAATATTATTGGATCTATAATTGAAAAATTTTGAACTCTAAAGAAATTTATTTTAACCCTTGAAAAAAATTATTCAATCTGTAAAATTTATTTAACATGCCAAAAAGGTTATTTAACAAATGAAAAAAATTATATAATCCGTAGAACTTACTTAACCCGTAAAACAAAATTATTTGCAATCCATATGGTTAAGTTACTCTTAACTTTAACCAATAATCACTATATTTTGATTTAGTATATACAATTATATGTCTATTATGTACATTTGGTTTACTTATTGGCCACCCTTCATGTTCACATACTATCTAATTATTCTGTAATTTATTAAATCTTTCAAAAAATGAAATCATATAAATTTATATATCTATTTTTTAAAATGATAAGATTTCAGTTTTCTTTCAATATTAAAAATAATTTGAAAAATGATACTCAAGAAAATTGATTACTTCTTTTATATATTACAAAAATTACATTAATGCCAATATTAAAGAAACAAACATTCTAACAAATAAGTGTATGCATATATGCAAAAAAATATAATTTTATAACAGATGTGGTATAAGGTTTCGCTTATACGCTTCATGTACCCAATTGTTGGGTCATATATGATTAAAAGTAACCCAATTTTTAATTTTTTTTTTTTTTTTTTTTTTTTTTTTTTTTTTTTTGTATACAACTTCTATCTTTAGAACAACTCGGAATCTAAACTGGTGAAACAGAGTTTACATAGTACACATCAGTAGGTAGAGCTCGAGCACTTCGTGCTAACTTGTCTGCCTTCGTGTTTTCCGTCCTTGGTATATGCATGATGGTAAAAGAGGTGAACCCCTCTTACATCTATCCACCTCGTCAAGTAGTAATAGAAAGCCGGCCACTCCTCTGGTTTAGACACCATCTTCACCACATCGGAACAGTCCGTCTGAAAAACCATGTTAACTTGTTATTCCTTAACATACATTGCATAGCCCAAATGAGAGCTTCCAACTCCGTCTGAAGTGGTGATATCCCCCGCCTCAGATTAGATGTGCCCATCAGTTTTTCAGAGTTGGTGTTAAAATAATACCATCCAAGACCAGCTCTGCACTCTCAGTTTCCTTCCAAGCCCCATCCACCTGACATATATCCCTGATGCCAATACTTCCACGGGGTTCTATGTGGGGGCCTTCTGGCGTTCCTGGGCCTTTGCCATGCAATGGATTCCGCCTTCTGCTTTAAGATAATCTCATTGGGTCCCAATCCACATTGCTCATGACCTTGTCATTACGAGATTTCCAAATATACCAAATTAACCAAGGGTACATCTTCATCCTCTCATCATTTGGCAAATGCCAAAATATGTGTGTCATATTTGTAAATAGTCCTCCTGTTGGGAAAGTGGTCCGGTGCCGTTGGGATCGGGGATAATGCCCAAACTTGTAGGGCCGGGACACTCAAATAATGTGTGATTGACAGTTTCTGGTGCCATTCCACAACGCATACACTGGGGTCTATCTGCATACCTCGACTCCGTAATCTCGCACCGACTGCTATGCATCCCGTCAAAGCTTGCCAAAGAAATGTTGAGTTTTGAGTACATTTTATTTTCCACACATGTGCCTGAAGCCTCCGTGTATCTGGGCCAAAAATGTGGGAGTATCTTCCTCCAAGATTGTTGTGCTACCATGTACCCGATTTAACCGTATATCGACCCGACTTCGTGAAAAACCATCCCAGGGAGTCTGGGAGGGCGCGTGAAGTGGGATCCCGATAATCCTCGACATCTGTGCTGTCAAATAATTGGTTGTAATAGTGGAAGATTCCACGTTGCTGTACTGGAATTATCAATTCACTCACCCGAAGGTGAGGGTAAAATTCATCCCAGTTCCTTTGGCTGGCCTCGGGCGAGAAGCTGGAATCCATGGATCATCCCAAACCGAGATAGATGTTCCTGAACCAACTCTTTTAATAAGTCCTTTTTGTACCAGAGGTCGAGCCGATACTATACTCTGCCATCCATAAGAAGCCGAGTAAGATCTAATGGGGTCCAAAGGCGTTGCGTTCCGGTAATAACGTCCTTTGAAACACTCTTGCAAACAAAGAATCTGGATAGTCTTAGCCTCCAGAGTTGTTTTGCAAGTAAAGCCGTGTTGAAATCCTCAATAACACGAAATCCCAAGCCCCCATCATTTTTGTGCCTGCAAGTTTTTTCCAGGCCAGCCAATGCATTCCGCGTGTCTGCCCATTATTACTCCACCAGAAATTTGAAACCGCACTAGAAACTTATTTGTAACTCCTTTGGGCAGACGAAAGCATGCCATTTCATGCGTAGGCATCGCCGAGACCACTGACTTAATAAGAACCTCTTTCCCCCTTTTGACAGCCACTTGGAGTTCCAGCCGTTGATTCGTTGTTGTTGTCGATCTATTAAAAAACTGAAAATCTTTGTCTTTGCGCCCCCCATACTTTCTGGGATCCCGAGATAGTTTCCGACCCCTCCTACATTGTGAATCCCCAGGGTCTGATGTATCTCAGCCCGCACCCCTACCTCCACCGTATGTCCGAATTGTATCGATGATTTTCAAAATTTATTTGTTGGCCAGAGGTGTTTTCGTAGTCCTTTAGAATTTGAAGTAAAACCCGACTCTCATCACCATTTGCTTTGCAGAAGAAAAGACTATCATCCGCAAAAAGAAGATGAGAACCGGCTGGACTCGCCCTAGCCACTTTAAGCCCTGTGATCCTTTTCAACTCTTCCGCCTTTGATATTTGCTATCAAAACCTCCGTACAGAGAATAAAAATAAGGGGAGAGTGGGTCTCCCTTGTCGTAACCTCGATGAGGGGTTATTATCCCTTTAGGTTGTCCATTAAGTAACACCTATACTTAACTGATGTAATACATAGCATCACCAATGAAATCCACTGTTCCGCAAAACCCATTTTCCTCATTAAAGCCTCTATAAAGTCCATTCTACCCGATCATAGGCTTTGCTCATATCCGTCTTTACCGCCATATATTTCTTTGCACGATTTATTTGTCCGGAGTCCATGAAACATCTCCTGAGCGATCAGAATGTTGTCCGAAATTTGCTACCCGGTACAAAACAGACTGAGTTTCCGTAATTAACCTAGGTAAAAGCACTTTGAGCCTCTGACAAAGAACTTTAGAAATAATCTTGTAGCCCACATTACAAAGACTGTTTGGTCGTAATTCCGTCATTCTGCTCGGTCTTCCCTGTCTTTGGAATAAGACAAATGTGAGTCATATTCAATCTTTCATCAAAAGCCTCCGGTGAGAAAACGATTGACCAACTGAAGGATATCATTTTTAATAATATGCCATGACGTTGGAAAAATAGCCGTCATGCCATCTGGTCCCGGTGCTTTCTCTGGATGCATCATAAAAAAGCTTGCGCACCTCTGATTCCGTCGCATACGAGTCAAAGCTGCATTTTCTTGTGCTGTAACCCGGTGTGATATATGTTCGAGCACCCCTGTGAAGTCCCCGGTGAAATTGACGTAAACAATTTGTCAAAGTAATTGACTGCTACCTTTTCCACATCTTTTTCTTCAGCGACCCATACATTGCGTCATTATGAAGGCCAACAATCCTGTTAAGTGCCCTCCTCTGCTTGAAAGAATTTAGTATTTAAATCCCCGTCTTTCAGCCACAAGTTCCTACTTTTTTTGTTTCCAATATTCCTCCTCGTCCCTATATGCTTCCTTCAACTTATTGGTTATGTCGATGAGTTCGTCTTGAGTACTATTATCATCCTCCTGGATCTCCTCCAGTGCCCGCTGTAACTCTGCTATTTTTTGTCGTCCATATGGTTGATTATCTTCCTCCAAACCGAAATCTCGTGACGGCAGTTACTTATCCTATCCGCCACGTCTGGCACAACCCCGCCCGAGTGTTGTTCCATCCCCGATCAATAGACTCGAGAAGTCCCTCCGACCAATCCATCGTTTATCAAACCGAAATTGTTTTCGCCTTTTGGGTATCTTAGAATCCAGTGCCGCCAATATTGGTCTATGGTCATAACCAATCATTGGTAGATACTCAACATGGGAGACCGGAAAATATCATGCCATTCTTCCGTTGCTAACGCTCTATCCAGTCGACACCGAACTATTTTCCCCCGTCTTCTTCCCCTCCATGAGAGTGTGTTCCCACGGCTTGGAAAATCCACAAAACCACAATCACTTATCATCAAGTTAAAAGGGATAAAAGATGATGCTTGGCGTAGGCACCCCTTGTTTCTCATGATTTCCTGTGATCTCATTAAAATCCCCGATCAGAAACCACGGGTCTATTCGTGTTGTTCTGATCCTTGTAATCCGTTCCCAAACAAGATCCCGCAATTTTACCACTGGGTCCCCATAGACAAAAGACATAAAAATCACCTTCCCTTCATATCGAGCCTCAACATCAATTATCCGTTTATTAGAGTAAACGATATTGGAAAAATGTCATTTTTAATAATATGCCATGAACGTTGGAAAAATGAGGCCGTCATACCATCTGGTCCCGGTGCTTTCTCTGGATGCATCATAAAAAGAGCTTTGCGCACCTCTGATTCCGTCGCAGTACGAGTCAAAGCTGCGTTTTCCTGTGTTGTAACCCGGTGTGATATATGTTCGAGCACCCCTGTGAAGTCCCCGGGTGAAATTGACGTAAACAATTTGTCAAAATAATTGACCGCTACCTTTTCCACATCTTTTTCTTCAGCGACCCATACATTAGCGTCATTATGAAGGCCAACAATCCTGTTAAGTGCCCTCCTCTGCTTGAAAGAATTTAGTATTTAAATCCCCGTCTTTCAGCCACAAGTTCCTACTTTTTTTGTTCCAATATTCCTCCTCGTCTCTATATGCTTCCTTTAACTTATTGGTTATGTCGATGAGTTCGTCTTGAGTACTATTATCATAATCCTGGATCTCCTCCAGTGCCCGCTGTAACTCTGCTATTTTTTGTCGTCCATATGGTTGATTATCCTTCCTCCAAACCGAAATCTCGTGACGACAATTACTTATCCTATCCGCCACGTCTGGCACAACCCCGCCCGAGTGTTGTTCCATCCCCGATCAATAGACTCGAGAAGTCCCTCCAGACCAATCCAACGTTTATCAAACCGAAATTGTTTTCGCCTTTTGGGTATCTTAGAATCCAGTGCCGCCAGTATTGGTCTATGGTCATAACCGATCATTGGTAGTTACTCAACATGGGAGACTGGGAAAATATCATGCCATTCTTCGGTTGCTAACGCTCTATCCAGTCGACACCGAACTATTTTCCCCCGTCGTCTTCCCCTCCATGAGAGCGTGTTCCCCCGGCTTGGAAAATCCACAAACCCACAATCACTTATCATCAAGTTAAAAGGGATAAAAGATGATGCTTGGCGTAGGGCACCCCTTGTTTTTCATGATTTCCTGTGATTTCATTAAAATCCCCGATAAGAAACCACGGGTCTATTCGTGTTGTTCTGATCCTTGTAATCCGTTCCCAAACAAGATCCCGCAATTTTACCACTGGGTCCCCATAGACAAAAGACATAAAAATCACCTTCCCTTCATATCGAGCCTCAACATCAATTATCCGTTTATTAGAGTAAACGATATTGACATCAGAAATGTTATTATAGAATAATGCCAATCCCCCACTCGCGCCAACTGGTTCCAATGTAAATAATCTATCATAGCGAAAGTGCAACTGAAATTGTTGAACAAAATCAAATCCCTCTTTTGTTTCAGAAAGAAAAAGAAACTCAGGTTTAAATTTTCCCCAAATTTCTTGGAGATGGCTAATTGTAAATTGGTTCCCCAATCCTTGACAATTCCAACTAAGGACTCTCATTGACCAGATTTTGTTTTTTCCTAGTGGTTATGATGTCATTTTCATCCCCACCACACCATGGCCCACCGATGTTAACCATGTTAAACCAATATCTCAGGATGTTCTTCAGCAGAATTGCTAATCTCTGCTCCCACAAGCTCATGTCCCAAACTAATAATCGTAAGACTATGGGAGTTTTCTGATAATGGATTCCTTATGGAACCATACCAAGGCCCACAGCAGGAGATGTATCCCATCTTCCACCTCATTACTGTGATAGTCACCAACCACGATACCCGCAATTTGTCCCTCTCACATTCAAAATATAATTCCGGTCTACTCCTGTTCCAAAGAAATTGCCGGATCCTCTGAAATAAATTCATTTGTCTACCATATTTATCAAGGGCCCAATTCATACGACACGATAACACCAAACCAATTTCTGTAGTCATTAAAAAGATAAGGCCCTGATGTACATTTCACGTCTCAATCAGAGTCCAATGACAGGAACCAATAGCAACCGGAACAGACATACACTCAATACAACAAGCCTTTAATATTAAATGAATTACACAACCTCTCGGAGACCTCATTACCTTGCCGTAGTGTTCCCCTAGAAACCAAGTTATGCCTATCCTCTTAGTTATCCCAAGCAAAAGCAGAACCATGGTCGACTTTTGAATCCTGACGCTCCAGCTGAACCTGAGGCACATACCAGACCTCCCATAGATAGAAATCTTAAAAACACCGATTATAACCTGTGAATAGTTCATATTGAACTCGAAACAGAGCCAAAGGCCATCCCCGTGCTTACATCTATTCCCGCCCATGCAGCAACCCCATGTGAGGCCTAACTCCACCTGCTGAGAACCGATGTGATGATCCCATATTCCCCTATTCGAAAACCTTGTCAAAAACACTCGCAAGCACCCATTCAAGACACCATATATAACCAAACTCCATTTATTGTGAGAAATCTCACCCTTTGTATTATTAAAAGGCAGGGGAATCCCTGTTACAACACACGACACTGTCGTGATCAAGTGGCCGAAAACAAAATTAGAAAAAACAAACTCACTTAAGCTACAACATAGCCTAGGTAGTAAAGTAGAAAAAACAGACAATCTTTTTACCCAACTCAGCCGGGGATGTATTATTTCAAACAATAAAGGAAAGTTGAATAATCAAAATCACCAAGATAGGACAAAAACTGCGAAACGAAGTCGGTGAAGACAGATTTACAATCACATGAAATTAGTATATCTGAGAGAGTGAATCATGTGAGTGAATTAGCTAGCTATGTAGATTTCTTACTATGAATCACGATCCTGAATCAACCAAAGGAGTTGCCGCCAATCAATGGCTAGTTCAGTTTCAGCAAACCCTGTGGGCTTGGGACGTCACCACTTCTCCGATTGTCTCTCTATTCTCCGCCTTGTAGGTTTCATCTTTCATCTAATATCTCTCTCCAGATTCTCAATTGCAACCCGACAAACCCTTTTTGTGTTGTTTTCAGATTAAGAACGAAGCATCGAATCTTCAATCAACAGCTAAAGACGTTTTTCTCAACGCTCTTCTTCTCATCGCTAAGCGTTACAGCTCGGACGTTCATTGGAATAATTGTGGATTGACGCTAAGCGTTATGTGTCTGTGATTTGGTTGTAGAGATTGGGAATTTGCAGCGATTGACGCGCTATCTCGGCGCTTCTCTCCACGTAGACCTTTATTCAAAGCCCTTCGGCTAATGTTTAAGCTCCCGATGATGGCATTGTCGTCTTGCTCGAGCTACTCACTGTCCTCCTTGAAGAAATATCTGATACTCGACATTTTCTCATCACTATGATCTGCGTGAAGAGGTTGTTCCTTTTATATCCCTCTTCTTTACAAACTCTCCATTCTCTCAATCTGGAATTTTTATTTGCTTTACTGAAATTGATTACTTTTTCTGGGCAAATTTCTTCTTATCGCTTTGTCTCTGATAACGGTGGAGCTTTTCGAGCTAATTCTTCTTATCGTTTGGAGTTTCTTCTCCTTTCTTCGTCTTGACCCAATCTCATCTATCACAGTCGCCTTCATCTTTCGACGCATCAGTTAGGCCTTCTCTTACTTCTAAATTTGTTTTTCTTCCACACTCGTATTCAATTAGTTCATATTATGGATAGTTAGAATGTAAAGATCTGTCAATTCGACGTTGGTCACTCTTTATTAATTGTTTTGATAGTAGCTAATCAGAGGTATCTTTGTATTTCAACTGTAACTATTATTTAATCTTAAGTCCCAACAGTTAGACTGTTACTAAGAAAAAGCATTGTTTTTGGTAGGTTTTGAAAGAGGGATCTTCGAATTGATTGATCAGATTGTTTCTATGTATCAATTAGAAGAATGCTTCCTAGTCCTAGACATCAAGCAGGCAGGTTAGTATTCCGTAATTCTTGAGTAGTCTTGAGGTTGTTTTATCATTTGTGGGATTTTGTAGAAAATATTAGATGTTAAAGATACTCCTGGTAAAAATCAGTAATTTTTTTGTTCTTTCTAAATGACTAAAACGAATATATTATGATCAACAGGGGCGGAGCTAAAATTATTTTGCACCAGGGTCATATATAAAACAAATGGTACAAAAGGGTCATATGAGAAGATTTGAACTTGAGACAAGGGGGTCATTTGACAATATTTAAACCAAATTAGCTATCAAACACATAACAAATATGGGTGAAAATAAATATTTATAAAAGTAGTAGGGGTCAGCTGACCCCCTTCCTCTCCACCTAAATCCGCCCCTGATGATCAATGTTTGAATTATTCAGTTTAGTTTTAGATAGACTTAACTCTGAAAATTCCACAGAATAATAACCCGAGGGATAGAGTTATTGACGAACTCAACTTTGTATGAACTCCAGTAGAAAATTGTTTAGGTTAATAACCCCATGAGTGTAGATCTATTTCTCATAAATAAACGCACATATAAAAGTGTGTGACTTTTGATTAATGTTTCAAAGTTGGTAATGGCCTAATAATATATAAGTTCGAAACAACTTTCTTAGAAGATAATCCATTCCTGAAAATGGTATTTATTTAAATCTCTGAAAAGACAAAAGCTAAAAGAGTGATAACAGAAGGGGATTAACATGTCTTACACATCCAAATTCTGGAAAACTTCTTTGAAAACTGTTAGCAGTTTGCTTCCGGGGGCTTCCCCTTTGGATGCAACTCTTGACAGTGCCTCGTAGAGCTGACTATGAGATAAAACGTTGAGAAAACCTCCTATATATGAAGATCTTAAAGTCTCTCAAGAAAAAAAGAACTCTCTAAAGAATAACTCTCTTTATTGATGTTTAGAAACTTATCTCAAAACTAAACACTTTGATCTTGAATTGAATGATTGTCACAACTCAACAATCACTTATATAGGCAAAGCACAACTTAGCTTTTCCTTTTCCTAAATAGAAACTAGACAACTTCCTAATCCTATAAGGAATGTATGAAACAAGAAACTTTTCTTTTTCCTCTAGTATCCATAACCGACTTGTTGATGGATGTCTTGGGCCTTAAACTCTTGAAGCTTACCTAACAATCACCCCCTTAAGCTTCAAGTCAGTCTTTGAGAGGTCTTGAACTCCAATCAAACTTCTCACTTTCTTAAACTTGATTCTTGCTAGGGCCTTTGTAAGTATGTCCCTCACGTGCACATACATGGTCTTGATCGTTTTGAAGCTTCTCACTTCAACGAACTTGTTTCCTTTCAAAGTCTGATCAAGCTTTGTATTCCAACACCTCGGAACTTGTGTCAACACCTCAAGCTTTGTGTTCCAACACCTCAGCGCTTGTGTCAACACCTTGAAAACAAGTCTAACTTTGTGCTTGTTGATTGAGCCATCTGTGTTTCTCTTGATCTTAAGAACCCATTTAAGACCAATACCCTTAACTCTAACTGGTTTATCTACAAACATCCATGTTCTGTTCTTGTTGATCAAATCAGTCTCATGTAGACAAGCCTTTGTCCATTCAATGGAGTTCTTTGCTTCTTGATGTTCTTCTTCTTCTTCTTCAAACTCTATTCTTGATTGCGAACAAGATCGCTTTCCAGTCTTGAGATTGATCTTGTAAAGCCTGTTTGAAGATCTCTTTACTCTTATCAAGAGTCTTCCACTTAGATCATGTAATGTTAGGTAGTCTTCTCTCATCCTAACATCACAGCCAGCTTCTGTAGCTTGTCCCAAACTCAGAATATTGCTCTTGAGATTAGGGATATAGTAGATTTCGGAAACAAGCTTCTGCTCTCCAGCTTTGCTTTGAAATAAGATTGAACCCTTCCCTCCTATTTCAACGCATGATCCATCTCCGAACTTTACTTTCCCTTTTATCTTCTCATTGAGCTCAGAGAAGTACTCCTTCACGCTGGTCATGTGATTGCTAGCTCCATTATCTAAATACCAAACACCTTCTTCTCCTCTCTGGATTTCGTAGTTCTTCGGTATTAGATTCTCTTCATTCAAGAAAACGATTTCATGCATATAGAGTGCAGAATCAGCTTCTTCTGTCTCCACTTTATTTGCTTCTTCAATCTTCGGTTTTCTTGTAGGACATTTTGAGGCATAGTGTCCTGGTTTATCACAACGAAAACAAATTATCTTTGACAAATCCTTCTTCTCTTTGGATTTGTTTCCTTCTTGATTTGTTGACTTTTGTTAGTTCTTCCAGCCTTTCCCTTGCCCTTTGTTTTCTTTTCCACCTTCTTTTCCTTCTGAAGATGATGTATCGCCTCGCTCATCTGACTTCGCATACAACAACTTGTCTTGAGTTGCACCACCATACTCGCCTTGGTGGATCCGCTCCTCATATGCTTTGAGTCTTCCAACGACATCTTCAAAGCTTGTTGTATTCAAATCTAGAATTTGTTCTAGAGATGCAGCGATTTGAAAGAACTTGCCCATTGGTAAGCTATTGAGAAATTTCTTCACCAACTTGGATTCCTCCATAACTTGTCCAAGGGAAGCTGATTTTGATGCGATCTCCGTTAGCTTCCCAGCAAAGTATTCGACTGTATCTGTGTCCTTCATCTTGAGTCTTTCAAAATCCCCGTTTAAGGTTTGAAGTCTCGCTTCCTTGACACGATCAGCTCCTAGGTTGCGGGTTTTAATCGCATCCCATATCTCCTTTGCAGTTTCTTTCCCGCCAACTTGAAGAACAAGATACTCCAGGATTGATTGGAATATCAAACCGGTAGCTATATCGTTCTTCTCCAACGAGATAGAACCTGGCTCAATTGCTTCCCACACCTTATGAATCCGCAACAGAACCTTCATCTTCATCATCCATACAGCATAGTTTGTTGCATTCAACATGGGACATGTCATCGATGGACTCATCTCCTTCGATCGTACTACCACGGCCGCGTCGACAACTTCGTCTCCTGCCATGGCTTCTTAACAAAACGGAATCGTGTCCTCGCCTAGGATCGATTAACCTGGTTAAGCTCTGATATCAAATAAAGTCTCTCAAGAACAAAAGAACTCTCTAAAGAATAACTCTCTTTATTGATGTTTAGAAACTTATCTCAAAACTAAACACTTTGATCTTGAATTGAATGATTGTCACAACTCAACAATCACTTATATAGGCAAAGCACAACTTAGCTTTTCCTTTTCCTAAATATAAACTAGACGACTTCCTAATCCTATAAGGAATGTATGAAACAAGAAACTTTCCTTTTTCCTCTAGTATCCATAACCGACTTGTTGATGGATGTCTTGGGTCTTAAACTCTTGAAGCTTACCCAACAGATATGTGATCTCATGCCAGCCTGAAATACAAAAACCTGAGATGTTTCTTACAACTTTGTGTTAGTTAAACTTTAATACAACAGAAATATTGGATGTTAAAGTTGTTTCTTACTTGCGCTTAATCTTGCTGATCGTTAAGTTTGTGATAATAAAAATTGAAGCAAAAAAACTAATAAAATACTGACCCCTTAGATGATTAAATTTGGAAAATCGTTTCTTTACTGTCTGATTTTTTAGTGTCACACTCATCTTCAAGGTTGATGTATGAGGAACTATGCTCTCTTGAGCCTGACAGATAAAATTTGATATATTTGTTATACAAAAACTGTCAAAAAAGAAAATGACATAGTGCAGCTAACTCATAATCAATACCTAGTATTGTAATGATAAAAAGATTGGGATGCAAGTAGAACAGAAACGTAATATTATATTTACCTTTAGTTAATTGGTTTGACCAAACTGTGTCTTCACTGTCCAATTTCATAGCTGAACCTGCATTTATCTGTTTTTGTATATCCATTGTAACAGTTAAAACTCATCACAATAAATCGTTAGTATTTGATGATAAAAAAGGTGAAGATGCAAATCAGATACAAAAAATTATGGTCACCTTTAGATGAATGGCTTTTGCAAATCGTGTCTTCACTTGCTTTGATAGTTTGATTATGACCTCCGTCCCGTATCTTCTGAAACTTTGATTATGACACCATTGACATTGACCGAAACATTTGCAGATGGTGACACTGCATAATAGACTTGAACTAATCTCTTTTTTTGTTTCTTTTCCATTTAGAATTTCGCCTACAATCAAAACCAATCGAAAATGTGATTTGTAAACATGAAATATATATATATATAAGAGGAGAAACATCAGAAGAGGTAAAACAGAAGGAAACCTAATTCTCTTTTGCACTCACACAATGCATTTATATTGTTAGGAATGATGAGTCTTTAGGTTTTTTCCAGCACAATTTCGAATATACGTTTTCTCTTTTTTGGTATGAATATTAATTTCGAATATACCTTTTGGTGGCAAAGATTTATTTTCGAAATCTCCACAATATTTTTGAATTTTTGATTGCGTGATTAGTTGTTGATATTGAAGAGATATTTGCCTTTTTGTTACTTGAGTTATTCATGGTGAAATTAATAGATAAATAATTTCGGGAAATCAAATATTCAAATTAGTAAAGTTCTCACTTAATTCGTAATTTGAATATAGCATATTTTGTGGGATATTTGTATTCTAAAACCGAGATATGTGTGCTTTAATTAGTTTCCTATTATGAAGTTTCTTGTTTGCTAATTTTTAGCCTTTTTCCTTTAAATCTTACAACTGTTTTGTTTATTTGAATTAGATTGAAGCTTGTAATGGAAAAAAGAATCTCTATTATCTTATTTACATTTCCAATTTCGGGTGACTTTGGTTAAGTGGTCGGTTACACTTTAACCCAGATTTTCTCGGTTCAATTTAAGTTATTTAAGGTCCGCGTGTTTTTGTTCTGGGCGGGTCGGGTTTTTTTCTGTCGAATTAAGTCAACTCGCTTAACTCGGTATTTTCAATCCGGAATTGCCCCTCTTAAACCTGTTTTCAAACACTTTTTACTCATAATCTCAGTGGCATTTTTCATAATAAAAAGGTTTTTTTCGGGTATCTCTAAAAATGTATGTCTAAAATAATATATTAGAGATTTTTAAATCTAATAGATTATAAAACCTATTTCAGTTCATTTCAAATACAACATCCAATAACACCCCCAAAATGACTTTTAAGACTATGAGTAGCGCGGGTTTTGTATGAAATATTTTGTAAACAATGTTTATCATATCGTTTGTAATCCTACGATCTTTAAAAAAAAAAAACTGATTGACTAATCTAATACTGTTACAAGACAATTCTACAATGGACGATTCCATCATCTTCAAATGCTCCACGACTGATGGCTTCACGTGCACCAATATATAGACCTCGTGTAAACTTGTCTCCATTAATCTGTATAAATTATTAGCAAATTGCACTCGCTGGGACTTGAAATCTAGATTTCTTAGTGAAGAAGCATTAAATCCCTTAATCAACCACTACGCTAAGGGGTTTCCAGCATAATTTATCTATTAGTGATAAAAGTTGACGCTATAAGCCTTTAAAGGTGTCCACATAAGATTCTAAACTTATATTTGATTGGTCCATGTCATTATTATTAATTTTTTTCTACTGCATAATTAATAACCTAATTTCCATGGGTTCATCTCCATGAGCTCCCTCACTCTTTTCTTCTTCACCACTCACCTCAGCTTCATTCTCTTCTTCGTGAGCGCTTTCCCCTGCCTCGTACTCTCTTTGTTCTTCCACAACACTTAACTCATCTTCCTCTTGCTCATTCTCTGTTCCCTCAATTGACCCATCATCAACAGCCTCAAATATCCTCTTTCCCTCAGTTTTCTTTTGTCTCTCTTGAGCTACACTGCTTCCTTCATCCTTCTCCATCTTGCTTATGTTTTTTTTCGAGCTAAGTGCCCTGAAATGAATTAAAAACTCAAGGAATTAGAGTTGTAATAATCAATTTGGTGGACTCTATCAAGCACTCGATCGAGTTTGTTGTGACGTAAATGGTTTGTGAGACCAACTTGACCGAGTCAAATGACTCGGTGCATAAACTCGATCGAGTTAACCCAGAACATAGCGAACCAAATCAGTTATAAGTTTGGGGGTCGAGTTATATTAGGAGATGGATGTGTAAGATGTGTGGTTGAGATTGAAAGGGGGGAGACAAAGACATTAGATGTTCTGTCGAGTTGCAGGGAAAGGAGAGGAGTGGGGGACTAAATCTACAGGCGTGGGACCTACCACTTTGACCAAGGAAACGGTTACAAAAATTCAAAATTTGAAAATTTACCTGACTCGATCGAGTTGCCAAACTTAGGTGGAGTCACCCTTAAGTTGCAACTCGATCGAGTTGTAATGGCATCAGTTGATTTAATGGTCGAGCTAGCTCTTTTTACCCAATGATGGTTTCCTGCAAGGATTTAGACACGAAAAACTACAAAGCAAGTAAAATAAAAGATATATACAAGAATAGTCATGAAAATCCCTCCCAAGTGAGCTTGTTTAAGGTCCCATAGCTTGACCTTTACCTTTTTAGGCATGTGATGAGCTAGTCACACCATCAAGAGTGATAGTGAGGATTCATGAGAGAATCTCCTTTAACTTGGCTGGATCCCTAGACTGTTTAGGAGTGATCAAAGCTCCGACTCTAGAGAATGGTCTTGTTCTGCCCCTCAACTTGATCTTGTACTTAATCTTCCCATTTTCAAACTTAGAAGGTAGTAAGGTCAAAGTGATCTGAAATGGCTTGGTTGGGAGAGCCTGAGGCTATGAGTTCTTTCTTTTCTCACCCACAAGTGCTTTTGAGACTTCATCCTCCCCTTTTTTTTTTGAGCACTTCCTAGTGGCTCATCAAACAGAAGCCTAAGGCTCTCTTCATCTAAGACACAGGACGCTTGTACAGCTCTATCAGGCCTTGAGTCTTTCAAAACTCTCTTCTTGACAACCCTTATTGCTTCAGGTTCCTTAGAACTCAGAGGTTTGGTGCCATTTTGCCACAATACTCAGAATCTCTAGGCTGCAATGATTAAGAGACCAAGCTATTGACCTTGTGCAAGATCACTTCCTGCTAGTGAAAATCAATGGAAGTGCCTATTGTACTGAAAAAGGGGTTCCCAAAATGAGAGGCACATTGAAACACCCTAGCCCAGTTTTCCTAATACTTTAACTTAGTCAAATTTTAGGTCCGGTTTTCATTTAACATTTTCAGTTGCATGAGGTTCCCACACTTAGTCATTTATGCATAAACGAATATACAGAACATTGAATTACTTATATTAAATCCTTGTTAAAACGAACATCAGTTTAACTTAGAAAATGCAGAAAACTTGAAATACAAATTCGGTTATAGCAACAATGTGAGTTCGCTATAGGCTATTACATCATTAACTAGTCCGTCTACCCAGTCCTATCCATCACTTCCTTCCCGGCCATGTCTCGCGTCCAAATCACTCAGTCCGACCATCACCTAAGGTCGGCTCAGTTCCTGCCACATTGAAATGAGGCATAAGCGAACAAGTTTTCTTAGTGAATGCGGTCATCCCGCCCACTAAGTCACAGTACAGAGAATCGCAATCAAAGCACACAGTTCAACAGTCAGTCATGCCGTTAACCACAGTTAATTATTGCGAACGGTCGGCTATCTAACCCGGCCGAGTAACCCTCGCCAATAGACCGACCATTCCGATCAAGCCATCGGAATCAGTACGATAAGCAATCAGACATATTAACAAGCAATCATCAACCATTGAATCTATCTACGTGAGAACGACCATACACTATGACTACACGGTCACGCACTCACCTTAGTTCAATCGGTTCGGGATATAGGATCTCTTCGCTCAGACGCTCTCGGATGAATCATCAAACGTTCGCGGACAGATCTTCGGTACGGTCGGCTCTCGGTCAGACTATCAAAAATTAAAAGATAAAGAAGAAGACAAAACTGGTAAATAAGATGAAAAAGTAAAAAAGAAGAAGTAAAGAGAAGAAGAAATAAAAATAAAAAAGACGAAGGTTGTTAGGATAGAAGAGAGGAAGAGACATGAGCATAAGATTAAATAAAGTATGAGAAAGAAAAAGATAAAATGTTGAGAAAAACCAATAAAGCAAAAATATGAAATATGAGAAGATGAGAAAACATAAATAAAAGAAAATAAAGAGGAAGACGAAACTAATAAATAAGATGTTGAAAAAAAAAAAAATTGATAATACAAAATGATGAAGAATGCAATATGAAATAAGAAGAAAAACCTGAACAATAATAAGGAAAAGACGAAAGTTGGAAGACGAAGACGAAAAAACAGAAGAAGAAACGAAATGAAGAATATGTGAACAACAAAGAAGTTGGAAAAATCAATAGAAAAAAAAAGAATAAGAACATAAATCTAAATGAAAAACAAATTGTAAATAAAAGGAAGAAAACGAAAAAAAAAACCAGGAAATAAAAAGATGACGATGAAGAGAGATGAAAATAAAAAGAGAATAGAAAGTTTGATAAGAATAAAAAAAATGTAGAAAATGAAGGAAAAAATTATGAAAGAAGTAAAAGAAGAAGATAATATGGGGTTGGGGTTTATGATGTACGGTTTATATTGATTGGCGTAAGGTTTAGTTTTTGATGCACTTTAAAAATTCTGAATACAATACATTACCGATTAAAAACAAAAACAAAAATATCTTTTAAGAAAAAAGATAAAAATAAAATAAAAGCAAATCTTGAACCAATTTGTAAAATGTGGGGTTCAGGTGTGCGGTTTGGGGGGGGGTTATAATGTGGGTTTGTTTAGGTGTAGGGTTGTAGGGGGGTTGTTACACTGTGGGATTTGGGTTTAGGGTGTAGGGTTGTTTAGGGGGGGGTGTTACATTATGGGGCTTGGGTTTAGGATGTAGGGTTTATATTGATGGTGTAGGGTTTAGTTTTTGGTGCATTTTTAAACATTTGAATGGAAGAATATATCATAATTAAAAATCATTTATTATAAATTTATATTCCCCTTTCTAAATTACATTCACAAATAGAAAAATTAACAATTAAAGCAAATCCAGAATGGAAAGATAACAAAACCAATAGATTTTTAAAAGATCTCAACTATATAAAGATAAAAACTATTTTACAAATCATTGAAAATATAAACTATCGAATAAATTAATAGGTGAGATATAAGACGTAGACAAGAACGAATAAAAACACAAGTAAAAGAAAAGACAGTAAAACAGAAGATGAGAAATTTGGAGAAGAAGAAAAAAACTCGAACATGAGGAAAAAACATCAAAAAGAAAAAAAAACAAAGAAAAGATAAATAAAAATCGAAGATGAATACACCATACTGACATTTGGTTAGAGAAGACGAAGATGATAAAGATAGAGAGGAGGAATGAGGAAGAAGAAAAACCGAAAAAAAAGAATGTAAAGAAAATTAGAAAGAAAAAAAGAATAGTGAGCTGGAAGATATGAAGATAAGAAAAGATTGAATAACAAAACTAACTTGGAAGAAGAAAAGAAAAAGATGATAAGAACGAATATAAAACTGAAAGAAAAAGAAGAAGGTGAGATCATTGGAGAAGAATAAAAGAGAACAAAATAAGAAGTGGAAATCTTTTGTATCTCTCTAAACAAATGGAGAAGAAGAAAACTCGAACATGAGAAGAAGAAATCAAAGAAGAAAAAATGAAATGTGAAGAAGAAAAAAAGACAAGAAATAGATAGATAACTAGAATAGAATAATGTATTGTTAGAGAAGACGAAAATGATAAAGATAGAGAGAGGGGGAATGAGGAAGAAGAAAAATCGAAAAAAAAATGTAAAGAAAATTAGGAAGAAAAAAAAAGAGTAGTGAGTTGGAAGATATGAAGATATAAGAAAAATTGAAGATTGGAAGAAGAAAAAAAAGGTGATGAGAACGAAGAATTGAAAAAAATAAGAAGGTGATAATTGGAGAAGAATAAAAGAGAACAAAATAAGAAGTGAAAATCTTTTGTATCTAAACGAATAAGAAGATTATATAGAAGAAAAGAAAGAGAAGACAAAAATAAAACACATCAAAATTATAGAAATAAGAAGTTGGGAAAACAAAAAATGTATATAATCAAAAATTTACTACTTATATTATTTAAATCTTTAATTAATTTATCTATTTTAAAAATATTGTACCCGCACAAGGTGCGGGACAACCACCTTGTAACACAAATAAACAAACATTGAATCGTAAAACCAACCAAAAACAATTCTTCGTCTAAATTTTTTCAAAACCCTACAACTTTCCCCATTAAACCCTAAACAATCTACTTAATTCTTTTTGAGCACTTCCCAGTGGCTCATCAAACAAAGCTTGAAGGCTCTCCTCATCAAAAACACAAGGCGCTTATACAAGTCTGTCAGGTCTTGGTTCCCTCACAACCTTCTTCTTCACAACTCTAGCAGCTTCATGAACCTTAGAACTCAGAGGTGTACCCTCTTTGTCTCTTAACCCATTGTTCCACAATATTCATATCGCTTAGGCTTCAAAGGTATGAGTTGATTGATCTTGCATGTTTTTGGTTCACGGTTTTTGCTTAATAAATGTTAAAGGGATTTGCTGATTTGAATGCATTGTTTGAGTGACTGTGAAGTGGGATTGATGTTGATAAGCATGGTTAAAATCTTAATGAATATCTCTCACCTTGTTGCATTCTAGAATCTCTAAGTTGGACATTTAGCAAATCGCTTTTGAGGACATGTTTTTAAGGTTGAATCAACTTGTTTTCAAACCTCATCTCTTTCTTGTTCTATTTGTTTGCTTGAGGGCAAGCAAAGGTCAAGTTTGGGGGTGTTGATGTACTTGCATTTTGCATAGTTTTAGTACATCTTTTATGCATCTTTTGCATAGTTTTAGCATCCATTAGCATCATATCTTGTTCCTTTTCCCTTCTTATGCATTCATAGTAGTTTTAGGTTGCATTTGCATACATATGCATGTTTGATCCTTGAAATAGGTCTTTTGGAGCACTTTGGAGCATATGGGACGTAAGGAGCAAGGAAGGACTTGGTGCATGGACGCAGCTCAACCGGATACGCAAAGGATGAAGGAGGAAGCCATCTTGAAGCCAGCTCGACCACCTACTCGACCATCCGGTCGAGTTCCTCAACTCGACCGGCCAAGCTTCAACTCGATCGAGCTGAGAAGTCAACAGTCAAACCCGAAAAATGTTGCTTCCCCCTTGACTTCCCTTTGACCCTAAACCTAATCCTCTTTGTATTTAAAGGCTAGCCACGAAAAAGACAACAATCTTTAGCTTATTTTTTGTTTTAGCTTTCTTAATTGTCTTTACTTTTTGCAAAACCCTAGCCTCTCTTTGTGTTCTTGAGCTCTTGCTCTTGAACCTTAGACTTGGCCTTATCTTTCTGTATTTGCATTTGCTTATTTCAATAAAAGTTGTTAGTTTGTTTCTCCTCTTTCATATTATGTCGATTTTATTGCATCCTCCTTGTTCATTGCTCATGTAGCATACTTCAGCAAATTGGGTATCCTCCCCTTCTTGAACATGAACCATCTCTTCAGCAGACACAAAGTTGACCTTCTTCATTGTGGATTGAGCTAAGATATGCTTGTCCAGCTTCTCATTCAAAGCCTTGACTTCCTTCCTGAGCTTATCATCAGACTCGATCGAGTGCGAGGTCGAGTTGTGGTTTGTGCGATCATACTCTTCTCCATAGCTCCCATTCGAAGTTGGCAATGTTCTCCACAAGCTGCCAGCCATCATCTACATCTTGATTAAGGAAGTTTCCATTATTGGCTGTGTTCAGCATCTCTCTATATTTAGACAAAGCTCCTTAGCTTAGCAGTTCACCCAGTTGAGAAGAACTTAGCTAGAAATGCCTTCTTGCATTCATCCCATGTAGTGATTGAACCATGGGGCAGGCTCTTCTCCCATTGGTTGGCCTTATCAGCGAAATATATAGGGAATAGTCTCAGCTTGATGGCATCTTCAGAGAAACCATTTAACTTTGTCAAATCACACAGTCTATCAAACTCATCCAAGTGATCAATGAGATCTTCACAAGACAATCCATGGAACATCTTGTTCTGGACTAGATTGATCATTCCTAGCTTGATCTCAAAGTTGTGGTTCTGGACAGGAGGAGGGACACTCCCTTGTTTTTGCTGGTGGCGGTTTGGGATATCTCCAAGTCTAATCGGTCGAGTTTGCCTAACTCGCCCCTGCCCATTAGCAGGAGGGATTCCAAGAGATCGATCGAGTAGAAACAAAGTAAACCAACTCGATTCAATTGAGGGTTGAGTTGATGTAAAAACAGAGGGATGCAAATGAATGTGGTGCAGCATTTTATAAAAAGTTACTACAATAAAAATTTGGAAGCTAATCTAACATACATTCACGTTGGTTAAAGACATATATTAAAAGAAAGATCTAAGCCTTACAGAATTAATGAAAAAGAATAATTAGCAAACATGTCATGTAAATGTATGGTAATTTAACAACACAACTACTGTGAGATTAAACTGTAATAGATATAAATGCGAAAGGTGGATTAAGATGGCTGCTTGGGAGGCTTTCCTACACTGATAGATATAGAGCGTTTGTGGTGTTTGGGCATATAACTACTATATACAGAAATCCTACTGTTACACTTCAAGAGAGTAATTGATATGATTTCAGAATGGTAACCGATGGAACATAGTAACTGATTTTTTTCGATCAGTTTGGCATTTTATAAAGGTTATCAAATGATGCATCTTTGAAAATATTTTTAGTTACATTTTTAATGGAGTTTGCTCTAAGAAAATATTTATGTTTACATTTTTTGTGGGAAGTGTTGATGTACTTGCATTTTGCATAGTTTTAGTACATCTTTTATGCATCTTTTGCATAGTTTTAGCATCCATTAGCATCATATCTTGTTCCTTTTCTCTTCTTATGCATTCATAGTAGTTTTAGGTTGCATTTGCATACATATGCATGTTTGGTCCTTTGAAATAGGTCTTTTGGAGCATTTTGGAGCATATGGGACGTGAGGAGCAAGGAAGGACTTGGTGCATGGACGCAGCTCAACTGGATACGCAAAGGAAGAAGGAGGAAGCCATCTTGAAGACCAGCTCGACCACCACTCGACCACCGGTCGAGTTCGCCAAGCTTCAACTCGATCGAGCTGAGAAGTCAAAGTCAAACCCGAAAAATGTTGCTTCCCCCTTGACTTCCTTTGACCCTAAACCTAAATCCTCTTGTATTTAAGGCTAAAAGCCACGAAAAAACCACCAAGCTTTAGATTACTTTTGTTTTAGCTTTTCTTTAATTTATTGTCTTTTACTTTTAGAACTCTAATCCAATCTTTGTGTTCTTGAAGCTCTTGCTTCTTGAATCCTAGATCCTGGATTATTTGCTTTGTATTTGCACTTGCTTATTTCAATAAAAGTTGTTTATCTTTATCTCCTCTTTCTTTGATGTTTATTTCATTGCATTTGCTTGTGTTTACATTCATGTGTAGTGAGTAGTTCCCATTAGGGTTTGAGATGGGATAGATTAGGGGATTTCATATGCTTAATCCTTCTTGCTTATGGTCTTAATCTAGATTCTCTCTCTTTTGGATAAATCTTAAGGCTACATGACCACTACCCCTGGCTTGTATGTCATTAGGCGATTCTCCACATGGAAGTGATGGAAATCGCTGGAAAATATCCACTAAGAGCTCCAACAACCCCTTGCTCTCGAAATGATTCATAAGGGGTTGGATGGATTAGTTTGGGCAATGATCCTATGGCCTCCAAGGTTTGATTCTCACTGGCTAACCCCCTGTTTCTGAGATCATACTTGGTTGATAGCTTCCACCTTGGGAAAGGGTTAGCTAGGCATTGAGAAGCCCAATATCAAGAGAAACCTTGGTACAAGGAGTTTTAAGAGCAGGATCGATTAAGTGTAGTTTCCCCTGGTTGAAAAACCCTATCTTGAACCCTAATTCTCGCATTAGCTTGTTAAAGTCGCTGCCTTTATCGCTTTTTACTTCAACTCGACCCTAAACTCGATCGAGCTCAGTTACTCTGTTCCCACTCGACTCGAGTCCTTGGTCGAGCTGTTGCTCTACTGCTTTATTTACTTATTGCATTGCATTACTACTTTTTTAGGTTGTTAGTGTTACCACCATTTCAGTTACTGCTTGCTTGACTTCCTTGTTATTTCATATTCTCATAGAGTGACAATCTCACCCATATGGATTGATACTCCTTATACTATAATGACTATGATGGTTAAGGAGAATTGCTGATTGTGTTTGTATTTTGCATCTACCACCTCATCCTATATACCACTGTTGCATTCCACCACATTTCATATCATATCTATCACACCCACACATAAATCCTATCATCAAGTGTGTTGAATCAATTTTGGGGAAGAAGGTTTTAATGGAATCATTTTTTTTTTATGCAGAAGTGTTGGACTAATATAACATTTTTTAGATTGTTTTTTTAAATCATGTCCTGATATAATGTTTTGGACTGAAAATTTTGTATATTCGTATTTAAGGTAAAAATGTGTGGAATTGTATTTTGATAAAAAAAAAAATGATTGTAATGAAGATGTTTGTCAAAAAAAACATGTCTTCTCAGAAATGGCAGCCAGGGGTATATGAAAGATGAATCAGTTTTTTTTTCTCAAGCATTCAACCTATTCGAAAACAATCTCTAGGTTTGAATACTAGAGTTCATCGGAGAATCGCCAAAACTCCAAGCTTTCGAGGTGTTGAAGAACAACTTCATGTTACCATTGCCGGTGAATCTTGGATGTAATGAGAATCCCAAAAACCTTGATGTCTCTGATAATCATCTAACCGAACTTATCCCCATCGCTTTGGCAGAGGAGGAAAGCTGGAGATGTTTGTAACCTCCCATTTTGTGATATATAAGGAGAGATCTAAGAGAATTGATTTGGCTACCTATGTCAACAAAGTACACTTACCTTTTCGGTCAAACGTCCATGAGTAACTTAAAAGTTAAGTGTACATGGGCTGGAGTAGTGGAAGGATGGGTGACCTTCCGGGAAATCATTTCAAAACAAATCGTGAAAGTGAGGCCAAAACACAGGGAAAGGTCAGGTGTTGATTGCAGGCACTGTAAATAAGTCATTAAAGCCTCAAAAAAATAATGGACCGGCCGTCAGACAGGGGTGGGGGCCCATGGGACGAGAGAGGGCGTGGGTGACTCACCGGGATGGGTGATCAGGGCGTTCTAATATTGTTACTCTCGAATAACTTCTTCAATGCAAGTCTCGATTAAATTTTGTTTCAGAAAAACTAGGTTAATGCGAGTCTCTAAACAAACTAAGAATCATGACGAATTATCTCAACAGGGCAGTTCCTACAAGATTCTTGATTTTGAAGTTACAAGGATTCATGTAGATTCAGGAAGTCCTGATGTTGCAAGTCTAGTTGGCGGGAAACCAGGCACGTGTACTCGGAGACGATGGTGACGTAGACCATGTGCCTGACAGACGAAAAGAATAAGAAGGTTTCTGAATGGAGCTAACAGATGACTTGTTCAAACTGCAGGAACAAAGTATGATGTAACAGACTGCGAAGCCGCTGAAGAAGCGATGGGCTAGAGGAGTTGGCAAAAGTCAAGAGCTAGTGTCAGTGGCTAAAGGTTAAGAGAGTCACATGTCGATCTGTTGGATATTAGGAAGTCTTAGGGTTTAATGCTTGAGTATATATGGCAATTACGTGGAGAAGAAATGGTCATCTCTTTTGTAATAGAAAAGACCATTGTTCTTATTTGAAGAACTCTTGGTATCTCATGAAACTGGGTTTTCAGTGAGTGAACTAAGAGACACCAGCTGTTGCTGTGTATGTGAGATTGGGTAGATTAGGATTTAGTGTACGAGCAAATCACGAGTGTGATGTTGCATTTTCCTGCTTAAACAAGATTGTAAGGAGTCTTTGTCTAAAAGTAAATTTGAATAAGAATCTCATTTTGAAAAAGCTCCATTCAGTCATCTGCTTTTTCTTTTACTAGTTGGTACAGGTTCGTATAATTTCAATTGGTATCAGAGCGGGTAACCGACTCGAGATACTCTATCCCTAACAGGTTAAGGTCCTGCGTCCGTACATGGAACCACCAATGGTTGTGATCGGCAGCAACAAGCCCGTTATGCTTGACTCTAAGCGATACGGTTACTAGAAAGTTCGCATGATAAAGCTCATACGAAGTCAAGGAGAAGATGCTTGGACAGCAATTGAAGATGGTTGGGAAGCTCTGTCCAATCTTACAGGAGATGGACATAATATTCTCAAACCCAAATCTCTCTGGTCCATTGAAGAAAAGAACCTGTCAAAGTTCAACGCTAGGGTGATGCGGAGTCAGGTTTTACCAAACTCCTAGACCTCTGCAAGTGCACAGATCGCGGAAGTATGGGTATCGAACACAAGGACTGGCTATTGAGTACACTTTGAAACTATGGATTTTGGATCAAGCTAAAACAAAAGTATGATTGAGGTTGTAATGGTGAACCGAACTAGCAAGTATAACGAGGTTGTAAATCAATAAAGGAAAAGCGCTAGGTCATAGGGGCTATCGCAGAGAAGCAAGCAATGATCAATGAAACAATGATAGATTAATTGATTAGGGATATTGGGATATTAAGAACCATCTAGAACACAGATCACGAATATAAAACCATTCCACTTTCGAGGCTCCGGCTCCTTTGTTAATCTACCTAGTCGCTAAACTTTTGGTATGTCCCTAGGTGATTAGATCAAGCATTAGAATGAATAGGTTCTGATACAGTTCACTAGATATAGATAGATCAACTTTCGCAGTCTAAGAAACCTAGCTTGTCAAAGAATATGTCCGGCGAATGATACAGCACTGTCGAGGCTCAAATCAACCTAAGATCGGATTACTAGATGCGCGGTAAAGCAATCAGCATTAGTTAAGTGCACAAGACGAGACAAAGACTCTAATATAATCCCTAGCTAATCATTGAAATCAAAGATCATGCAAGCAACTCATTGAATAGTAACCCTAGCAACCTAACTAGTGGATTACTCAGACATGATCAAAGCAAACACACATAGAGATGAAGAAAACATGATTGCAATAAAACTTAGAGTAGGAAATCGAAATACAAGGGCGGCTCTCTTTCTCAAGAGGCTAAAAATCCATATATATAGTGCTAGGTCTTTCTAGAGGCGGCTTAGGGTTAAGCCGGGCTTGAAAACATAAGTTTGGGCTTCAAAAAGGGCTTCGGGTCGACCGCGGCGTTGGGACGGTCGTGCGGGACGATCGGCCGGAATCGGGTCGTGGGCGAGTCGGAACGGTCGGGGTCGGACGGATTCGCGGTCGGCCGGCGTGGTCGAGCGGATGAGATTTGGCCGATGAAATTCTCGGCCGGACGTGGGACGTTCTTCCCGGCTCGGACGGATGCATCGGCCGTGGTACGCGAACGGGTTGCGCGGCCGCGAGGCCTTGTTTCCCGGCTCGCGCGCTTTGGTCGTGCGCGGTGTGGCGTGAGCGTTTGGCTTGGCCGACCGCGGGACAATGTTTCCCGGGTCGTGTTGCGTGATCGGCCGGTCGGTTTGAACTTTGGCCGAGACTTCAGACGGACGGATGTGACTTTGGCCGAGCGCGGAAACATAGTTTCTCGGCCAGCCGGACTGCGCGGTTGGGCGCTGATTCTCGATAGAGCCGTCTGGACAGTCTTCACTCTTTTGGTTATAACTCCTTTTCTACTCATCCAAATTAGGCCGTTCCAGTTGCGTTGGAAAGTTAACTCAATCAGAGCACGCAGGGAACTGGTCTTGATGAAATCCATTGAGTAGATCTTTTTCTGGGCCCTCTTAAAGTTGGTGCTTGTGCATGGAGCGGCTTGAAGTGCAAATCCTATGGTTTTGCTCCAAAATGCATCATTTCACCTGTTTAGACTCTAGACACTATAAACACAGTAAAACTACCTTTTTAGATAGAAAACCTGCCAAAAACCATTAGAAAACAATGCTAAAACAGTATAAAAAGTGGGTAAATTAGAGGTATATCAACTCCCCCAGACTTAGATCTTTGCTTGTCCTCAAGCAAAAAGAATCTAAATCCGTGAAAGAGGTTTGAAAACGTGGAAGCTCCCTTGCTCTTTTGAATATCCTGTGAAAGGTTCCTTTCCTGTATTCCACTATGAACATAGACAACATAAGGTTAGCTTCACATACACCCTGCAAGTTTAGCGAACAATACCAACCCAACTAGTCTCATCCAGCAATCCAAACTCTCTATTGCTAACCTCTTGCATAAATTTAAAGCGTGAATTCTTTATCAAGGGGACATCGATCAATTGAACTTGTTCTTACCCACTTGATCCTCTCCAAGATTGCCTCTTTAAGTGCAATGAGTTCTTTTCCTCTCTCTTTCTCACATCAGAACTTTGAAAGGTCAATTTCTCCCTACTTTTCTAGGGTATCATTTTATTTTTTCTATTGACCCTTCTTTCAACCACAGGATAAGTCTTTAGCTTGTTCCTTGTTTGACTAAGGTATTCCATAAGACATGAAGGTACAGACATATGCATTCCTCATGCTTACTTGTTTTCCTTGTGCTCTTTGAGCTTTTTCTCATAACATTACTTACCATTTGGGATGGGAGAGAGAGGAGAACTCTTTAAAGATTAGACAAATCTTATTGAAAATCAAGCAAGGAACTGTCGACATGTATGCCAACCCCCTTGACAAGAGTAATTAAGATTGATTAAGGTGAGGTTAACTCTAGATTGCTTGGTTACCTTAGAAATTTTGCTGAGCTAGCATGTCGATCCACTGTAAGAGCTTCTGTTAGGCTTGTGCCTTTAGCTGGTTTCTGCTCTAGGGTCATGGATTGTTAGCATAACACTCTCAATTCTCAAAGCAAGTTCATAACTTCCGGACTGGTTTTTGACTCAATAAAACTTTTTGAAAAACATGAAACAAAGTGAATAAAACATAAGAAAAGAAAGAAAAATGCATTAGTAACACAATAAAACTCCCCCCAGACTTAACTTGCACCGTCCCGGTGAAAGCAAATCACATTAAGGTGAGAGGTAATATTCAAAGTAAAAGAAAAATAAAGAAAAATTCATTAAAATGAGATAGGGATAGAAAATGGAGATTTGTAAGTGTCCATTGCACTAAGTACCACTTGAGATGACTATGTGTGGCAGTGAGAAGAACTCTCTTCCTCATCTATGGGGTCATCGCCTTCTGAACCAAGCTCTGAGTCTAGTGAGAACTCACCAAGGTCAGGCTCATATGGCTCTCTAGCGGTGGAAGAAGGGCGAAAGAGTCTCTCCGGTGCAATGTGGCGAACTACGCGGACTAGGCGTGAGATGAAGCGAGATTGGCATTCCACTATCTTCTCCAGCTTGTTAACACGGTCTAGAGCTTGATGCGCGGCCATGCCAGTAGTGAGAACATGGCGTTCTTGGAGCGGCGTTGAGTCTTGACTGCATGCTGAAGTGTGCGATAGGTGAGCATGGGGAATGATGGTTTCTCACTTGATGGAACATAGAAGTCTTCCTCATTGGGCTGGAAAGTGACAACTCCTGAGCGTAGGCTTGGGATGTCTTCATGTGGCAGCAAGACAAGGGAAGTGTTGGCTGGACCAATTGGAAACTCATAGCAAAACCGAGTTGGGTCTTTAGTCCAACGGTTTAGGAAGTGGATGTGCTGAAGAGCATGGAGATCCAAAGGGGTTGGCTTGGGTAGTGGCTCATAGTTGGGAATGTCAATCCCCACATGTGTACTATGGCCGTGATAAGCCTCCCAAAACGAACACAAAGCTTCTTGTTGCCTTCCAAGTCTTGAGCTAGCTTCCTCACATTGATGAATGTCTTGGCAAGTAAAAGTCCAAGGTTGGCCTTGTACTCATGCTTGATGAATGGTGTGGTGAGGATGTAGAACTCATCAGTTGTGACCTTGTTGGCTTCTTGTTTGCATTGGAAAGTGGTGGAGATGAGGCGGTGCACATAGCGAATGGCTGGATGAGTGATTCTAGACACCTTTGACCTTGAAGGCAAGAATGGTTCATTGGCAAAGTGTGTCCAATCAGCAAAGGCAGCTTGTTTCCTCTTTGAGTTCTCCTTGAAGTCATGTGCTGTCTCATTGGGAAGTCCAAAGAGTTGGCATAGAGCTGAGATGAGATGCGCCCATTGGCATCGCCTATCTTGAAGAGTAGGAGTCCATCACCAGCTGGTTGGTCTCCATTGTGGTTGGGAAAGGCAAGAGCTACTGTGGAGAGGAACTCCTTGGTGAGTTGTGAGTACTCACTACATTCTAGCTTGAAGAGCTTGCTCAAGCCTAGCTTCCTTATGTACCATGTGACATCATCTCTTATCTTGAGAAGATCAAGGGTTTGGGTGTCCATCTTCACACATGGCTCGATGTTCACCTTCTCCATTGCCTTCTTACACTTTCTTGGGTCTTGATTTTGTTCTCCAACAAAGGTTACAAGTGCCCAATCATCTTCTCCTCTTCTTGGACTCTCCACATGTTCTTGATTGCATCAATGGAATGTGGTGAAGTTGGTATTGCTGCTCTTGCATTGGAGCTACTACTCCCTAGCTTGATTTGCTTCTTTGGTGGTTCCATGAATGGGTTCTTCTTCTTCTTCATACTCTCATTTCCTTTTGTCTTTGCCATTGTGTACCTACAAGAGCAAATTCTTGGGAAGAAATATGAGTTTGTGATTAATGCAAAAGAAGAATAAGCTAATTGAGTTGTAATAATGATATGGAATAAAGGAACAACTCAAGGCTTAATCATGAATCAAAGAGACAAAATAGAAATTTCACTTTTTCAAAATTAATTTTCGGATTTTACTGTTCATCCCAAGATTATGGTGCTTAAAATCAAAATTTTCAGCAAATCAAGAGAAATTGAGTTTCTAATCCAAGTAATCACTAGATAAACTAATGAATTGAAGTATGCCTAAGCAATTTCACCTTTGAATAAGGGGTTTGGAATGCCCAATAAGTTTTGTGAAAAACTATTCAATTGTGAAATTAAACTTCAAATTAACTCTAAACCACCTAGGTTCCACCTAGCAAGTTCATTACAAGACTATAAGGATGCTAATTTCAAGTCTAGACAAGAGTTTAGACCAAACATGAAACTTATTGAGATTTTCGATCTTGCATAAACATAGGATTAGAGTTAGAAGACATACCTTGTGTGTTGAAAAGTGAATAAGGTTGCAAGAGCAAGTAAATTCCAATTTAGAGTTATGAACAGTAAAAGTTTTGAAATCAAAACTCTTAGAGTTCCTCTAATGGAGTTTAGGGTTTTGGAGAAGAAAGAGAGGTTCTTGTGGTTTTCAAGGGAAAGGTAAAGTAAATAAGATCTAATCCTATCAATTTTCCTTTTCAAATTCGAATTTTGATTGAAAACCGGTTTAAGTTGGTTTAGAAAAACCGGTTTGAATTAATGAAAAGGGGACTTACCTTGGCCTAGAAAAGTTTTGGGCCGATGGCCGATGGATTTTGTCGCGGTCGAGCGATTTGGTCGGCCAAATTCGTTTTGGCCGAGAGAATTTCGGCCGAGGCCGAGCGATGTTTCCCGGATCGACCGGCACGGTCGGTCCGTTCCGATACGAAAATTTCGGCCGATCGCGGCCTTTTTCCCGGTTCGTGCGTGTCGCGCGAACGGTTTCTGTCGCGCAAGATAGGCCGATTTCCTTCCCGGCTCGACCGGGTCGGCCAGATGGAATTGCTCGGCCAAAATTCTTTGCGCGTCCGCGGCCAATGTTTTGGCGCGGATTGTGTTTTCACACCTTTTTCTCCTTCTATCCTATCTTAAAACAAAGAAAACACAAAAGCAAAACAAAAACTAAGAAAATTAAAGAAAGAAAAGTAAAAGTACCTCATGGGTTGCCTCCCATGCAGCGCTTGTTTTAAGTCTTTAGCTTGACTGTAAGGCTTGGCGCTCAGGAGAAGATGGAGACAAGAGGCATCTTTGATCCTCCAAGTCTTTTCTCCTTGCAATGAGTATCTGGTGGGTGATTCACAGCTGGATAGACAATCTCTCCATGAATGTCCCTTGGCACTACTGCCTTAGGAAAAAGCTTTAGAGTTCTTGTCACTTTCTCCTTGAATCCTTCTAGATTCTCATCAATAAGCTCCTCTGGGAATAGAAGCTTCATGTTGCGGCCAGACCTAGGTTTTCTAACCTTCCTTCTTGGCTTGGCCTCATCTTCAATCTTGGTTGATCCCTTGGGCGGTTTTGGTGTAGGGGCCTTAGTCTTACTCCTTGCTTGTTTGGCAAGCTGCTTGGGCTTAGGAATGGGATCTTCCTTGATTGTTTCTTCAGTTTCTCCTTCTTGGGGTGGCTTCAAAGTAGCTTTCTCCTCTTGGACCATGTCAACAAAAGAGTTCTTTGTTGAACACATAGGGAAGAACATACCCTTGTTCACCTTGTTGAAAGAGATTCTTTGATTGGGGAAATCAAATATGGCACCCACAGTAGACAGGAAAGGGGTTCCAAATATGAGAGGTCTATGGCTACTCTCTCTCATTTCCACAATCTGGAAATCAGTAGGGATAGAGCAATTTCCAATCTGCACCATCACATTAGGCACAAAGCCATAGGGTGTTTGTGAGAATGAATCAGCATAGTTGATGGAGATGGATGATGGCTCTATCTTGGTGAGGCCTATCTTGTCAGCTATCCTCTTAGACATGATGTTCACATTGGCTCCTGTGTCACACAAAGATTGCTCAAGAATGTTACCTTTGATGATACAAGGCACAACAAACTTTCCTGAGTTATCTGTCTTGGGGATAATCTTTGGGAAGAGTCTTCTCTTTCTAGCTCGATTGGACTCTCTCTCTGGGTAATTCTCTTCAGGCCAAATCATGCAATCAACAGTAGGTTTTGAAAGCATCCATTCTGGAACTTGGTCTTCAAATCTTTCTTCTATGGCGGCTGAGTTGCAAAAGGACTTCTTGGATTCAGCTTCCTGTCTCTTAACAGCTTCCATAGTTTGAGTGACTTGAGTCTCTAGTTTCTTCACATGAGTGGCAACAGCATCATACTTGGTGTTGAGATTGCTGAACAAAGTGTCCATCTTCTCATACATCTCTTTAGTGTTTCTCTTCTGGCCATCCATGATCTGTTGGAGGATTCCTTCAAATCTCCCACCTTGTTGGTTTGGAGGAGCTTGATTTGGTGAAGAAGCATATGGCTCCTTGGGCGGATATGATGATCTCTGCTCATATCCTTGCCTTGGCTGAAATTGACTTCCTTGAGATTGGTAAGGAGGTCTTTGTTGTTGTGGATACCTTGGAGGATACACTTGGTCTTGAGGATTCTCCACATTGGGGTTTCTATAAGACATGTTGGGGTTTGGGCGATAGCTTGGATTGTATCCCTTGTTCCCATAGTTTCCAATGTAGTTCACATCTTCTTCATTGGCTTCATTAGAGAAGTCTCCCATGCATTCTCTTGATGAATCTTCATTAGCATCACTCATCCCTTCTATTGCATTGATATGCTTGAGCTGTCCCTTAAGAACTTGAGCCATCATGTTCTTGAGTTCAGTCATTTGAAAAGAATCAGGGGAGCTAGTAGTGGTGCGGCTTGAGCGGTCATAATCAGGACAGTTGTTACAATCACTAGCTGCAAGATTCTCAATAAGAACCTTAGCTTCATCAACAGTCTTGGTCATGAAGTTTCCATTGCTTGCTGTGTCCAATGAAAGCTTGTACTTGTGGTCAATGCCACGATAGAAGATGTTCCATAGGTTTCCCTCATTGAAACCATGATTAGGGCAGTCCCTAATGTACTCCTTGAATCGATCTAGCGCCTCATAGAAAGATTCATTGTTGCTTGGCGAAAGTGGAGATCTTGTTTCTCACAGAAATTGATCTCTGTTTGGTGTAGAAGTGGTTGATGAATGCAGCCTTGTACTCATCCCAAGTGGTGATGGAGTGAGCTGGCAGAGACTTCAACCATCTTGAAGCTTTGTCGCCAAGAGAGAATGAAAAGAGCTTGCACTTAAGGTAGTCAGCAGAGACTCCATTGGATCTTGTAGTGCTGCAAATTTCTTCAAAGTTTTCTATGTGATCAAGAGGGTGCTCAGCTGGAAGTCCATTGAATTGGTTCTGTCTAACCAATGCAATGATCTGAGGCTTGATCTCATAGTCATTCCTTGCAGGTGGTGGTGGATGGATAGGGTTTCTATCCATGAAGAAAGCATCGGCAGAGTCATAGTCTCCGATTGTAGGTGCTCCAGCTTGGGGTTGTGCGTTCACATCTCCAGCAGGGTCTAGGAGGAGGAGGAGGTGGATCTCTTCCTTCTTCTTGAGCGCGCGCCACTTCAGCGGCGTGAGCGCGAGCTGCTTCGTCGGCCATCTCTTGGGCTTTTGCTTCCTAAGTTGCTTCTCAAGCTTGTCTATCTCTGGATGTTCAACTAGGTTGTCCTTGTTGGACCTCCTAGTCATGCACCTGAAAAGAGTCTTGGAAACAAGTTAAATCAAAAGGGAAAAACAAAAACAAAAGTAAAAATCAAAGAAAAGGAAATCAAAAACTAAAAATTCAAAAGCAAAAGAAAAGTAAAACAGGAAAAGGTTCTAGACTAGATCCTAGTCGAGTTCCAAAGGTACTGCTGCAGTCCCCGGCAACGGCGCCAAAAACTTGATGCGGAGTCAGGTTTTACCAAACTCCTAGACCTCTGCAAGTGCACAGATCGCGGAAGTATGGGTATCGAACACAAGGACTGGCTATTGAGTACACTTTGAACTATGGATTTTGGATCAAGCTAAAACAAAAGTATGATTGAGGTTGTAATGGTGAACCGAACTAGCAAGTATAACGAGGTTGTAAGCAATAAAGGAAAAGCGCTAGGTCATAGGGGCTATCGCAGAGAAGCAAGCAATGATCAATGAAACAATGATAGATTAATTGATTAGGGATATTGGGATATTAAGAACCATCTAGAACACAGATCACGAATATAAAACCATTCCACTTTCGAGGCTCCGGCTCCTTTGCTAATCTACCTAGTCGCTAAACTTTTGGTATGTCCCTAGGTGATTAGATCAAGCATTAGAATGAATAGGTTCTGATACAGTTCACTAGATATAGATAGATCAACTTTCGCAGTCTAAGAAACCTAGCTTGTCAAAGAATATGTCCGGCGAATGATACAGCACTGTCGAGGCTCAAATCAACCTAAGATCGGATTACTAGATGCGCGGTAAAGCAATCAGCATTAGTTAAGTGCACAAGACGAGACAAAGACTCTAATATAATCCCTAGCTAATCATTGAAATCAAAGATCATGCAAGCAACTCATTGAATAGTAACCCTAGCAACCTAACTAGTGGATTACTCAGACATGATCAAAGCAAACACACATAGAGATGAAGAAAACATGATTGCAATAAAACTTAGAGTAGGAAATCGAAATACAAGGGCGGCTCTCTTTCTCAAGAGGCTAAAAATCCATATATATAGTGCTAGGTCTTTCTAGAGGCGGCTAGGGTTAAGCCGGGCTTGAAAACATAAGTTTGGGCTTCAAAAAGGGCTTCGGGTCGACCGCGGCGTTGGGACGGTCGTGCGGGACGATCGGCCGGACAATCGGGTCGTGGCGAGTCGGAACGGTCGGGGTCGGACGGATTCGCGGTCGGCCGGCGTGGTCGAGCGGATTGAGATTTGGCCGATGAAATTCTCGGCCGGACGTGGGACGTTCTTCCCGGCTCGGACGGATGCATCGGCCGTGGTACGCGAACGGGTTGCGCGGCCGCGAGGCCTTGTTTCCCGGCTCGCGCGCTTTGGTCGTGCGCGGTGTGGCGTGGCGTTTGGCTTGGCCGACCGCGGGACAATGTTTCCCGGGTCGTGCGTGATCGGCCGGTCGGTTTGGACTTTGGCCGAGACTTCAGACGGACGGATGTGACTTTGGCCGAGCGCGGAACATTCGTTCCTCGGCCAGCCGGACTGCGCGGTTGGGCGCTGATTCTCGATAGAGCCGTCTGGACAGTCTTCACTCTTTTGGTTATAACTCCTTTTCTACTCATCCAAATTAGGCCATTCCAGTTGCGTTGGAAAGTTAACTCAATCAGAGCACGCAGGGAACTGGTCTTGATGAAATCCATTGAGTAGATCTTTTTCTGGGCCCTCTTAAAGTTGGTGCTTGTGCATGGAGCGCTTGAAGTGCAAATCCTATGGTTTTGCTCCAAAATGCATCATTTCACCTGTTTAGACTCTAGACACTATAAACACAGTAAAACTACCTTTTTAGATAGAAAACCTGCCAAAAACCATTAGAAAACAATGCTAAAACAGTATAAAAAGTGGGTAAATTAGAGGTATATCATAGGGCCATGAATGCCATCTTCGGAGGAGTTGATGAAGACAAATTTAAACTCATTCAAGGCTGTAAATCAGCGAAACAAACATGGGATACTCTCCAAAAATCTCATGAAGGAACCTCCAGTGTTAAAAGAACAAGACTGGATCAGCTTGCATTTCAGTCTAAACATCGCAAGATGAACTCAAGCGATTCCATTGTACAGTTCAGTTCCAAGATAAGCGTTATAGCTAATGAAGCTGAAGTTATGGGGAAAACATACAATAAGCAGAAGCTGGTTAAGAAGCTGCTCAGGTGTTTGCCGCAGAAGTTCGCTACTCACAAGGCTGTCATGAGGGTTGCAGGGAACACAAATTCAGTAAGATATGATGAGTTGGTTGGAATGTTGAAGTCTGAAAAAAATGGAGTTTGAGGACGACAAACTAAAGAACTCAAACGAAATAACCTTCTCGTCTGAACCTGAGAAAAGTCAGATTCAGGAAATCAAGGACCAACTGGCCTTGATGACAAAGAACTTTGGAAAAGTTCTTCAAAGGGTGAAAACAAACTATGACAAGGGCTCTGATCAAGGGAACATAAACACTGTCGGAAGATCGAGTTCTAACAAACAATTAAACTCACAACAATCGTATAGGCGCTCTAAAGTAAAATGCTTTGAATGTGAAGGTCTTGGGCATATCAGATCTGAATGTCCAGTCACAAAAAGAAAGGAACTGAAGTGATATGAATGAAGAGGATGTGGTCATGTGAAAGCTGAATGCCTGAATCTACAGAAGAATAATGAAAGGTCTCTTATGTGTTTCAGTGACTCTAAATTGGATGATTATGAAGGAGAAACTGAAGACTTGCTGAACTTTGTTGTGTTTGTTGCAACAAAAAATGACCCAAACCTAGATTTGGACTCTGAATCAGAAGCTGAAGAAGTCTTCAGTCCCAAGAAAGCTTATTATACTCTCTATGATAATTGGATCTTTCTCAGTCAAGACAAGCTACAACTGACAAAAGAAAATCTGAAGCTAGAATCAGAAATTCATCAACTGGAAGGTACATCTAAGACCTATATTGATATTTTCCCTATTGAGCTTGTTCCTAAGTGTGGCAGGTCAACAAAATCAAAATGTGAGTTTTTGGAAAAGGAAATTGCCCGAAATAAGGAAAGAGCAACTCAGTTGGAAAATCAGCTTAATGACGGTCACAAGAAGTTGCAGATGCTCAACAGTGGGTCTCAAAGTCTTGATCAGATTCTGGGTATGGGTAGACTTGAGTCAGGGCATCGGGTTTTAGGGTATCAAGGTTTTTAAACTCTAGAAAAAGAAGGGTCAGACTCAGTGATGATAGGATATCGCGATGGTGGAATGATATGTTAATGATATGAATGGGAAACATGCTCAATATCATTTGATTGAATAGGCCCAAGAGGTTATCAATCCAAATGGGTGAGATGTTGCTCTATGAATTTATGCAAACACAAGGAAGTCAAGCAATACAGTAAAGATGGGTGAATCTAACAATCTAATGAAATGAAAATGCAATGCAGAAAGTAAAAAAAAGCAATAAATAAAAGCTTAAAGGCGACTCGACTTAGGACTCGACCGAGTTATAACAGAGCATTAGAGCTCGATCAAGTTGGGGGTCGAGTTGAAGTAAAACAGAGGAAATTGCTAATGAAAAGCTGTAAAGATGCAAACTTTAAGCTATGGGAACTAAGATTAGGGTCTAAGACAGGGTCTTGCGATCAGGGGAAGGCTATACTTAATCAATCTTGCACTTTAACCACTTGTATTCAAGGTATCTCTTGGTATTGAGCTTTTCAAGCCTAGCTAACTCTTTTCCAAGGTGAAATCTATCATCTAAGGCAAGATCTCAGAAATAGGGGGTTAGCCAGTGAGAATCAAGCCTTAGAGGCAGTAGTAGGATCATTGCTCAAACTATCCCATCCAACATCTATAAACTCCATTTCGAGAGCAAGCATATTGGAGCTCTTAGTGGACCTTTTCAAGCGATTTCCCATCACTTCCATGAGGAAAATCGCATCAAACACACCATGGATAGTGGTTGTGTTGCATTAGGTTTTTTCCAAAAGAGAGAGATTTTAGATTAAGAACATCAAGCAAGAGAGATTAAGCATAAAAGTCCTCTAGTCGAGAGCAAGCATATTGGAGCTCTTAGTGGACCTTTTCAAGCGATTTCCCATCACTTCCATGAGGAAAATCGCTTATGATCAAACACACCATGGATAGTGGTTATGTTGCATTAGGTTTTGTCCAAAAGAGAGAGATTTTAGATTAAGAACATCAAGCAAGAGAGATTAAGCATAAAAGTCCTCTAGTCTAAGCCATCTTAAACCCTAAAGAGAACTACTCACTACACATTTCGCAAATCATGATCAAACGCAATAAAGGAGACATTAAAAGATATATAAGATGAAGATGACCAACTATTATTGAAATAAGCAAGTGCAAATACAAAAGGATAAAGCCTAGATCTAAGGTTCAAGAGAAAGAGCTCAAGAACACAAAGAGAGGCTAAGGTTTTTGCAAAAAGTAAAATACAAAATTAAAATAAAGCAACACGAAATTAAGCTAGAGAGAGAGTTGTCTTTTTTTGTGGCTACAAGCCCTTAAATACAAAAGAGATTAGGTTTAGGGTCAAAGGGGAGTCAAAGGGAAGCAACTTTCGGGTTTGACCATTGACTCTGCAGCTCGATCGAGTTAGAACTTGGCCGTTCGAGTTTAGGAACTCGACCGGTTGGTCGAGTAGATGGGTCGAGCTGGCTTTAAGGCGGCTTCCTTATTCATTCCAAGTGTGTGCGGTCAAGCTGGATCCATGCACGAAGTTCTTCCTTGCTCCTCACGTCCCAGTTGCTCCAAAGTGCTCCAAAAAGACCTGTTTAAGGATCAAACATGTACATGTATGCAAATGCAACCTAAAACTACAATGAATGCACAAAAAGGGAAAAGGAACAAGATATGATGCTAATGGATGCTAAAACTATGCAAAAGATGCAAAAAGATGTACTAAAACTATGTAAAATGCAAGTACATCACTCATGAATAAACTTTGTGAGTGGAAAAACAATCATTCCTGCTGCCAAAGTCATTCTTACTCAAGGACAGATAGTAGTTGGTCAACACAGCAGGCACATTAGAACTGATCACAACACAGCCAGAAGGTTTCTCGGTGGGAGTTTTTCTCAAAGAAGAGCCTGGTACATATGCTAACACTGTGGATCAAGGAAGCATCAAAGGAACAAGTGTCAAGATTTCAGGAAGACTGTCAGAAAATTATGGCTTTCAAAGTGTTGCTTCATTGAACCAGCTCATTTTCAAAACGTGTGTAAAGCTAAGCATCATCTGTTTGAGAAATCTCTCAACACTCTGAATGCTAAGCTGTATGAAGAGAATAACACCAACAAAGATCTCATATGTCATCTATCCAGGACAGAGGAAGAGGAAGAAGAACATCAAGCCAATGTGGCCTACACATCCATGTACTCTGAAGGCCTTCACGCGTGGTACTTTGATAGTGGATGCTCAAGGCATCTGACTGGGAGTCAAGATGGCTTGACATAGTTTGCTGAGTTCTCTGAAGGGAAAGTATCCTTTGGAGATGGAGAGAGAGGCAAAATGAAAGGAAAAGGCAGACTAAGCGGAATGAATCAAGCACACATTACAAATGTGTACTTAGTAGAGGGTCTCAAGGCAAATCTCATTAGCATCATTCACAAAAACAGAGTGCCAAGCAATTGATAAAGATGGAGACATTGTTCTGTTTGGAATCAGATCAGAGAACAACTGCTATATATGGAGAACTTCAGAGGTGTGTCTCTTCACAACCAGCTTGCAGCTGGATCTTTGGCACAAGAGACTTGGGCATATGAATACTCAAACACTGGTGCGTCTAGTCAAGGGTGAAGTTATAAAGGGAATTCCTAAATTAGAAGAATCCTCTACAACGGTTTGCAAGGCATGTAGCCAAGGAAAACAAATCCGTGTACAGCATAAAAAGGTTGCTGATATCACCTCAAGTAGGGTTCCTGAGTTGATTCACATGGATCTTATGGGAACAGTCCGAGTTGAAAGTCTGAATGGAAAAAGATATATTGTTGTGTTAGTGGATGACTCTTCACGATTCACATGGGTCAGATTTCTTCGAGAAAAGTGAGAGACTCTTGGGAGTTTCAGAATCCTTGCCCTACAATTACACAATGAGAAGGGGAAGATCTCCCAAATCAGAAGTGACCATGGAGGAGAATTCCAAAATAAAGAATTTGAGGATTTCTGCAATTCTCAGGGAATAATAACTATTCAGCTCCCAGGACCCCTCAACAAAATGGTGTTGTTGAAAGAAAGAATTGCACCCTACAAGAGATGGCTAGAGCAATGATGCATGAAAACAATGTTCCAACAAGTTTTTGGGCTGAGGCTGTGAATATAGCTTGTTACATTATCAACCGAGTGTATGTGAAACCAGGAAAAAAAAACCACTCCCTATGAAATCTGGAAAAGGAAGATTCCTAACCTCTATTACTTTTATGTTTTCGGTTGCACTTGTTATATCTTGAATGAGAAAGATTACCTTGAAAAATTTGATGCTCGCAGTGATGAGGTACTTTTCTTGGTTATTCTACAAACAACATGGCCTACAGAGTCTACAACAAGAAAATTAAAAGGATTGAAGAATCAATGAATGTGCTGTTTGATGATAAAGGAAAATCCACAACCTTCATCATGGATCAGGAAGATGAGGTGGTCCCTCCAAATACACCCGACATTGCAACACCACCTGTGTCGACAACTCCAAACACCTACATGCTTGAAAAGTTTCAAGTTCATAGGAATCACTGAAGCAGATGTCATCGGATCAGTGCAAGGAGATAGAGTCACTCGAGGAAAGAAAGTTGACTACCGAGAAATGTTACAATTCTCTTGTTTTGTCTCTGTTATGGAACCAAAAGACATCAAAATTGCTCTTGAAGATGAATTCTGGCTTGAAGCCTGTCAAGAAAAACTGAACGAGTTCACAAGGAATGAACTTTCGGATTTAGTTCCAAAACCACATGGAGTGAATGATGTGGTTACTAAATGGATCTTCAAGAACAAAAGCAATGAAGATGGAAACACCACTAGAAACAAAGCAAGGCTAGTAGCTCAAGGCTACTCTCAAATGGAAGGAATCAACTTTGATGAGACGTTCGCTCCGGTTACAAGATTAGAATCCATTCGTCTTGTGCTCGGAATTGCCTGCGTATTGAACATCAAACTCTACCAGATGGATGTAAAGAGTGCGTTTCTGAATGATGTTCTGCAAGAAGAAGTCTTTGTTGCTCAACCAAAAGGATTTGAAGATCCTCACAAACCAAACTCAGTCTACAGGTTAAATAAAGCCTTGTATGGGCTAAAACAAGCACCTCGAGCTTGGTATGATCATCTCACAATTTTCCGTCTAAGCAAGGGTTTCAAGAGAGGAAGTGTGGACAAGACACTGTTTATATATAAACAAGAATGCCACATTATGATAATACAGATCTATGTGGATGACATTGTGTTTGAAAGCACTCGACAAAGTTTAGCAGATGATATAGTTCGCTCTATGACTGAATAGTTTCAAATGAGCATAGTGGGAGGAGAACTGAACTTCTTCCTATGTCTACAAATAAAGCAAAAAAAAGAAGGTATTTTCATCTCACAAATCACTTATGCAAGAAACCTCATTCAGCGCTTTGGACTTCAAACAAGCAAGACTGCTCGCACCCCTATGAGCACTACAACCAATGTAGGAAGGAATGAATGTGGTCCATCGGTTGATCAAACCTTATATCGAGATATGATTGGAAGTTTACTCTACCTTACGGCTAGTCATTCAGATCTCTGTCTGAGCATTGGAGTGTGTGCTCTGTTTCAAGGGAATCCTAAGCAATCTCACTTCAATGCAATCAAACGGATCCTGAAATATGTTAAGGGTACTCTTAATTTTGGCATCTACTATTCAAAAAATTCTAGTCAGAATCTTGTAGGCTTTTGTGATGCAGACTAGGCTGAGAGCGTTGATGATTGTAGAAACACCTCATGAGGATGTTTAGGGAACAACTTAATATCATGGCACAACAAAAATCAAAACTGTGTTTAGTGTTAACTACTGAGACGGAATACATTGCTATGGGTAGCTGTTGCACACAATTCATGTGGATGAAACAAATGATTGCCAACTATGGTATGAACTCTAATAAGCTCTTAATTTTCTGTGATAATGAAAGTGCAATCAATATATCCAAGAATCCCATTCAGCATTCTCGCACCAAACATATTGACATTAGGAATCATTTTATTTGTGAGCTTGTTGAAGCTCAGACCATTGAGATTAATCAAATTGCCTCTAAGAAACAGATTGCTGATATTTTCACTAAACCTCTAGCCTTAACCAGTTTTTCTAATCTGCAAATATCTCTTGGTATTTCTGAATTCTAATTCTTGATGTTGGTTTGAAGAGATTCAACATGTGTGTGTTTGCCTTGTTGCCTTGTTTCTCGCGCATCTTTAGTCACGTCATTTCAACTGGCTGCCGCTTTAAAGTTCCTTCTCTTTAGCGAATCTTCTAGGCCCTGTTTCTCTCATATTTTCTTCATTTATCCATTGTTCATATCTTGTTTTTCTTCAATGGACTCGTCTCCACCTCAAGATGTGCTAATTTCTCAGTGTGATTTCTTTAGTTCACCAAAGGAATCCTCTGATCTGTTGAAGGAACCGACTGTTCCCGTACTTCTCAGTCTAGATCCGCCAGTCAGGGAAGCGTCTCAGTCTCCTGCTACTGCTAAGAAGCGTCTTCTTCCGGCTCGTCGTTCCATCTTCCGCAAGCGGTAGAAAACGGGTATCTCTTCCAACACCACTGAAAACCCTCATCTCAAGGATTAAGATATAGAGGATGAGACCCCTGTTCACATCTCAGAGAATCCCGGGAACACCGTAGCTCCTGCATCTGCTACACACCACTCTAACATTCCGCGTGTTGCTGCAATTTACATTGAAGATCTCGATGATGATGACGATGATGAGGACTTACCTCCACCTCCGTTCCTTGCTCGGTACGAGGACTACCGACAAGACTATGCAGTTCGCGACCGGAAAAAAACCTCAAATCCCTGTTCCAAAGTCCAAACCTTTCAGCGAACAGTTTCTCACAACAACGGCCAGCAAATCATTATATTCCTTCAGCCGGCGTAAGTTCAATGGTATGAAGATTCTTCCTCTCAACAAACCGGCCACTGTGGGTGCTCAGACGGTTCTTGATAAATCTGGGTTTCTTCCCACTGTCCGAGAAATCACTGCGTACTTGGAAGACATTGTCCGTGAGTTCTATACAAATCTGGGCTCAATTGAAAGGAGAAAATCAACCAAGAATCCAGTCTTCGTTCGTGGATACATGTATGAGTTCACCCCCAGAATTATCAATCAAATGTTCCAACTTCCAAATCCGCCGTTTGGCCCTGATGAAGATGTGCTTCGTGTGGATGAGTCACCTCTCCGATATTGCTGCTCTAATGTCTGCAAATACTGTTCGCAGTTGGGGATCTCTTAACACCCATACACTAGATGCTGACATGTATGCTCTCTACAAGCTCTGCTGTCTCAACTGGCTTCCCACGGTGAATCAGTGTGCTTTCAGCAAACCTCGGGCTAGTCTCAGCTACAAAATAGTCAAACACAAGCCGTTGAACTATGGGAAGATTGCATATGATCAGATTATTCCAAGTGCTCAGGGAAAGCCAAAGACGAGATTAGTTCTCCCTAATTTGATTCCACAGCTACTAGACTATCAACATGAAGTTCCTGCTCACCCCAAGGATCGTCTCTCGTAACCACCAGCCTTCTTCTGCCCGGAGATCAAGCAAGTTGCTCCACAACGTGTGGTTGTGCCTCCGCATGTGGTCAAAACAGAGGACCCTTCTTCCCTTTCTCATGACCTTGAAGAGATTATGCGTCTCCTTCGCACAGTCCAACTCAAGTATACATGTAAGGCCCTTCACAAACCCTGCCTTGTACTTTGTAATCCGGTGTATTTACCAGAGTGTGTGCACTCAAGCAGGGGGAGAATATTCTGCTGTGAAGAAAGAACCTGATGCAGAAACAAACACTGACAACGGCGAAGAGGAGGAGAACGAGGAGGAAGAAGACTCTCCTTACTATGAGTCCGACTAACTTTCAGGGGGAGCGGACTAACTATTTGGTTCAATTATGGACTTGTTTAATGGCCACTCTTTGTGGGTTTCCTCTTCAATTTAAAAACCTAAACTTATTTCTTATGTTTGTTTAAACACCACTTTAAGTGGTTGTTCTTTTGTTCAGATTTACTCAAAAACATTTGGTTGAGTAATTTATGTTTTGTTGAATTCTTGCTCTTGTTGCTATTTGTGAGCTGGAAATAGATGTCTGCTGCTTTGTCTCTCTCTGTGAATGTTCTTATTGCAGGATTGCCTGAGGCGTCATACACAGGTAAAAAAGGGGAGATTGACAATACAAGGATTCCTGTAGATTCAGGAAGTTCTGATGTTGCAAGTCTAGTTGGCAGGAAACCAGGCGCGTGTACTCGGAGACGATGGTGACGTGGACCATGTGCCTGACAGACGTAAAGAATAAGAAGGTTTCTGAGTGGAGCTAACAGAGGAGTTGTTCGAACGGCATGAACAAAGTATGAAGTGACAGACTGCGAAGCCGCTGAAGAAGCGATGAGCTTCAGAAGTTGGCAAAAGTCAAGAGCTAGTGTCAGTGGCTAGACAAGTCAAGAGAGTCACGTGTCGATCCGTTGGATATTAGAAAGTCTTAGGGTTTAACGTTTGAGTATATATGGCCATTTCGTGGAGAAGAAATCGTCCTCTCTTTTGTAAAAGAAAAGACCATTTTCTTATTTGAAAAACTCTTAGTATCTCAAGAAAATGGGTTTTCGGTGAGTGAACAAGAGACACCAGTTGTTGCTGTATATGTGAGATTGGGTAGATTAGGATTTGGTGTAGGAGAAAATCACCAGTGTGATGTTGCGATTTCCTGCTTAAACAAGATTGTAAGGAGTCTTGGTTTAAAAGTAAATCTTAATAAGAATCTCATTTTGAAAAATCTCCATTCAGTAATCTGCTTTTTCTTTTACTAGTTGGTACATGTTCTTGTAATTTCACATTTTACTGTGGGTAACGATTATTGATCTCACCGACAGTTTCTTTTTTGGGAACCTTCCAGCAGTGATAGCTCAAATGGCAACAGTTGATGGAGAAGAATGGATTTTTATATGCTTTAGATAGATCTCATATACAAGCTCACTCTCCTATTGTTTGCAACTTCTTCTTAAATATATTGTAGGATATTAGTACTCATACTTAAGTTTTTGCAGCTTCAGTCATCAAACATAGAATTGAAGGCATGTATATGAGTCCTTTAAAAGTAGAACTCCAAGCCATTAATCATGTATGGTCTTGTTGATACCAAAAGGTTATTTCTCAAGGAGTTAACAAAACTATAACACTTCTAAGTGGAGACGAGAAACAGAACTTTGGAGTGGGTTTGGAAAAGCATGTTCTGAGAAAGTGCAGTTCTTATGAATTCAAATTTCCAAGAGATTGAATCAAACCAGCAGATACGTTAGTAAGGACCGCTCATACTACAGCATTATTTGTAAAAACACTAAATATTCTTTTAACTGTTAATCACATCCTTAATTAGCATCAATCATAACAGACTTTTTACTTCAGTATTAATTTTCCTTTACTGATATGTGATATACACATATATTAACATACATTAGCATACATTTACATGCATATTTCCACCTATTGGCATCATTCTCATACATTTATATCCATATATCTCTATCTATTCACATGCATCTTCATTAGGACTTGCATTGCATATACATTGCATTTTGAGTCTGAATCAGGTGCTTAATGGAGCTTTGGAGCCATTTGGGAGAAGGAGTGTCGGAGACGTCAAGACAAAGAGCAACCAGGATGCGAACCAGGATCAGAACCCGTTTGTCGCCTTACAAGCTTTCTTGACCAAGAAGAGAGTTGACCATGCCTTAAGTGAAACGCGGCGTTTTGGAGCTTAAATCTTGGGGAAGGAAAGAAGAAGGGTTTTAGAGTCTCCACTATATAAACTAAAAAGTCCTAAGTTTTTAGGCATCTTGTAATTTGTCTTTCATTTTGCCACCAAGAAATACTCTAAGTTGAGATCTAGACTTTGTAAGCTTTGGTCTCTTTCTCTTAATCAAATCACGTACTTGTTTACTTTTATCATTGCATCTCATTTACTTGTAAACAACCTTCCTCTTATGAGAATCGGGTTGTCAAACAGGATGAGTGAGTAGTCTTTAGATTGTTTTAGGTGATTCGGTTTTGAGAGCTTTAAAGGAGAGTTTGAGCTTAAAGCTAGACCTTTAGAGTTTCTCCTTGCTTAGTGCCCTTAAGGCTGAGTCATTTCTGATCATCTTGGCTCAGATCTCAAGCTCTCAACACATCAAAAGTGTGTTTGAGGAGCTAGATAATCTAAGACAAGGGATCCGCTTCTCTAGCTCGCGATAGCGATTTGTTTAGAGGGCTTTTTGGTGATGGGATCTGCGTTTAAAGCTTGCGTTGTACAAGCTCACTCACGATAGTGAGCTCTTGAGTTTGGACCTTGCATTCGAGCTCATTCACGATAGTGATAAGCTCTTGCTTTCGTTTTCCTTAGCCTAGAAACTCGGTTTTATCTTCTAAGTCTTAAAGCTTCTTCCTTTAGCTCGATTTCCATCCGAAATCACCTAAAGCCATCGCCTTTCTTCATTTTCTTATCAAAGTTCAAGTCTTTTAGCTCAAAGTCGATTTCTTTCCTCTTTGAATTTGGATTTGGACCGTTATTTCACTGTTCTAAGTTTGTATTTTACTGTTTAACGTTCGGATTTCATAAAAACCAAATCTTGTTCTTGGCTTGAAGTTTTCTTGTTCAATCTTTAAACCCAATCTTCTCCGAGATTTGGATTGATACCTTAAACTATACTGCAATGATATGAGCAGAGATTTGAGGGTTTGGATCTACTAAAAATCTTGTTTTCAAACTGGCGCCGTTGCCAATCTTGGGGATTTGATTGGGATTTTCGATTTTGGAAAATTCAAGTTCAAGTTTTTAAATTTCTGCAACTTACACACCTAATCTGCCTGGGCTTTGCTTTGTCTTACTCTCAGGTGTATGCAAACACGCTCTCGCGGCAAATCAAACTTGTTAAGCTCCGACGAACTTCAACGAGCTGAACGAGCTAAACGCGAGCGTCAACGGCAGAACAGAGTAGAAGCAGAGTCGAGTTCAGGATTTCAGACAGGCTCCGAGTTACAGCTCAGTGACGACGACTCTGGTCCTGAGACGATGGCAGATAACCACGGAGGAGCTCCTCCACCGGGAGTTTTCCACCACAAGCCGGGAATCCAGCTTCAAGCTCAACGTCCGGCAAGACAAATCGGAGCTGGCGATATTCCGACGATTCCAGCGAATCGTCCCGGCATTACCCCACCACCGGTCCCAAATTTCAACTTCGACATCAAGACAAGCTTGATAAACTTGGTGGAGAATTCCATCTTTCACGGAATGAAAGATGAAGATCCTTTGAAGCACTTGGAAAAGTTTGATAGAATTTGTGCTTTGCAAAAGATCAACAATGTCACTGAGGATGCTCTTAAGCTCCGATTGTTCCCTTCTCTTTGAGTGGACACGCACTAGCTTGGGAGTCTTCAATCCAACCTGGAACCGTGACAACTTGGGAACAATGCAAGCATGCCTTTCTTGCGAAGTTCTTCCCCACGTCAAGAACTGCTCAGCTAAGGAACAACATTGCGAGTTTCACTCAACAAACCGGTGAAACATTCTCAGAGGCATATGAGCGATTCAAGGGATATCAAATGAAGTGTCCTCATCACGGCTTCTCCAAAGAGAACTTACTAAGCACGTTGTACAGAGGAATCTCCCCTAAGTACAAGATGCATTTGGATTCAGCTAGTAAGGGTCATTTTATGGGAATGGATGTAGATGATGGGCTCGCTTTGGTGGAGAATGTTGCTCTTAGTGATGGAAACTATCCAGAGGAGTATGATCGAAGTGATAGAGGAGATAGCTCAGTCAATGATGAGAAGCACAAGAAGGAGATCAAAGACATTGAATGACAAGCTTGACAAGATCTTGACTGGCCAACAAAAGCAAGTTCACTTTGTTTGTGAGGATGATGTGAACCAAGAGGGGGAGGACCAACAAACTGAGGAAGTGTGCTATATGAGTAATCAGGGAGGTTACTACAAGGGTTACAACACAAACAACAACACGAACCTCTCTTACCGCAGCACCAATGTGGAGAATCCACAAGACCAAGTCTACCCACCTCAACAAAACCAAAATCAAGGGGGCCAACAAACTGTTTACTTCAAGCGTGGTTACCCACCAAAGGTTTTTGGGAATCAGAACCAAGGCTCAACTCAAGCTCAAGCAGGGAGCAACTCAAGTCAAGATCTGATATGAAGACCATGCTTCAACAATTAATCAAAGGGCCAAACAAGTGGTGCTACTGAGCTAACACCAAGCTAGCCGAGATCAACAACAAGGTGGATTGCTCTTACAATGACCTCAACAAGAAGTTGGAATCTTTAAACAAAAGGTTCAACACTTGGAAGCTAAGAGCCACAACATACCTTCCTCTTCAAAGGGAATGCTTCCTGGAAAAGCAATCGCAAACCCAAAGGAGTATGTGCAAGCAATTACTCTTAAGAGTGGGAGAGTTCTTCCGAGAGAGTGGTACCATCAAGACGCAACGAGGACGTTGCGATTCAAGAGGAGGAGGAGTCAGTCGACATTGAAGCTGAGGAGAGTTGAGAAAGAGTCAGTAGAGCCTGAGAAGCAGAGGACAGCGCACCGGAACCGTCAAAAGGAAACAAGAAGAGGAGGGAAACTCTTTTTGTTCCCCACCATTCAAACCAATGCTGCCTTTTCCAACACGTTTCAAGAAACAAATGGCAGAGAAATGCAGAAAGTTTTTGATCAGCAATTGTCAGAGATCAACCTAAAATCCCTTTTGTGGATGCTCTCATGATGATCAAGCCTTATCAGAAATTTTTGAAAGATGCCATTGTGGAGAGAACCAAGGAAGTGCAAGGCATGGTGGTATTGTCTCAAGAGTGTAGTGCTATAATTCAAAGCAAGACAGTAACAAAGAAGCTTGGTGACCCTGGAAGCTTCACTCTCCCTGTTCCTTGGGACCTTTAGCATTCAAGAAAAGTTTGTGTGATTTGGGGCGAGTGTAAGCATAATGCCTTTGACTGTGGCAAGGCGTTTGGGTTTTGAGAAATACAAGGAGTGTCATTTCTCTCTGATCCTTGCTGATAGATCAGTTAAGCTTCCAGTAGGTATGCTTGAGGATATGCCACTCAAGGTGGGAAGTGTGATAGTTCCAACTGATTTGTGGTAGTGAGATGGATGAAGAACCCAAAGATCCTCTGATTTTGGGAAGACCTTTCCTTGCCACTGCTGAGAAGAGGCAAGATTGAGCTGAATTTGGGTAAAGACTGCAAGATGGTGTTCAATGTAAAAGATGTTATGAAGCAACCAACTATAAATGGTGAGTCGTTTTACATTGAAACACTTGAGCAGCTAGCCGATGACTACTTGGAGGAATTGGGAGTTGAGGATAAGCTGCAGCTGGCTTTGACTAAGGATAATGAGGAGTTTGGATGTCTACAAGCAGAGAGTATGGGTTATGCTTGGCTTATGGACTCACACAGAGCAGCAAAAGAGGGGACAGGCTTTGAGGAGTTGGTCAGTCAGAAACGAAGAGCATCCGGGATGGAAAACAGGTTGAGAACCTGTTTGCTCTAGAGTCCAAACCAAGGAGGAAAGCTCTCAAGAGCAAGGCACGGACGATGACTGGTCTGAGCTCAAGGCTCCCAAAGTCGATCTCAAGCCACTCCCAAAGGGGCTCAGGTATGCGTTCTTAGGCTCTAACTCCACATACCCTGTCATTGTCAATGATGCATTAGACCCCCATGAGCTTGAAACCCTCCTTGTCGAGCTGCGAAAGTACAGGAGAGCTCTTGGATACTCGCTGGACGATATCAAGGGTCTCTCCCCTACTCTATGCACTCACAGGATCCATCTCGAAAATGAATCAAAGGGATCTATTGAGCATCAGCGTAGGTTAAACCCCAATCTTAAAGAAGTAGTAAAGAAAGAAATCTTGAAGCTTCTTGATGCAGGAATCATTTACCCTATTTCGGACAGTACTTGGGTTTCTCCAGTACATTGCGTCCCAAAAAAGGGTGGGATTACTGTCATCAAGAACGAAAAGAATGAATTGATCCCAAGTAGGACAATAGTTGGACATAGAATGTGCATTGATTATCGTAAGTTAAATTCTGCATCAAGGAAAGATCATTTTCCTTTGCCATTCATTGACCAAATGCTTGAAAGGTTGGCATGTCATCCATTTTACTGTTTCTTGGATGGCTACAGTGGTTTTTTCCAGGTTCCAATCCATCCAAATGACCAGGAAAAGACCACATTTACATGTCCATACGGCACCTTCGCATATCGAAGAATGCCGTTTGGATTGTGTAATGCCCCAGCAACATTTCAAAGAGCAATGCTTTCTATCTTTTCGGATCTAATAGAGGAAATGGTTGAGGTCTTCATGGACGACTTCTCGGTCTATGGCTCTTCCTTTTCCTCTTGTTTGTCTAATCTATGTAGGGTGCTGAAAAGATGTGAGGAAACAGGCTTGGTTTTGAATTGGGAGAAGTGCCATTTTATGGTGAAAGAGGGGATAGTCCTTGGCCACAAGATCTCAGAGAAAGGCATTGAAGTGGACAAGGCAAAGATAGAAGTAATGGTGCAACTTGGGGAGCCAAAATCAGTTAAGGATGTGAGAAGCTTCTTGGGACATGCGGGTTTCTACAGGCGCTTTATCAAAGATTTTTCTAAGATAGCAAGGCCACTCACAAGACTCTTATGCAAAGAAACAGAGTTCATCTTTGATGAAGAGTGTAGCCAAGCTTTCTTGAAGATCAAGGAAGCCCTTGTTAGCTAATGTACTCAACATTTGCATGCATTTAGCCTCTCATACTGCATAGTTCTGTGTATAATTGAGTCTCATTTCATAACATTTAGTGTAGCTTTAGTCTACTTAGGATCATTTAGCCTTTAGGATAGCATTTTGCATTTCCATTGCATTTGGGGTGCATTTATCAGGTTTCGGAGCTTATGGCGAAGGAGCAGACCGGAGGTGATGATCGGAGATGGACCAGAAGGAGATCGGAGTAATCGGATGGCAAAACAAGCAAGACGGAACAGAGCCTTGAGCAAAAGGAAACAGAGTGCTTGAGGAAGTTGCTCAAGCTGCGCGCAGCTGTGAAGTCAAAGCAAAAATGTTGACCAAAGGATACACTTTTCCCTTCTCTATATAAACCTTTAAGACCTAATTTTTAGGCAATCTTTATCTTGTAACCAGTTTCTCTCCAAGAAAAACAGTTTGTTCTTGGAGATCTTTTGTAAGCTTTTACTTTGAATCTTTTAAGTTTAAGAAGTACTTAGTTTGCTAATCTTGTCTTAATGATGATTTCTAGCTTTCTTTACCTCTTTGCTTTCGGTTCGAGTATGAGTAGCGAGTAGTTCTTTAGAGGTTTCGAGGGTGAGATTAGGAAAGGTCAGAGCTTTAGCTTCCTTAACCTCTTCCTTAATCTCCCTTGACCAGCTTTTCTTTAGCTAGAGCTTTATATCTCGGCTTCTTCTTGATCACTTGAAGTCGCGAATCTAGGCTAGTACACCTAGAAGGTGTTTGCGTTAATGCCTAAGAGAGCTAGCGATAGAGAGAAACATTCCCAACCTAAGAGATTGGTTGTTGGGATGTATCTTGTGCACTTTTAGACTAGATCTTGTGAAAGCTTGTAACTTTGAGTCCACTAGCGAGAGCTAGCTTTGGATTCTCAGCTTGCAAAGCGATCTGACCACGAGAGTGGCGGATTTACCCAAAGTCTAAGCACAAAGCTTGAGTCTTGGTGTGTTGAGAAAGGAAGGTTGAGCTCGTTTGATCCCAACTAAATCTCACCCAAGACGCCTCCTTTATCTTATATTGTTAAAGTTTAAATCTTTCTTTCATCTTGTTAGCTTAAAGCATAGATCTTTACAAAACAAAACCCAATCTTTTATCAAAACTTGATCTTTGCCTTTTCTTTATTTCGATAGTTTGAATCTCCATTGGATTGACATCTCAAGTACTACAATGACATGAGTGGTATGGATTGAGAGTAGTTGATACAAAAATCCTACTTATCATTAGCGCACCAATTGTCCAAGCTCCAAATTGGGATCTCCCCTTTGAGATAATGTGTGATGCTTCAGATTTCGCAGTTGGGACAATACTCGGTCAGAAGGTGGATAAGAAGATGAACTATAGTGGGAAGAGAAAGGGAGGCCCAAAGGTATCGGGACCGAAATGGCCGGAGACTGCTGGCCAGGACATGGATGACTCGATGATCCCGCGACCTTATGGGATCCAAGAGCGCATCCGTATCTTGAGGAGGATGCAGTTCATGTCAATGCGCTACCCGCACAAGGAAACGATCAGGGAGCTGGGAATTGAGGAGGATGTCAACGATATCCTCTATTACACGAGCTTGGAGACTTCACGAAGCTAGCTCTCCCGGCGTATAGAGAACGGCGATAGAGTTCCTCGCCTCCCTGAAACTCAAGAAGCATCCTCAGGGGGCAGCCGCCGAGCTCAAGAGAGATGGGATCGGATACATCACCTTCACACTCTAGGACAAGAGTATCTGCTCAGCATGAAGGAGCTTGAGACCATCTACAATCTTGAGGAGGATCGTGGTCTTGACACCGAGTGTGTGTAGCTGCAACTGAGCTCCATGCGCTGTGGAGGATGATAAGCTTGAGGTCTTATCAGATTTCCAGCAACAAGAGCGGCTGCATCAAGAGCTATGCCCACAAGGTGATCGCCAATACCCTTTTTGCTAGACATGACTGCTCAAACGTCACGACGCAAGAACTCGAGCTACTTGATGAAGGGATTATCCAGAAGCTACAAACTCTGGATGACGGAACAGAGATGAAAGGAGACTTGCGAGAGACGAGCAAGGCAGTCGTGTTGGTGAACTCCTTGCTACATGTAATGAGGAACGCAGAGCTGTTGTACGAGCAAGGCAAGATTAAGGAGTCTCACTTGGCAATAGGTAGCTTGATCACTCCTATCCTTCTGGCTACAAAAGTCAAGCTCCCGGCCCCTTCTCATCCACCCAAGTTCATCGACATTGCCCACCTGAACAAGACGTGGTTCTTGCGTGGAATGCATGATGGGAAGCACATCTACCGCTTCGAACACCCCTCGTTTGGCATCTCAAAGATCCTTCTTCCGAACACCGATCTTACAAACACCAACAGCCGGGATGGAATCCTGTTTCTCCCCTCGGCTGATCAGTTGTTTATAGATGGAGGCGATGCAACGATCGGAGAAGAGCAAGGGCGCGAACGAGGAGAGCCTTCCTCAAGGCAGGCGAGTGAGCTTGGTGAGTTCGACTTCGTCCCGTACAATGCGAGTGGGAGCGTCCCGCGATCATCAAGGCACACGAGCATATAGGCATGCTTCAAAGGTGGTGCAAGAAACAAGATGAGGTGATCAAGAAGCTCACCGAGACAGTCAACATTCTCAAGGAGAAGCTCTCTTGTGCATCACCAAAAGCAACAAAGGCCGCATCGCCAAGCAAAACCGTGGAGCCAACGTTAAGGAGAAGCAAGCGGAAGAGAAAAACAGGCGCATCACCACCTCCAACGTCTTCAACAGAGCCAATCGACCTTGACGATTGTCCCACACCACCCACCCCGACAACGAATAAGGTAAGACTCAACTCCCCTGTAAATACCACTCATTTTTTTTTAGTTTTTCTTTGTTTTTGCATCTCTTTGATGGATCTCTTCTTCATCTCTTTGTGCACAAGAGACTGTGCACTTTAAGTTTGGGGGAGAGGTCCATAGCATTTGATCATGTTTTCTGTGATTCTTATTTTCAATTTTCATCCTTGAGTCTCATGTAGTTTGCATTTGCATATATGGCATAGAAAAACCAAAAAAATTGAAAAATTTCGAAAATTGCATTCCACCAAAAAGAAAAGCATCATGAGCATTTGCATTTTAGGATTGAGTCTAGATGCATATCATCCCATTTGCATAGAGGACAATGAGGAATAAAAGTTTGTGATTTTTCGAAATGGTTTCAATGGTCCGGTTTTGAATCATTTGGTGCATATAGAGTGAGCTTGAAGTTAAGAAAGAACCACACCTTGAATGCACTCTTTGACATCTAGAATCGGCTGAAGCATTGTTGTGATTTGATCTCTCATCCTGCTTATCGAAACCTGAATTTGATGTTAATTATCATCCTTGTGCATTTGCTAAGAACTCGCGGATACATATACATACTTGGATTATCTTTCACCCTTTTCACCACTCTTGTTAATCCAAGTAGATTTCCCCACCTTGAACCAACCTTTCTTTGAAACCAAGTTGTTATTTCTGAGTGTGTAAGGCCTTTTTGGTTGAGCTTGGTAGAAAGTGTTGGGTTTTTACCGACAAGGTCTAGGCTTCCATGTAGATTCTAGCTCGGTCCTTTGAGCTAGTTAGGACTAAGTTTGGGGGAAACACCATTTGGGCTTGGGGAAGTTCTGAAAAGAAAAGAAAAGGGAAAGAGTTCCGAAGGAAAGTCCTAAAAAGGGAAGAAAAAGTTAAGCCGAGTCCCTTAGGAGAGAGTAGTGAAAGTGTTATGCTCTAGTGAAGGTTTGGGAAAGAAAAAGAAAAAGCTCTAGCTAGAAATAAAAAGAAAAGGCAAAAGCCAATTTAGAAAAGAGCCTAAAAAGCCAAACAAAAGGAAGATCCCAAACCGCTAGATGAAGTTTAGAAACCTCTCCTAAGGACTTGAAAGCAAAGAAAAATAAAAAGGTTCCAACCTAAAGGGTAAAAGAGTTAAGCTTTCTTGGGTAGATAGGATCTTGGGAAACAGGGGATTGCTTCATTGTTCTTGGGTAGATGGAAGTCTAGCCTTGTATCATCCTTGGTTTTCACCCTTAGCATTCTACTAAAGCTCAACCTTCTTTGAGAGATCCCTTGTGCTGATTTTGAAACCAGAAAACAGGACCATCTTTGTCCTTTGAAGCTTATCCCTTTAAGCCAAGCGAGCTCTTTGAAATGCATAAGTGGTTGATTCACGGTTCTGTTATAATTGAATGTTAAAGGATGAGAGCTATTTGAATGCATTGTGGAAGTTGAGCCTAGTGTTTTTCTGTTGCTTTGATGGGTGTGGCTAAAATTTTAGAAGTAGAGCTCATTCGCCTTGCATTTTATGATTCTCAACCTGATCATTGACTTCATTTCCTCTCATTGCACTCTTGAGTTTCGAGTCCTTGATATATCAGCATTTCTCAGATTTGGTCTTCTCGCTTGAGGGCAAGCAAGATTCAAGTTTGGGGGTGTTGATATACACATATATTAACATACATTAGCATACATTTTCATGCATATTTCCATCCTATTGGCCTTATTCTCATACATTTATATCCATATATCTCTATCTATTCACATGCATCTTCATTAGGACTTGCATTGCATATACATTGCATTTTGAGTCTGAATCAGGTGCTTAATGGAGCTTTTGGAGCCATTTGGGAGAAGGAGTGTCGGAGACGTCAAGACAAAGAGCAACCGGGATGCGAACCAGGATCAGAACCCGTTTGTCGCCTTACAAGCTTTCTTTGACCAAGAAGAGAGTTGACCATGCCTTAATGAAACGCAGCGTTCTGGAGCTTAAATCTTGGGGAAGGAAAGAAGAAGGGTTTTAGAGTTCCACTATATAAACTAAAAAGTCCTAAGTTTTTAGGCATCTTGTAATTTGTCTTTCATTTTGCCACCAAGAAATACTCTAGTTGAGATCTTAGACTTTGTAAGCTTTGGTCTTTCTCTTTAATCAAATCACGTACTCGTTTACTTTCATCACCTTGCATCTCATTTACTTGTAAACAACCTTCCTCTTATGAGAATCGGGTTGTCAAACAGGATGAGTGAGTAGTCTTAGATCGTTTTAGGTGATTCGGTTTTGAGAGCTTTAAAGGGAGTTTTGAGCTTAAAGCTAGGACCTTTAGAGTTTCTCCTTGCTTAGTGCCCTTAAGGCTGAGTCATTTCTGATCATCTTGGCTCAGATCTCAAGCTCTCAACACATCAAAAGTGTGTTTGAGAGCTAGATAATCTAAGACAAGGGATCCGCTTCTCTAGCTCGCGATAGCGATTTGTTTAGAGGGCTTTTTGGTGATGGGATCTGCGTTTAAAGCTTGCTTGTGTACAAGCTCACTCACGATAGTGAGCTCTTGAGTTTGGACCTTGCATTCGAGCTCATTCACGATAGTGATAAGCTCTTGCTTTCGTTTTCCTTAGCCTAGAAACTCGGTTTTATCTTCTAAGTCTTAAAGCTCTCTCCTTTAGCTCGATTTCCATCCGAAATCACCTAAAGCCATCGCCTTTCTTTATTTTCTATCAAAGTTCAAGTCTTTTAGCTCAAAGTCGATTTCTTTCCTCTTTGAATTTGGATTTGGACCGTTATTTCACTGTTCTAAGTTTGTATTTTACTGTTTAACGTTCGGATTTCATAAAAACCAAATCTTGTTCTTGGCTTGAAGTTTTCTTGTTCAATCTTTAAAACCCAATCTTCTCCGAGATTTGGATTGATACCTTAAACTATACTGCAATGATATGAGCAGAGATTTGAGGGTTTGATCTACTAAAAATCTTGTTTTCAATATGTAATTAAAGAAGTTGATTCAAATAGCAGAGGAAACATGACTTGAGAGGATCGTTAACGTCATGTCGGGAGTTCATGGAAATTTTGAATCCAACTTGCTAGGAGTGTGGCTATGGATCTGCATGAGGGCTTATGTATTGCCTTTGTTTATGCGATGGTACCCGAAACAAGATTTTGATGTTTCTCATAAAACAATTGTTGACTATAGTCTTCGAAAATGAAGGAAATTTACAGAATAATATTATCTGGAATCAAGCTTTCGGATGTAAAATTTGTTGGCAAGAAAACTTAGCGGAACCGTATTTGTGAAATGAAAACTTTAAAACTATCTATTCAACACAAATACTTTGAGTGAAATATGTAATGGATATTGCTATTTGTTTTCTTAATTTTTGGTTATACAATTTTAATTTTTTTTTTTTTTTTTTTTAATTTCTTAGTATTATGGGAAAATTTTGGAATAAAGCTTTCAACCTAAAATTTAATTGCATGAAACTAACGAAATTATGTTTTTAGCATAAATGTTGTGAACTTTAAAATTACCTTTTCCGGACACAAATATATACTTAATATTGTTAGTTTTTTATCGGTCTCTGAAAATTCACTTATGCTACATTATCTTTAATTTGAATTAAGTTCTTTCATATAATTGAATTTTTATGATTTTTTTTAGCATATTACTTCTTTCTAACCAAAACACAAACAACAACTATCCAATAAAATAAATAAAATATTAATTTAAAAATATCAGAATCTTATATAACGAATCAAAGTAAAGTCCACCATACACCCGCACATTAGGCGCGGGCAATCATATAGTTTCATATGAAACTAATGAAACATGCGAAAATTTTAAACAATTTTGGGATAATATGAATCATGATATTTTAAAATAGACATTGGCAAATTATCTAAGGTATGCCTTTTAACATAAAACAAAAAATTATCTAAAATCCTCTCCGCTCCGAAAATATAGATATTTGGAATATTTGAACGTGGATCCAAAGAGAAAAATTATTGATCTATTACATCCGGATCCGTAGATAAATTAAGAATTGGATACCCGATCATGTAGTGTAGATTTGTATAATCTTTATACTATTAATCAAGAAGTATATTCTAATGTTTGAATATAAGAATAAAAGAGAACAACTGTTTGGATACAAGAATAAGAGAAAAAAATTGTTTGTGTAACATCCATAGACCAATCTCCATTTTTATGGAGGTTGTGTCGAGCGACACACAAAAGCTGTGTCGGTCGACACAACGATTTTGAAATCAAACCCGGTTCAATTTGAGTGAATTGAAAACCGGTTTAGTTCTGTTTGGGTTGGAAACCTTCGGTTCATGGTTAAAAACTCGCGCAGCCGCCTCGGTCTTCTCCTTTTTTCGGTGTTGTGAGATCGATTGAGGCTGTTCGTCGTCAATTCGGAGACTGGGTTGTTGCTAGTGGTGGTTGTGTCGCGTTTCGTCGTGTCCTTCGTCCAGTTCATCATCTCCTTCGATTTCTTCCTCTTTTCAATCCGAAATCGAGATGAGTGCATGACTGTGGGTCTGTGATTACTAGGAAATCGTGTTTTGTGTGTGATGATTTGTGGTTGTATTGTTGTTGAATCAAGTTACTGGTGTGAATACTGTGTTTCAGGTACTGTTCATAGCTCGATCTTTGAAATCCCGGAAACGGTGTCGAGCGACACAAGTTTGTGTCGGTAGACACCATAAGGTGTGTGTCGACCGACGCAAAGCGTGTGTCGATCGAGACAGACTGGTTATTTCCGGTTTAAATTGATTTAAATGGTCTGAGTAGTTTACTTGTTAAGTGATAGGAAATCAAAGGATAGTATTCATTTTTGCTTGATAATCGATTATTATGAATTAGGGTTTTACATAAACTCTTCACCTTTACTTGTGTGCAAAGCTTGTTATTAATCTGGCCAATTAGCATATGATCCTAGGTAGACTTGATCCACGAAAGTGCTGAATCATTTGCCTGAACTAGTATTTGCTAGGCAATCTCTTTTAGACTGCGACAGTTGATCTACTTGTAGGTTGTGAACAATTGAGACTCATTCGAATTAATGCTTGATTTAATCATCTAGGGACAAACCAAAAGTTCAGCGACTATATAGATTAACAAAGGGGTCGGAGTCACGACAATGGAAAGATTATACCTTAGTGTCTTGAGTTCTAGATGGTACCAATCTCAATAACTCTAATCAATCGAACTTGCTTCAGGAATTACTTAGCTAGAGATTATCCTATTGCTTAGCTGCTTTCTCCTATTGATTTAATCCTTCGATTTACTTGCATGCTTTTACTGTTTTCTTTAGTTACAATCAACCAACTCTTATTGTTTTGCCGTAGCTCGATCTTGAACTCATAGCTTGTAGTGTACGATATGGTTCTTGTGTTTGATACCCGTTTACTACTTCTGACATGTGCACTTGCAGAATCATGGATAGGAAAGGAAATACCTGATCCCTCGATCAATAGCACAATTTGTGAAATCCGCGACACAAGTTTGTTTGTGTCGGTCAACACCAGAAGGTGTGTGTCGACCGACACAAAGCGTGTGTCGATCAAGACAAACTGGTTATTTTCGGTTTAAATTGATTTAAATGGTTTAATTGGAATTGTTTGGTTTAAATGAATTGGAATGGTTTAATCGAATTGGGTTGATTTAATTTGGTATTTAATTAATGGTTAATATAATTAATTAAGTAGTTTAAAATAATTAAAATAATTATTTTAATTATGGAAAATTATAATTTAATTAAGAGAATTATTTAATAATGGAGAATTGGAGTTTTAATAATTATTGAGGTTTATAATAATTATTGTTAATTGCTAGTAATTGCATAATTGGCTCGTAGACAGGGTGATTTCCTCACTAAGTATTTATTAAATACTTATGCATCTCTTTCGCAAAATGATGCAGGTAAAAGGTTTGTGTGATCGCGAAATAAAGGTTAAAGATGGGATGATGAGATGTTTACTGTTTATTTGTTTTGCATTGTTTGACTTGTTAGTACATGGTATTTAGGTTGTTAGTATTTTTTTATTATCGCGGGTTTTTAATTATTATACAGACTATTTATTTGTTAAAGAGTTTACAGTTTGAATGAATATTTGTTAATTGATTTGACGTCATTAATAATTATGCTTCTTATTCGTATAGTCATTTTATTAAAGAAATGTATATTAGCTATGCGTGGGTTTATATATCTTAACTTTTTCTGTGTAGTTGCTTGAAAACGTTTTTTCACATTATATATATCTCTGTTGTGTTTGTATTGTTTTAGACTAAAATACTATATTTTCCTTTGACATAAGTTACTAATTAAATAAGAAACTTAACTCTCCCATGAGCTTCATTTAGCTCTCCAAGTATTGTTGTATATAATTCATATTCCAACTGCAAGCACATGCTCTAAATTTGTTCCGACCTTGTTTGTTTTTATAACTTTCGCATCTACAAAAGAACACAAACAATGATATATAGCACTTGATTCACATACAATATGTACCTAAATACACTCATCTATTGGCTTCGTATTTGCTTTCTCTGTGATCTAATTCGAACAAGTGTCACAATAGGCTAAAACTTGATACAAAAGCTTCTCTTTTATTAGTAAATGATGCCTTGAATCAAAACATGTCTTTTTAAAATTCATTACATTTGAAGAAGAGAAACAAAAACATAGCAGAATACTGAATGCGAATGCCTATTTTGTTTCTCTCCTCAAATCAACCAGCAGAGAACAAGATAGAAGAAAGCCATGAAAACACATTACGTGGTTAAAAAAAATTTGAGTTGTATTGTGATAAACACAAAGTCTAGTTTGATAAGGATTGTGTATATTTAGTTTCCTCAAATATAGGAGGTTAAGCTTAGCTAAAGCCAATATGTGGTTGTATAAATATTTGAGTTTGTAAACGTAAATAAACAAGTCAGTTCATATCATCCTACATGGTATCAGAGCATAAGATCCTTACACCTAAAATATCTTGTTCTTCACGTTTCTGTGATCTTGTGTTCTTGGTTTTCTGTTTTCGTCTCTTATCATGGCCGGTGATGACGATGTTGCTCCAGGTGGTGTTCCTCCGGTGAGTGGAGCAACTGGTGGTGTTCCTCTGGTGGGTGGCGCAACCGGAGGTGGTGTACTTCCGACGAGTAGTGTGCCAGGTTTTGGTGTAGCAAGTGCTAGTGGTGCTCGGTCTGGTGAAGTTAGGGTCGTGTCGCCGTACACGTTGTACTCCTCGGATAACCCTGGAGCTACAATAACTCCAGTGTTGTTAAACGGAGAGAATTACAACGAGTGGTCACTGGAGTTAGTTAATGCGCTTCAAGCCAAGCGTAAGACAGGTTATGTCAATGGGTCATTGCCAAAACCAGCATTGGGAAGTCCTGATCTAGAGAACTGGTTGGTGGTGAACTCTATGATCGTTGGTTGGATCTGTGCCTCTATTGAGCCAAAGGTACGATCAACAGTGACATATATCTCAGATGCGTTTCAGTTTTGGGAGAATTTGAAGCAACATTTCTCGGTGGGAAACAAAGTGCGTGTGCATCAGATCAAGGTGCAACTAGCGTCGTGTAGACAAGATGGTCAATCGGTGTTGGATTACTATGGTCGTCTCTCCAAGTTGTGGGAGAAATTACAGATGTATCAACCGATACATGGATGTGTGTGTGGAGCAGAGGCAAAGATGGCTAATGAGAAGGAAGAGGAGAAGATTCATCAGTTTCTCATGGGCCTTGATGATTCCCGTTTTGGCAATATTTGTACAAATATTATCGGAACGGATCCTCTTCCGGCTCTTGGGGAGATTTACAACCAGATTGTCCGAGAAGAACAGAGACTTGCCTCTGCCAAATCGAGAGAACAGCAGCAAGACGCAGTTGGTTTTGTTGCACGTCAATCAGGATCATCCAATCCATCTGTACGATCAGAGTCTCAACAAAACCCCTAGAACTCGATATTACGGAACAAGAACACTATTTGTTCGCATTGTGGAAGGACATGGCACGAGAAGCGTGACTGTTGGCAAATACTGGGATTTCCTGAATGGTGGAATGAACGTAATGGTGGTCGTGGTCAGAATAGCAGCCGTGGAAGAGGAGGAGGTCGAGGTGGAGCTGGAGCAGGTCGCGGACGAGGCCAAGTAACAACAGCTCATGCAACTTCTTCGAATTCCTCCACTTTTCCTGAGTTCAGTGCCGATCAATGGAAGATACTAACCCAGATGATCCAGGAGAAGTCAGGAAGTAGTGTGTCCGACAAGTTGTCTGGTAAGGAGAAACTTGGTGATGTTATACTCGATATTGGTGCTTCACATCATATGAAAGGAAATCTGTCTCTGCTTACCAATATCGAGCATATCTCACCTTGATCGGTTGGTTTTGCGGATGGTAGTAAGACCTTCGCTTAAAGCATGGGAGTGTTCCCACTTTCAAAGGAGATAGTGTTGCCAAAACTTCTATATGTCCCAAATTTAAATTGTACTTTGATATCCATGGCAAAGCTCTTGAAACATACTAATTGTTTTGCCATGGTTACTGATACAATTTGTGTTTTACAGGACCGTTTCACGAGGACCCTGATTGGAGCCGGTGAAGAGCGAGATGGGGTCTACTACTTTACGGATATAGTCTCAGCAAAGAGCAACAAGGCAGTGTTTGGTTCAGATCAAGCTTTGTGGCATCGGCGTTTGGGGCATCCGTCGTTTTCTGTGCTTTCGTCTTTAGATTTGTTTTCCAAGTTGTCTAGTTCAGCTAGCTCTAGTCCTTGTGACGTGTGTTTTAGAGCAAAGCAAACTCGTGAGGTGTTTTTTGATAGTTTGAATAAAACAACAGAGTGTTTCTCTTTAATTCATGTTGATGTTTGGGGACCTTATCGAGTTCCGTCTTCAAGTGGTGCGGTTTATTTTTTAACGATCGTTGATGATTTTTCAAGAGCAGTTTGGACATATCTACTTCTTGAGAAATCGGAGGTGAAGAGAGTTCTTCCCGAGTTTCTTGCATATACTGAAAAACAATTCAACAAATTAGTCCGGTCGGTTCGGAGTGATAACGGGACCGAGTTCATGGTCTTATCTTCCTTTTTCCGTGAAAAAGGAATCATTCATCAAACCTCATGTATGGCGACTCCACAGCAGAATGGAAGAGTAGAGCGCAAGCATTGCCACATTCTTAATGTTGCTCGGTCTTTGTTGTTTCAAGCACATCTCCCTGTTAAGTTTTGGGGTGAAGCCATTCTCACTGCTGCGTATTTGATAAATCGCACTCCTACTGCCATACATAATGGGCGAACTCCGTTTGAGATTCTCCATGGCGTGAAACCAGATTACAATCAGTTGAAAGTATTCGGTTCTGCTTGTTATACACATCGCGCTTCCCGGGATAAGGATAAGTTTGGGGAACGTAGTCGTTTATGTGTTTTTGTGGGCTATCCTTTTGGTATAAAGGCTCGGAAGGTCTATGACATCAATAAGAATGAGTTTGTTATTTCGCATGATGTTGTGTTTCGCGAGGATGTTTTTCCATACGCTGAACCAGAGATTGTACCATCTCCTCCTTCTCCGAATGTTGCGTGTGATGAGGATTGGATGATTGTGCCGGAAGACAGGGGGAGCGATGCTCAGACCACATCGTCTCCTGATCAAGCGGAAGAATGTATTTCTGTCACGAAGAAACAAAACTTGCCCGTTCCGGCAAATGACTTGGTTAGTCATGTGGTCTCTCCTACCGCGAGCGATGTTTTTCCAGAGTTGTCAAGTGATGATGATGATACATTATCTCCAGTTTCCACGCCTCCAGCAGAAGATTTGGGTCGAGGTCGTCGCGAGAAGTCTCGCTTAGTTCTCCTTAAAGACTATATCACGTACAATGCTCAAGTAGACCCCTCTCACGCTCTCCCCTCCTCGTCGTCCTCGTCTACAGTCCAAGGTAACTCATTCTTCCCTATCTTTGATTTTGTGTCGGATGGGCAATTTTCTCCAGGACACCGTGCTTACTTGGCGACGATCACGAAGGAGGTCATTCCCAAACACTTTAAAGAAGCGGTGACACAGAAAGTTTGGGATGATGCGATGGTTACGGAGGTAGTGGCTCTTGAGAAGAAACGAACATGGGATATTCTGGATTTACCTGAAGACAAAGAAGCCATTGGGAGTCATTGGGTATACTGATATCACCATATTTTACATGATTTTACTATATAATTACTATGTTTTCAAACGGTTTTTGCAAGATTCTTTGCCTTTAGAGGTAGTTTTCTTGTATTTGTGGGATTTGAAGTCTTTGTAGGTGAAACCATCAAAAAGGATGCAAAAAGGAGTAAAAGAGCCCTAAATCAAGATCCATGCAAGTTTCCAAGTCAAGAACATCATTTTATCTCCAAGTGTTAGTTCTCGCTAGCGCGCAGAACGAAGCTTCGGAAGTTTGGCCGCGCGCGGAGGAGTTCCCGACGTCCAAAAGTTACGATCTTGATATGGAAAGATAGATACTTGAGTCATGCATCACGTCGAAGTGGAATGAAGCCATTTGGATCAACTATGAGGCCTAGACTTATTTTCTACCGAGACATGTCCGGTAAGCGAGCAAACGAAGCCCATGGAGGATTTGGAGTGTCTAATGGCCCGAGCAGCAGCGCCAAAGGCCTTGATCGAATAGAGAAGAGGCCTGGCTAATGTTTGGAGCTTTCCTTGGTACAATGTCGGCCCATACACGACGTGGAGAAGAAGGCTTTGCTCATGGGAAACTTTCCTTTTCCGGCATGAAGAAAACCCTACGCGACTTCGCCCATATATACATGTTTTTAGCCGCTGAAGAAGAGATCGAGCGTGTGAGTTTAAAGAGAGTCGTGTGAGAAGAGAGGAGAGAGAAGCCCTAGGAGATCGTCCAAGAAGAAGGAGGCGCCGCTCAACTCTTGTTCTTTCTTTTTCATTGTTTCCATTTCTATAAACTTGATCTTAAGAGTTTTCAAGGGAGAATCCGACTTTGTTCATCAATAGAGAAGCTTTCTTCATCCCTTTATCTCTTTTAATACTTGCATAATGTTTACAATCATGCTTTGCTTGCTTGTTTGCATCATGGCCGAGTAGATCTCTTAGTTAGGCCGAGGAGATCTATGGTGGCCGTGATGATTTGATTGTGTTGCAACTTATTGGGATTTATCTTATGGATCTTCACCTTTACTTGAGCTTAATGCATGATTACTCTACCGTACATCTAGTAATCTGATCTTAGAGAAATAGAACCACGACAGTGCTGAATCTAGATCTCAAAACTAGTATTTGGTGAGCAATAGATCATAGCCAACGAAAGCTGAGTTATGGTTTATTGTGAACAATTGAATCTTGATCATTTAATGCATGTTTGCAATTCTAATAGCCAACGAAAGCTGAGTATATTAGGTTGTTTTAAACATAGTGGTTGGAGCCACGACAGTGGAAAGACCATACACTAGTGATTCATGTTCAAGACGGCTCTACACACATCCCATGCAACTATCTTTTCATCATTGCTCCATATGATTGTCCTTTGCCTAACTCTTGTTTTAAATTGTTTACAACCTCACTCACATTCTTTTGTTTTGTTTTCTTATTCTAGGTCCAAAACCATCCATATTGCGAGCTAGCTACAAACCAATCTCACAAGGTGTTAAGCGAGAACACTTCCTCCTCGTGTTCGACCCCGACTACAACACGGCTGTGCACTTGCAGCTCATTAGTTGGGTTTATAAATTGTGAAAATTTGAGGCAATCTAAACCCGCCATCATATACACGATAAAGTATCTCGCGGATGGAACGTTGGAAAGGCATAAAGCCCGCCTTGTGGTACAAGGCAATACTCAAGTCGAGGGTGAAGATTATAATGAGACCTTTGCACCAGTGGTGAAAATGACAACAGTACGTACAGTTTTGCGGTTAGTTGCTGCGAATCAATGGGAGGTTTTCCAAATGGATGTTAATAATGCATTTCTTCATGGTGATCTTGAAGAAGAGGTTTATATGAAGCTTCCGCCTGGTTTCCGTCATACGCATCCCGGCAAAGTGTGTCGTCTCCAAAAGTCTCTTTATGGTCTCAAACAAGCGCCTCGTTGTTGGTTCAAGAAACTTTCGGATGCGTTGCTCAAGTTTGGTTTCGTGCAGTCGTATGATGATTATTCCTTGTTCTCTTTCTCTAAAGGAATAATGGAGATTCGTGTTTTGGTATATGTTGATGATTTGCTAATCACTGATAGTGATCCTTACATGATTCAGAAGTTCAAAGATTATTTGAGTAGGTGCTTCTCGATGAAGGATTTGGGGAAGTTAAAATATTTCCTTGGTATTGAAGTCAGCCATGGACCAGAAGGTTTTTTCTTGTCCCAAAGGAAGTATTCGTTGGATATCGTTGCTGACACAGGAAATCTTGGTTGTCGTCCTGCCGCCACGCCAATGGAGCTGAACTACAACCTTGCGTTGGTTGAGAGTCCGTTGTTGGCTTGTCCGAAGAAGTATAGGAGGCTGGTTGGTCGTCTGATTTATCTCTTAAATACGCGTCCTGAGTTATGTTATTCGGTGCATTTGCTGTCTCAGTTTATGAAGGCTCCAAATGAGGCACATATGGAGGCTACTCTCCGGTTGGTACGATATTTGAAGGGCACTCCGGGTCAGGGTATTTTTTTTAAGTGTGATGCTGATCTCAGCTTGACAGTGTATGGTGATGCTGACTATAATAGTTGTCCTTTAACGCGTAAGTCATTAAGTTCATTTGTGGTTCTTCTTGGTGGGTCACCTATTTTTTGGAAAACAAAGAAGCAGGACACAATGTCACACTCATCAACCGAAGCCGAGTATAGGGCTATGGCATTTGTGTTGAAAGAGACCAAGTGGATCTAGAAGATGTTGAAGAGTCTTGGGTGCTGAGCAGACTTCACCAACAATGTTGTTTTGCGAAAATAAGGCGGCCAACCATATCGCGGCGAATCCTGTCTTCCACGAACGTACGAAGCACATCAAGAACGATAGTCACGTGGTGCGTAATGCAGTTCAAGACGGTGTCATCATCACAAAGCATGTCACTACTCATGAGAAACTTGCAGACATTTTAACCAAGGCACTCGGACGTGTTCCATTTCGTAAGATGATATCCAAGTTGGGTGTGGTCGATCTCCACTCTCCAACTTGAGGGGGAGTATTTTGATAAACACAAAGTCTAGTTTGATAAGGATTGTTTATATTTAGTTTCCTCGAATATAGGAGGTTAAGCTTAGCTAAAGCCAATATGTGGTTGTATAAATACTTGAGTTGGTAAACGTAAATAAACAAGTCAGTTCAATATACCATCCTACAAGTTGTTTTCTTTCTCTATTTCCTTTCGAGAAAGGTCACAACTTCAGTTTCTGATTGAAGAGCTAGAATTGCTCTTTTTTTTGTCGTCGTGATTAGCACATTTGGAGCTGAAAGGATTATTATTCAAAAACTTCTTAAGGTCCCATAGCCGTTACAGCATATGTCTCCATCATGGCTTCAAGACCTCTCTTCGTCCTGTTGCTAAAAGAAAAAAAAAACACAAGAATTAGAACCTTTATACTATCTTTAAGCTAAAAGCATGATTATTCATCCAATAGATACATATTAATGAATATGGATGTTTCTTTCGAATGTTACATGGCAAATGGAATGATAATCGGTAATCTTGTTTAGAAGGGCACCAACAAAGGAATCTCCAGCTCTGGTTGTATCCACAGCGTTCACATGAAAAGTCTACACAGTTTGATATGTGTACACAAGCAGAGAAAGAAATTTCAGTGTAAAGTCAGTCATTGACATATAGAAGAAAAAAACCAAATCGGTTTCATGTTCATGTGATTCGGCCAATGAGAAAAGCAAAAGTGAACTTCTTTTTCTTGCAAGAGCAAAATCTGACATATGAAAAACAAATAACCTTAGATCACCACTTGTTGTCAACAGACTTGTCCAAATTCTTCAAATGAAAAACAACCACAAAGAATTAGGCATCATCAAACAGAGCATATGGTCCTAGAGAAATCAAAAAGCAAAACCTTGACAAATAAGTTCCCAATTCCACTTCTACGCGCAGAAGAGTCACTAGAAGAGTAAGTAACACGAATCATTTTCCCATTGAGAATACTGCTGTTTAGCTTATGCACTGCCTTTTCAGCTATCATTAACATAAATACACAGGAAAAAAAAAGACCTAAAAACCAAATGAAAAACCTAAACTTTCATATCAGAGGCAGAGAAAACATTCAACATTACCCTAACAAAACATCATTTTTAACCCATAATGCAATCCGAAATCACCATAAACAAATCAAAAGTTTCATCTTTGCAAATACCCATCACTCAGATTATCCTAAAAAATGGTTGGTTATAAATTGACAAAATCATATCTTAAACCACAATGTACAATTTTATATCAAATAGAGAGAAGGATTCAGGGCACTAAACCATCATCGGTATTGTTGTAGTTGATATAACAATATCCAAGAGAAGTAGTGGTGGCAGCATCACGGTAAAAACGAACATACACGACCTGACACACCTCTGTGAACAGAGCTGAGAATCCGTCACATTGACATCCAGATCTCCATGTAGAGAGAACACAAAGCAAAATCACTCCATCGCCGCTGTCGACAGAAGCCATGGAGGAGGCTCCGTCTCCAACGGATGAATGCGAAGAAGGAGTTTGTTGAACCTGCGCCATTTTGGGTTTGATACATTTTCTTTTTCTGCGCATAAATACTGGAAGTCGATAATTGAAGCCGAGGAGAAGTATATTCCAGCAAAATCACTCCATCGCCGCTGTCGACAGAAGCCATGGAGGAGGCTCCGTCTCCAACGGATGAATGCGAAGAAGGAGTTTGTTGAACCTGCGCCATTTTGGGTTTGATACATTTTCTTTTTCTGCGCATAAATACTGGAAGTCGATAATTGAAGCCGAGGAGAAGTATATTCCGGAATTAAAGGCCGCCATAAATATCCGTAACGGCGGAGGCCGGGATGTGAATATCCGTAACGGCGGAGGCCGGGATGTGGACAGTCTCGCCGGAAGCTAGCGACGTGTACAGTGTCTTTTTGGGGCTGGTGGGACATAAACGAATTTGTAAATGACGTTGATGCGGGTTTAGATTGCTTAAAGTATTCACAATTTTTAAACACAACTAATTGAGCTGCAAGTGCATAGCCGTGTTATAGTCGGGGTCGAACACAAGGAGGAAGTGTTCTCGCTTACACCTTATGAGTTCGGTTTTTAGCTAGCTCGTGATATAGGATAAGATTGACCTAAAATAAGAAAATAAAACAAAAGGAAATGTGAGTGAGGTTGTAAACAACTTAAAACAAGAGTTAGGCAAAAGGATAATCATATGGAGAAATGATGAAAAGATAGTTGCATGGGATGTGTGTAAAGCCGTCTTGAACATGAATCACTAGTGTATAGTCTTTCCACTGTCGTGGCTCCAACCACTATGTTTAAAACAACCTAATATACTCAGCTTTCGTTGGCTATTAGTATTGCAAACATGCATTAAAGGTGATCAAGATTCAATTGTTCACAATGAACCATAACTCAACTTTCATTGGCTATGACTCATTGCTCACCAAATACTAGTTTCGAGATCTAGATTAAGCGGACATTCAAGGCCTTTGGCGTGCTGCTGCTCGGGCCATTAGACACTCCAAATCCTCCATGGGCTTCGTTTTCGCTTACCGGACATGTCTCGGTAGAAAATAAGTTAGGCCTCATAGTTGATCCAAATGGCTTCATTCCACTTCGACGTGATGCATGACTCAAGTATCTATCTTTCCATATCAAGATCGTAACTTTTGGACGTCGGGAACTCCTCCGCGCGCGGCCAAACTTCCGAAGCTTCGTTCTGCGCGCAAGCGAGAACTAACACTTGGAGATAAAATGATCTTCTTGACTTGGAAACTTGCATGGATCTTGATTTAGGGCTCTTTTACTCCTTTTTGCATCCTTTTTGATTATTTTCACCTACAAAGACTTCAAATCCCACAAATACAAGAAAACTACCTCTAAAGGCAAAGAATCTTGCAAAAACCGTTTGAAAACATAAGTAATTATATAGTAAAATCATGTAAAATATGGTGATATCAACTCCCCCAGACTTAGCCTTTTGCTTGTCCCCAAGCAAACTAAGCAGGAAAAGAGGTTTGAAAACGTGAGAACTCTCAAATCTTTAGAGTATCGATCAGCTGGATTTTAGACTCTTACTCATCCCCTTTTTTAGGCACTTGTCTTTTACTCCATGTTCCTCCTCTCTCTTCTCATTTCTTCAAGTTGATTCATCCCTTTTTAGGGTAGCAATGTATTTTTTTAGTCAACTCCTTCTCTTAATTATAGAGGTTTTGCTTGGACCTTCCATAGACGCGAGTATTGATGGTGTTTGCCACCGAATCCCCGGTTATTTGGATCCATAGGCCTTCAATAGACGCGAGTATTGATGGTGTTTGCCACCGAATCCCTGATTACTTGGACCTTGATGCTTTTTATTTTAATTGAAGGGGAGAGAGAGGGAAGCATGAACTCACTAAGACTTTTTCATTTGATGGAGAGGATGAGGAATCATGCCATTTGTATGCCAAGTCCCTAGCTGAGAAGATTAAGTTCATTAAGGGTGGAGTCAAAGATGGATCCTTCTCAAGTCCTTAGAGATGTAGGCGTTTTTGGTAGATTGATCAACTCATAGTGCACCTGTGGTATGATGTATTTCCAAGAACTGCTCAATGGTCACTTAAACATTGGTACAACCATGGTTAGATCCAAGATAAGGTCATGATCACTACAAGAAAACTGAGTATTGATAACACTATAACATAGCATTTTATATACTTTTGCTATAGTTTATTTAGGTTTGATTTTTCATAGCGTTTCCAAAAATACAAACGCTATAATATATCGAGCGGCTAAAACAATTGGATTCGCGCTTATTTTTTTGGATCTACTAAATAGAAAACGTTATCGTAGAGTTGGGGAAACAAAAACTTACATTATCCCCTAAGTAAAAAATTACACAGAATAAAAAACTGAACATATCTATAAACCTAAATTACTTAAAAACATTTCATTTTCACCTTTCTTCTTCCTCGCTTCTTCTTTCTTGTCTTCGGGAACACGTCTAAGATGGTCTTAATTGGGGGAAGATTAACAAAGTTAGTCTCCTGTAATCTAGCGTAGTCCTTTAAGTATCATTAATTACCTCAATGCCATTAATGAATCCGAGTCAGCGAGACAATTAACAAAAGGAAAAAACATTAAAATTCAACCAGTGAGGAGCTTAGAAAATCAACCAATGGGATGCGAGAAATCTTATCCGGGTCAAAACCGATTGAGGTCGATTTTGCAGCTCGATCTCGGAGGCGCACTGCGCTTTCCCTGCAATTGAATCATGCATTGAAGCTTAAGATTCGCCTCTGGTGCGTTATTCTTTGTTGTTGGTTTTAATTGTCCCATAATTTTAGCTTTAGTCCCATTTTAGTTCCGATTGCATTGGATTGGGTTTAGGCATTTTGTAAAGCCATTGATTGAAATTGAATAGGGATGAACCGTTAATGGATTAGTAACCTTCTCAATGTTAATTAGGAGAGTATTAGCATGTATTAACATTGACTGAAGACAAATGGTGGAGGATTTATTGATTTTGAACATATTGACTTATTGTACAACTAGTAATTGGGGATTGTTCTTTTCTTGTGCAGATTATGAGTGGAATACATTTAACGAACATCTTATTTGAGGTTGGGGAGTATATTTCCGAGAATGGAGAGAAAGCTCGATGGATTCCAAGAGAGGAAAATTGCAGCTACAGTTTACTCTTCAAGACATGTATGGAAAGGATATCTCACTCTGTGGATCGAATATGCGGGAAGATTTCAATTGATGCGTCTAGGAGTAAGCTTAAATTGAGTTACATCTCAATGATCTTTAAACCTAGAAGACGAGTATATGTCGTTGATGATGAGGATGTTCAAGCTTACCTAAACTCGACGGATAATGAGCAATGTAGAAGCGTCTTGAATGTGGAGGTATTGAGTGGTAGTGAAATGGGAAGTTCTTTCGGTGTGAATTATGAGGTTAACAACGTCGGTATCATCACTCTGTATGAAAATACAGAAAGAACGAGTAGACGAAAACGCAGAGAAAGAACGAGCAGACGAAAACGCAGAGATAGAAGCAGAAGAAGATAGTGAGCCGAGAGTAAATGTTGACGTTGATGATGATGGTGAAAATGGTATGAATAATGGCATGCATAGCTCTTCTTTTGATGATCATTTTGAGGTTCCTCGTGCTATCCTAGGATGTGATTATGTTGATGAATGGGATGATGGAATGGGTTTGGAAATAGGTCAGGAATTTCCGAATAAGAAGGCAGTGCAAGACTTAGTTGCTACAGCTTGTCATCGAAACTGTTTTGCGATTAAGTTAGTCAAATCAGATAGACAGCGTTATGTTGTAAGATGCAGTCAATGGAATGAAGGTTGTGGCTGGTACTTAAGAACAACAAAGGTTCGGCTTTCACCCTGTTTCTCGGTGAGGGTTTACACGGGTAAACACCGATGCTCTCGTGCGAATGCAAGTACAAGCATGCAAAAAACCAGAGGCACACCACATCTAGTTGCTTCTGTTCTGAACGAAGATTATGCAGGTATTTATGATACACCAGCTCCAAAGAACATCATGGACATTGTTCAAGCAAGATTGGGTGTGAAAGTGTCGTACTCGACCGCCTTGAGAGGGAAGCATAAAGCTGTTAATGATGTGAGAGGTAACCCTGTAGAATATTTTCAGCTCATTCATTCGTATTTTTACATGTTGGAGAGTGTAAACCCTGGTACTGTCACAAAGGTGAAGCTTGATGCAAATCAGAAGTTCCTAAATCGTTTCGCTGCCTTAGGAGCTAGCATAGAAGGTTTTCAGGCTATGAGGAAGGTCATCATTGTCGATGCAACATCTCTGAAGACATCATATCCAGGGATGCTCGTTTTTGCCACAGCGCAAGATCCTAATCATCACCATTATCCACTTGCGTTTGGCATTATTGATAGCGAGAATCATTCAAGTTGGGGATGGTTTTTTGAACAGCTGAAGACGGTTATTGCTGATAGTCATGAATTGGTTTTTGTTTCTAACAGACACCAAAGCATCATCAAGTCAGTGAGAGAAGTGTACCCATTTGCTGAACATGGATATTGTATTTATCATTTGTCCCAAAATGTTAAGGGAACAGTTGGCTCCAGCAAGGACGAATGCGCTGCATATTTTATAAGATGTGCAGAGAAATATACATACCCTGAGTTTTGGGAATGTTATATGGACTTCCGGAGTCGGTATCCGAGTGCAGCAGTGTACCTCGATAACCAGGTGGCGACTGATAAATGGGCGCGATGCTTATTCAAGGGAGTAAGGTATGATGTCGATACAAGCAATGTGGTGGAATCAATGAATAGTGTGTTCAGGAAAGCTAGGAAGTACTCTATATTACCTATGTTTGATGAGATATTGAAGACCTTTTCACGTTGGTTTAACGAGAATAGAAAAGAAGCCGGCTCTGTTTCGACAGCAAAGAAATTAGTCCGCTTGTGGAGAACATAATGCATGGCCGATGTAAAGTTGCATCAAAGTTAATTGTTTCTGAGGTGAATTCCTATTTGCTTGAGTACTCTGTGATTGAAGAAAGAGTGCATTACGGAGTTAGTTTGCTAAAGAAAAGTTGCATATGCAATCAGTTTGACATCGACAAATATCCTTGTGTTCATGCAATAGCGGCTGTTATAGCCTTGATGAGGAGTGACGATAGAAACGCCGATGTCAATTTCCATGATCTAGTGTCGAAGTATTACTTGATGGAGACGTGGGTGCTAGCTTATTAGAGGTCAATTTATTGTGTGCCGCATATGTCGTTGTGGAGTGTGCCAGAGGATATCAAGAAGATACTGGTTGTCCCGCCGAAGAAAAAAGAGAACAAAGGAAGAGCCCAAGAAACTAGGTTTCCAGGTCCAGGAGAAAAACGTCGTCGTCGTCATCGTCGTTGTCGCCGGCGGAAGAAGACTAGCAATAAACCTAGACCTAAACAAGACTTAGGAAAATGGACTCGACGCCAAGGAGATGGGGTTATTCGGATAGTGATGAGAGCTATTCGGATAGTGATGAGAGCGACGGAGATGGCTATGACAGCGACGGAGATGGCTACGACAGCGACGGATATGGTGATGAGAGAGACGGAGATGGGGGAGATGGTGATCAGAGAGATGTTTAAGTTTCATGCTTCTATTTAGTTTGTACTCTGTTCTGACTCTGTTTTTCTTTAACTTGTTTGTTTTTTGTACTCTGTTTGACGCTCTGTTTGTCTTCAAACTTGTTTGTTTTTGTACTCTGTTTAATGATAAATGTTTTTCAATTTTTGAGCCTAGTTTTTTAGTATTTATGAAATTTTAATCTAATAACATAGTAAATATATGGTTTAGGGTTCAGGGTATTAAAATTGGAATCATTAAAATGGTATAATAAATTTAAAAGTTTTGTATTGGATAACAGAAAATTGGAAAGTTAACGATATCCACCTTATACTTTTAAGGTCATTTAGCTAATAGAGACCAACTAATGTTGCGAATGTTGTATACGTGCAGGTTTGAGACTTATTATTACATAAATACGTTAAGAATGATAAATTTGTGAGTATTGAGCTTTGTACAACAAATAAATTTGAGTGAAAATACAAGTACAACTATATACAAGTTTTAGACGACAATGTACAACTATTCAGGCGATGGTACAACTAATTTCCTGGGTACAACTATGTGTATTATATATTGCCAAGTGTCAAATATGTTTGGTTTTGGCAGCCGACATTGTTTTGTCTTTTATCTTTTGTCTTTTTCTATTGTTGTCGTTTTCTCCCACTATAAAAATGAAGCTTGGATGCTTCTCTCTCCCCGTGAACCACACAATCTAACTTTCCTCATTTCTCTCACTTTCCCCCAAAATTAGGGTTTTCTCTCGATCCCCAATTTCCATTTCTCTCTCGACCCGACCATGTCTCCCCCTCCTATGTATTGAATCTCTTATGTATTAGTTCTATGTATTCCGGCGTATTCCCTATTTCCGATTCTGACTCTAGTTTGTGTAATTTGTGCTTGTTTTAATGACTTTATGCTTGCTTAATATTGTAATGACTCTATGCTTCTAGTTATTGTACTAGTTTCCTCTGTTTGCCTTCTTTTAATTACATGAAACATAGTAAATAATGCAAATCAAGAAACCAATTTCATTATCGAAACCAAGTACAACGAAAACAAAGAAACATCATCCTTAACAACAAGATATCATCCAAAACAATAAAATCCCATTAAAAACATCATCACGAAGACAACAAAATCCCATTTAAAACAGAGGCAAAAACAGAGCCTCCGTTACTTCCAAAGAGGCTTCCCCTTCACACATCCACCTCTTGTCCTTTTACTTGTGCTCCCATGTCTCCTTTCCCTTGAATTCCTTGCGTATAAGATAGGGAAACCAGTATGACAAGATAGATAATACTCCATTCTGTTTAGGAATTTGTACCTTTTCCCATCACCATCCTTACTTCACTACATCTAATTCCTGAAACAAGCAAAGGCTCGTCGTCAACTACAAGCATCCCGTTTACATACCTCGGTGGTCGTTCTTCTTCTTCTACTTCTTCTGCTTCCATCTCCATTTCCTCACCCCCTCCATCACCACTTCCATCATTTTCGCCTAACCCTCCATCATCTTCCGCTCCAACACCGACTCCGACTCCATCTCCATCATTTTCACCTATAAACCCTCCATCACCACCTCCATCATTTTGATTTCTCAAACCTCCATCATCATCTTCTGCTCCAACACCGTCTCCATCTTTCTCACCTCCTAAACCTCCATCATCTTCAGCTTCAACTCTCACTCCATCTCGAACTCCCTCTTCAGAACCATCTACATACCTCGGCTCTCGTTCTTCTTCTTCTGGTTCCACCTCCATATCCTCAACTCCTAAACGAGCACCATCTACATCACCACCTCCATCACCAGATCCATCACCTTCTCCATCTTTCTCACCTCCGGCACCATCTCCATCTTTCTCACCTCCTAAACCTCCATCATCTTGTACTTCAAATCCGACTCCATCTCGAACTCCCTCTTCAGAACCATCTTCTCTTCTCTCTTTCACAAGCTTCTCAACATCTTTGATTCTAGAATCCAAGTTACTGACCAGACTTTCCACATGGTCATTGACTTTCTTAAGCCCATTTTCCAGAGCTTCTAACAATCTTTTCTCAAGCGCCACTAGAATCTCACTTCCAACCTCAGTCGCATGATCCTCACTCGCATGATCCTCAGTCATTGGATCCTCAGGCATTGGATCCTCAGTCGCATGATCCTCAGCCGCAGGCATATTATTCTCATTCTCAACTTCTTCCTCATCAACGTCTTCTCCTGCACGCCCAGCAATATCTTTGTTGTACAGCTCTTCAAAGCAAATCCGCTTCCGTTCCACCATTAGACACTGCTTCCATCCGTCAACTATAGGATCAATGGCATCTTCCACCAGATTTAAGTCATCCGTGATTCGGGCCAATAACATTTCTTCATCAACAGTTGGTTCCAGAAAACTGTCTATGTCCTGCGAACATAGAGGGAACAATCACAATCCAGTTGTACAATAATTCATATGTACAATCACAATCCTAAACCATTGTTTCTCACCTTAGAGGTACCTAATGCTTCATTCAGTTCCGGAATAGGCCAACCTCTCATGGAGATTGGTTTAAACATACTCTTGCACATCCTAGGACACTCTCTGTGAGCTCCTATAACGTCTTGTCGGCAATTTTGCTTCACGCTTTTTATTGCCTCATATGGGAGGAACTACACACAAAAACAAAAAAAAACCAAAACGAATAAGAGCCTCCAACTATTACTAATCTAAATTCGAGCCTCTAAATAGCGAATAACAAAACATTACCTCCAACGAAGTGATGAAACTCGGAAAACCCCAATAAGGAATTGGAACTCCATTGAAATGGTCAAGCATATGGTACAAGTCCCTCATACTCGCATCAAACGCCAATCTTCCCCAAGAAAATGTTCTGCACAACTCAAGATCATTAGCGGCTCTCAGAAAGAAAGGCTCAACAGAGGGTGCTTTCGCTCCTTTTCTTTTCTGACCAATCAACACGCTTGATAGAAAGTACAAGACGGCCATGTTCAAACGCTCTACAGACCGGTTCCCTTTCATACTCAGCATCTTTTTTTCAACCATCGCATATGTGACTCTTTTCACTCCTCGAAAATGCTACTTCACAAAATCTAAGCTTCCCAATCTATCAAACGAGTCTGGATACGGATGGCAATACATACCAGATATCAGAGCATGTTCTCTCAAGGAGTACCTCACTGGAACTCCATTGACTACAAACCAACATTCCTTCTTCTTCTCCGTACAAGCAGCCCTCAAAACAAGCATGTACATTCCTTGCATCCTATGTTGTTCCTCTAAAGGCATGTGGAAAAAGTGACGGAATTGGGGATGTTCATGGAACCATCGCTTCTCATCAGCATCAAGAATTTCATTTATCGTGTTCATCGCCTTGTAAATGTAGCAGAATGTCGCAACCCTTGTTGAAGCTCTATAGTGTGTAGGACTGAAGTACATCCTCAACGGCTGTAACACATCCGTTCCATCATCTGAATCCTCTGGCCTTCTCTTTGCTTCCGTTGCTTCATCTGATTCCTCTTGCCTTCTCTCTGCTCTTGACATTCTTTCATCATCTTGCTCTGCTCTTCTCTCTGGATCAGACATTATTTCATCTTCTTGCTCTGCCATTGTCTCCGTTTGAGGCACTATTTCCTCTTCTTCTCTTTGTTCCAATGGTTTATCTATGAACCACAATGGATTTTTGTTGGTTGCCTTCGCAGACATCTTGAGACGAACCATTTCTGCACAAATACATGGAAAATCAAAACAAATACACCAACACACAGCCAAAACAAGTTAAAGCATTCCCAAACCGCCAAACTCAGTTTCCGAATTCCCCACACTCACGAACCATTTAATAGTTTCCAAAATCCCCAATTTCTGTTCACTTAATTGTGAAATTATGTAACCCTAATTACTCAAATCAGTATAGCCACTCCTAATTTCCGCACAAAATCATATGAAAAAGTTCATTTTCACTTCTCCAATTTCACTAATTTCAAATCGAAATTAGGGTTCTTACCTTCTCCAGACGCAATCGACTATCACGAATCCTTCTTCTTCCACCTGAATTTGACTTCTCCCCGAAAAAAGTTTGAATCAAGAGAGAAACATGAAATTCGTTTTTTGATGGTGAAGGAAGGGAAAAAATGGCTACTTTGAGTCGTTTAAACGGGATAAAATAGGGGGTCGAGAACCGTTTTTCTCTTGTTAAAATGAGAAGGAATTTTTTTGACCCGATTAGAATTCGATCGCGGGTCTGGGTGAGCAAGCTACTGGTTGGGTCTGTAATTTTAGTGAGTTTTAAGGTTATTACGTCATTTTACATTTTCTCCACTTAAAAGAAAATGGAAAAGAATTTCCTCGTTATAACGGGGGTAGACTAGAATCACTTTGCTCGATTAAGACTATAGCAGCCATTGTTCCCTTGTCTTCTTTCTAGGTTTTGTGGTGGGGAGGGGAAAATGAGGTTCTTCGTAGATCTGGGTTGTCGCTTGCTTCCCCGCGGATTGCGGGATTTCAACGGTTCGAGACGGTAGTAGATCTACAGTAGCCGCCTTCGATTTCGCTTTCGTCTCTCCATCTTCTCACCAATTTCAACCTGGAATCGAAACTAGCAACAACTATTAGAGCCCAAAGAGAAAGCCCACCAAAACCCAATATTAGGATCCATGATGTTTAGGGTTTCTTCACTTATGGTTTCATATAAATGTAGTTGTTGTGTTTTGTGATTGTAACTTTGGCTGTCACGAACAGCCTCTCTTTGAACATTTATGAGAGTTATCCAAAATCTATTTATCTCTTGAAGACAAACATAAAGCTTTCTTCTTTCCTTTTACATTCCTTGCACAATAAAGCTCCTTTGAGCTATTTCAATATCTATTTCATTTCATCTTAATAAAGCTCACTTGAGCAAGTTTATCTTCGTTTTGCAATCTCTTTCATGGTATCAGAGCTGCAGAAACCTTCACAGGTAGCAGTGGCGATCTATGGGACTCATGGGTTCACTGTCACTAGCTTCAGTTGCTTCTCTATTGCTCGAAATCAGGATTTCAATATCTCCGCAGCCAGCAAAGTTCTCGTGAACAACACACTGGAAGAATCAATAGGCCTTTCTCAGACAGAACACGCTTCCTAATCCCTTCTTCCATGGTAAAGTCTCTGTCTTTTCAGTCTAAGAAAGAACAAGTGACCGTTTGATAGATTGAGAAGGATACGATGGTTGATTGTTAGTCTGATAGTTAGAGAAAGAGATTCTGCTGGCTGGTTTGGTTTGATAGATCTGGAATTGAGAGGCTTTGATGATAAATGCTGGTTTGGGTTTGATGAAGATGGTTGTTTGGTTGCAAGTCTCTGTTTTGCTGAGTGCACACAAGCTGTTCGATAAAATGCCACAGTGAAAACGAGATTGTGAAAAAGCAGATTTGATGTTGGCTAATGGATACTGAGAAGGATTTCAGTTATTTGTGGGGAAATTTCTCCTTTGTCGATGGACAAATTAGTGAGTTAGGGTAAGTCAAACCCAACTCTTTGTGAGAAAGGTCATAAGAGAGAAGACTATGCTAAACTCTCCAAGTCAAAAGAACCTCTGAGTGAGTCATGCAAGCTCTCCAAGTCAAGACCAAACGATTTCATGCTGGTTGTCTTTGTTGAAGGAGCAATCTACCTACTCGTTCATGCTATTCTTCCTCACTACTCAAGCTTCTCTAAAGCCAAAGGTCTGCAGTCTCAAAGGTTCAAACTTGTCATCACGCTTCACCCGATGCCAAGTTTGCGGGGGAGTATTAGAGCCCAAAGAGAAAGCCCACCAAAACCCAATATTATGATCCATGATGTTTAGGGTTTCTTGACTTATGGTTTCATATAAATGTAGTTGTTGTGTTTTGTGATTGTAACTTTGGCTGTCACGAACAGCCTCTCTTTGAACATTTATGAGAGTTATACAAAATCTATTTATCTCTTGAAGACAAACATAAAGCTTTCTCCTTTTCTTTTACATTCCTTGCACAATAAAGCTCCTTTGTGCTATTTCAACATCTATTTCATTTCATCTTAATAAAACTCACTTGAGCAAGTTTATCTTCGTTTTGCAATCTCTTTCAACAGCTTCCCCTCGCTCTCTCACTCTCTCGTTCTCCATCTCACTATGTTTCTCTCTATTTCGGTCTTCTCTCACTCTTCGGTTCTAGGTTAGTTTCGTCAATTGTTCTCACTAAACACATGAATCGAGAACCTCTGTATAAATCGAAAGAGTTAAATTTGTGCTTCTATCTTTTTGCTGACTATGAAACTACTCTTGTGTTATAGCCTATAGGTGATGTGGTTTGTTCGACTGGAATCTACAAATGTAGTGTCTCGTAGAATGGAATTAAAGGTATGATTTTGTATGTATTGGTGCGGGAGTGTATGTTTAGGTGTTCTGTTTGTCATAGATTCACGACATTGTTTCATTTGTGTTTTTGTTTATGTTTATGTATTTTGATTGTATGCTAACTGACCTGAATTGCTCTTCTTTTTTTAGACTTTTTTTTTTGTTTTATCTTTAGTTTTTGTTCTTCATTCTATTTCGTATTGTTCTTCGAATCTTGTTTGTTTTGTTTATTACTTATGAGTAAATTAGAGAGCTTCTGCAATATTAAAAGTTATATCATCTGAATTCTTACTTTTTTCATTTTCCTTCACAGCCTCAAACTGAAAATCCTGACAAGAGTAAATCTTTTATCCAAACACTACAGAAAAAATGGGTATTAATAACATTCGAAAAACGCTATATAATGATATCATAGCGTTGTAGAAAACGCTATGTCTGCGCCTGTCATAATAGGTTGTACACTTTTCATAGCGGTTTTCGGAATAGCTATTATAAATAACAATTATTATAGCGTTTTCTTTCTGCGATGCTTAAAGTAGACGATAACACTATAATTCCGTTATTAATAGATTTAATATAGCGGTTGTTTGTGCGCTACATATAACTATACAACAGCACTTTTTATTCCGTTGCTAAAAATTACTTTTGATACAATAGCATTTAATATTCTGCTATGTATTTCTCATATTTGTTCGAAATACTTATACAATAGCACTTCTTGTTCCGTTACTAAAAAGTAATTTTTATACAATAGCATTTAGTATTCTGCTATGTGTTTATCATATTTGTTCGAAATAAATTTTGGGTTTTATAGCGTTATGCAGCGAAAATACTATAGCTTTCAATAAATGCTATCAAATTATAATTGGTTTTTAGAATTTAATATCAAATTATTGCCTATTATTTTTGTGGGTATTTGAAAACAGTAATAAGAAATATTTTTTTGTTACTAAAACCGTAAAATTTTTAAAATGGAACAATGATTCTTTTTGTTAAATGGAACAATGATTCTTTAAGATCTCATTACAAATTAGGCTCATGGTATCAAACAATAAAAATACTTCATGAGGTTTCAATCAGCTTCCTCTTCTTATATTTTCGTCGGCCTTGTACTCTTGATTTTTCATGGGTATTTGCTTCCTCCTACAAGAGAAAAGAATTTATCAACTTCAGATATAAGATTAGCAAAAAACTAATTACTAAAAACATAATCAGCACAAGGAAATTATTACCTGATACGTGAAAGCCGCTGGTCTGTCAAACCAGAATGGTACTCTTATCAGCATCCTATATTGGTAAATTTAAGAGCAAACACAAAAAACTGTTAGAAGTATCTATGAATTACTCTGTTTTCAAAAGAAAATACAAGTGGAAGAAGCTGTCTTTATCGATTTGAATCAATCTACAGTTTAAATGGTACCCGATTTGATTGGTGAAAGTGGTGAAGGGCTTACATGACCAGATCCAAAAACGCATAAGGATATGAAGATGCTGAATGAAGTGGCGGCTGTCTCGAAAATAGAAGATCCTAATTAGTAAGGATTGAAGATGCTGAATGAAGAAGGGATAACTTTGTAAGGATTCGATGAGGTCGGGAGCTGTAAAACGAAAGGATAAATCAAGAGTTGAAAAAAGGAAACAAGAATTTGGTTGTATGAAAGGAAACTAAATCGAAGCTGAGAGAAAGATTAATCGTTGTTCATCTATTAAAAAAACGAAAACATAAGATCAAGAAGATCCGACGGTCAAAAACGATTAGGAATAAAATATGGTACGTTTGAGATTTTGCCATGTCAACTATCTGGGTTAAATAATCCGATTGGCTGTTGCTTAGCTTTGCTGCACAATATCTTATTTTCCATGACTATTTATGGCGTTTTAAATTTATTATTACAAATTTGATAATGAAAAAACTTAGATAACATGATTTTATTAATGCTTATAATTTTGGCTATTAATATAAATTTTAAAATTAGAAAAACAAGAGGAAACAGAAAATCATATGAGATCAAGTAGTATGATACTAGCTTATAGATGAAAGACTTACAAACTTAACACAATAATTCATATTTGTGAATTTTGTGATCAGTCCAATATTTATTTATATATTTTTTTTCCTTAACTTTGGTTAATTATTTGTTTTCGAAAATTATATTTAAATTAGGGTATAAACCCTATAGAGCATAACCCTTAAACTTGTTTTGGAGAGTTATTGCTTTCTTGTTGTTATTTATATGGATTGAGACCATTTAGTAACAACATATTATCACTGTTAAATGGGTAAATTCTGAACTCAAACCCTTACTATACCCTAAAGCAAATAGATGCAATTATTTTAATATACACCCTTTATCATACCACTTCAGTTAACTGATAGCTTATTTCGTTGTCTTTATAAAACAAACACAAATGTGCAAATGTGAATCGAATGACTAAAGTTTGAAATTTCAAAGATATGTCTTAGTCTTGCAATGAAATTAAAGATACGAAAAAACTAAAATGGTTCAAAGGTACCCAATCTTCTCATTAGGCCAAGCTACTGTTGTGCCTATTGCATCAGAAATGTATGTGACTTCTGAATTTGGTCTCCACACCTTAGCATCACCGATCTTTGAGACCTCAACCCAAACCTTGCTAGCATTGGGACCCAAGGGTTTGAAGTGGACTACGTCTGTCGGATCAGTTGAGCATACTCGACCTTCAGCGACTTTCTGGCCAGAGTTGTTGCAATCCATGAGGATGCACTTCTTCTTTGCTCCTTTGTTGCTTCCCGAGCTGGTACTTTCACTCTAATATCCAAAAAGTTTGACACAATCATTTACCAAACTCCATCACAGAGAAACAATTTTAACACATGAAATTACTTACTAGTTGAAAACTAACCCCAGGCGACCCTCTTCCTGATTGATCCCGTGCTTGTCCCTTTACTAATTCAACCTTATCAGCTTGCCATGCGATTTCGACACCGATAGCATCATTGACGAGTAGCATTTCAGAAGTTGGTCTCCAAAGATACACCGCCTCGTTAAATACACGGTCAATCTTTACAATTGCAGCATTTGGACCAAGTGGAATGTTGTTTACCGTAGCTTTTGGGTCAGTCGAACACAGTAAACCCTCAGCAATAACTTCACCATCAACATTCCAATCATAAATTCTACATCTAGCAGACGAGTCATCTGAACTTGCACCCTAAAGTCATATATCAGAATCTACTTAGTGAGCTTTCATCGTATTTATGTGCATCTACGAAGAACGAATGAAAAGAACTTTCATATTACCTTGGTGGAACCACTTTTATTGCCGCTTGATGAGCTCATACCACTGTCTAAAAGCACCTTATCAACTGGCCACGGAATTTTGACGCCAACAGCTTGTTCAAGTGTGAACATTGTTTGCGTCGGCCTCCATACAAATGATTTGCTATCCAACGCAGTTTTGACAACAACAACAGCCGCATTAGGTCCCAAAGGAATATGATCTATCTTGTACGTCGGATCAGCTGCACAAAATTCTCCTTCACCGAAAACAATATCGTCTACTGAAAACCAATCAAGCAACTGACATTTTACTCCTCCTTTGCTAACAAGACTCGCCTCCGAATGAGTAGGTACATCAACATATTGTTTCTGAAAAAGCAATAGGTTCATGTTAAAAACTATTTTCTCGACTACCATCATTACATATCTAGTAAAGATGTAACTTACCTTTCTTCCAGCTAAGTCATGGACTACATTCTTCAAGTCTTGAAGCTCACTAATCAACTGGGCTTGTGAAGCCTCAAGCTTTTGCACGTGTGCATCTCTAACATGGAGGAATGCAAGCTTCGTTGCCGTAATTCCTCTGCCTAACCCTCTAACCCTTCCAGGTTTGTCTTTTCCCAAAACTTGACTAACAACATCTTCTCGAATGTTGTCATTCGCAGTGGATTCCATTTGACTATCAATGGACTGTATTTGTTCCTAGACACACATAATTCATCACAATGTAAATAACATTGCCTAATGATGTTTCCGGACAAAAGAGTCTACCAAATTGAAACTTCTTACAATAGTTTCAGCAAATTCAGGCCGCACAGGTGTTCCATCCGCATGCGTGTGTCCGGCTAACCAGACCTTACTCCTAGTCACCTTCGTAGGGTCATCGCTCTTTTTTTTCTATACATACATAACAATTACATAAGTTACATGGCTTACAGAACTACCAAATGTAAAGGGAAAAGAGATTTACCATTTCATAAGCCAAGCGAAACATTCCTTTCCGGCTAGTTGTGTGGGGAATCTGAGCCTTCCGCAAAGCCCTATAGTTGTCACTTACCACCTACACAGAAAAGACAATAGCATATATCAATCCTCTGCCTATCAAATGCATAGTATATCAACGAATATATTCTCACGTATATAACCTTAAACTCCTTGCTAGTTCTACTTTTGACCCAGTTGATCCACTTTGGAATCGAGTGGATGTTGCTTGGCTTTAACTGGAGTCTTTCCGCGTGAGACTTTGTGGCAAGAAGTTCTCTTACAAGTCTTGACTTTGAAGCCCTGAACATACAACCCATTTGTCTGAAAACTGCGGTCTTTTGCCAACCTTCTTGCAGGTTAAACCTCCCCTACACCAATAAACAAACTTTGAAACAAGCTACAAAACAATTTATGATGAGTTTTGTATCTTAAAAGCATCAATACCTGAATTTCTTCCCATAGAGTATCCTTGTTCAAATCATCTAGTTGCCTCCAGTCGGCAAGTGTAACCGGAACATGTTCCCTCACAAGAGGGCCAAGAAACGACGAAAGTGTCACTGATCCAGATCCTGCATGCTTACCTAGTGATGTAAAATCTACATCAACTTTTACCAGAGGGTCTTTTGCAACCTTTCGCATCTTGGTCAATCCTCTCTTCCGCTTATTCTTGGAGACTAAATGTTGGGTCTCCACTTGTTCAGGTGTTGGGATTGTTTCATCTACATTTGGCTGAGATGGTTTAGGCGCAGAAACTTCCTCTACGTCTTTGACAATTTCTTCTGCTTCTTGTTCCACTTCTTTCTGAATTTCTTCTTCTTCTTCTTCTTCTTCTTCTTCTACTTCTTCTGCTTCCTCTACTTCTTCGGGATATTCTTCATGAATATATTCGTCGTTTCCCTCATCCTCTACAAGCACTTCATCAACAAGCTCTGTATTATGGAACTCTGTTTAAACAATCTCTGATAGCTTCTTGCTCTTACGTTTATTCCCTTTTCCCGCCATCATCAAAGGACTGATATCTAAATCCTGCTGCCGCTTGCTACGACGAACCTTCCCACTGACTGACTTAACCATGATGGCTCCTGAAACACAAATAACAGTAAAGTGACTAAAATAAACCACAGTTACCAAAAATACAATCGCCTAAGACATTTCTCCATATCACTCTCCAACTAGAACTCCTTCACAATCATCCCTGACACAGAAACTCTCATCTTCTGACGACTGATTTTCCAAATCTTCCAACTCAAAATCTGATCCTAATGCCCCAGTAAACTCTTCCTCTGTCTCTAACTCATGATAACCTCTCGGTGGCGCCTTCATTACTACATACCAGGGTGAAGATTCATCTTCTCTCGAGTAGAATACTTGTTTCGCTTGAGATGGCATAATGAAAGGATCTTGGATGAAAGCTGCTTGGCTTAGATGCAGATTCACTAGCGTGAATCCATCTTCTTCCTTCACGCCATTTCCTTTGTTAGCCCAAGTACATTTAAATACAGGTACGTTGAACATGTGGTAGTCCAGTATAATGATCTCCCTGATCACCCCATAATACGTTACTATGTCTGCAGTATGCCTGTTGTCTCGTGAATTAGACCTACACATAGTGAAAGCTTCATATGAAACTCCACTATTCTGGGTTTGTCTCTTAACATCATCCGTATGATAACGCTTGCCGTTGATTATGAATCCTTTATGAGATTGAGCAACAAGTCTTGGTCCAAATGCCAACCATCGTAGCTTGGACGAATGATCCGGAGAGTTAGCAGGTATCTACAATAAAAACAAGCTATAATAAATACAGCCAACTTTTTTTAAATTATCTATATCAAATCTCAAGAACCAAATGCTATTACCTTCTCCTTTATCCAGTTTGCAAATCGTTCATTATGAAGTTTCCATAGTAAAGTTTTGTTTCTTCTGCACCGAGCATCAGTAGCCTGCAGTTCTTCCAAATGTATCCTACTTTCAAAGATAAATTAGTCTGTTTTCCATGTATTAATAAAAATGAAATTTATCATTAAATTTGATAAAATGGTCTAACTTACTGAATATATGGCTCTATGATTCCTGTATTCATTAACACATACCGATGTGCTATGTCTTTTTCTTTCTCCGAAAGTGTAATTTCTGTTGCCTTCTTCAACGGACGTCCCTCAAGTACAACATGATCATCCTCAACATGGTCATTACGTTTAACTGCTTCTTCAATAGGTACAAAATTATGCAAAAACTCTAAGCAAAAGACGATGCATTCCTCGGCCAAATAACCCTCGGCCATACATGCTTCTGGCCTAGCATAGTTTTTAACAAACGCCTTTAGGGTCTTCATATACCTGCAGTTAAAGCCAACTCCATATTAGCTTCAAACAAACCGTATCTCAAACCTAAAACTAAAACAAAAACCGTACCACAGATTGTAAATCCACAACTAAAACATAAACAGTACCTCTCAAAGAGATACATCCAACGGAAGTGTACAGGCCCACCCAAACGTGTTTCTCTTGCTAGATGTAGAGGAAGGTGAAACATGATATCGAAAAGTGACGGAGGAAAAAACCGCTCCATCTGGCACATAGTCTCCACAAACTCGGACTCCCAATGTATCAACTTCTCAGGATCAATAAAACGCTGACACAGCCTTGTGAAGTAATTGCATACACGAGTCACTGCTACTCTAGGCCCTTTTGGCAACAACCCTCGCAAAGCAACAGCAAGCAAATTCTGCATAAGCACATGATGATCATGTGACTTAAGACCACCAATTGCCGGAGGATTCAGGGACACACAACTAGAGATATTCGCACAATATCCGTCTGGTCCTCTAAATTTAGATAACCTGAGACAAAATATTTTCTTCTCTTCTTTAGAAAGCCAAAAAGCCGCTGGAGGCAAATACGTTCTCTTCCCTCGGACCTGTGTGTGCAGATGTTCTCGTATTCCCATGTCTTCCAAGTCTCTTCGTGCTTTCAAACCATCCTTGGATTTAGCTGATTGCATTAGCGTAGACAGTATTGCATCGGACATATTTTTCTCCACGTGCATCACATCAATGTTATGACGCACATGAAGATCCTAAAACATGATAAAGCCAAATATCATAAAATCTAAAACCGTTTACATAATCTTAATATATATATATATATATATATATATATAGAATATACTAACCTTCCAGTAAGGTAGATCATAGAAGATTGACCGTTTCTTCCAACGCCATTGATCACTATCTTCTTCGTATTCTTGCTCTGACGCCACATCATCATTACACAACTCAGCTCTTTTTCTTTTACTTTCCTTATCCAAAGGTTTCCCAAAGTCGTTTCTGTAATCTTTCAGAGCCTCAAATATTTCAGCTCCTGTTTGAATTCTCGTTGCATTCCCATCTTCAATGGTGTTATCAAACCATTTTTTTTTCTCCTGTAAGGATGGCTAGGCCTGAGACGCTTTCGATTGCCCAAATACACATACTTTCTACTAAACTTCAACCATCTACTTAGTGTATCTTTCCCACAGACATTACAACCTTGTTTCCCCTTCACTTTGCATCCTGACAGTGTACCCAATGCTGGATAGTCACTAATAGTCCATAATAACACAGCTCTAAGTGTGAACTTTTCTTTCATAAACGAGTCATATATCTCAATACCTTCATTCCACAACTCTTTCAGATCGTCTATTAGCGGGGCTAGATAAACATCAATATTGTTGCTTGGTGCGGTTGGACCAGGGATCAACATGGTGAGCATGATGTTATCAACCTTCATACACATAGTTGGAGGCAGATTGTAGTTAACTAACAACACCGGCCATGTACTATACTTGGTGTTTTGGATAGAGAAGGGGTTCATACCATCTGTAGAGAGACCGAGACGTAGGTTTCTTGGTTCTGCTGCAAACACTGGCCAATTATCATTCACCTGAGCCCAGGTTATGGAATCCACTGGATGTCTCATTGTACCATCTTCACTGTTGTTGCTATAAGGCCAACGCAAATCCTCAGCCATTCTTTTAGACCTAAACATCCTCTTGAATCTATCTTTGATTGGAAAATACCTAAGCACCTTCGCTGCAATCCCTATCTTTTCCTCACCACTATGCTTATCCACTTCCCACCTTGAAGTACTACATCTTGGGCAACTTTCCATCTTCTGATACTGCTTCCTATAAAGGATGCAGTCATTCTTGCATGCGTGAATAACATCATAGCCAAACCCAAAAATCTTCAAGAACTTCTTCATCTCGTCTGTGGGCTTCGGAAGCAAATTGTCTTCTGGTAGCATGTCTTTAATTGCTGTCAGAAGCTGATCAAAAGAGTTCTCTGACATCCCACTCTTCACTTTGATGCGATACAGAACCATTATCGCAGAAACCTTGGTGTATTTGTGACATGTCGTGTAGAGTGGAGTTTCAGCCTCATTCAACTTGTCCCTAAACTGAGATTCTTCTGCACTGTCACTCGCTTCAGGTTCACCTCTAATGTGGCTCGGGTCCTGTTCATTATCTTCTCCATCAAAGAAAGCTGTCCTAATCAAGTTGTAGGCCTCAGATTCTGATGTCGGAACATCATCTTTTGCAGCTTTTCTTTGCTCTTCATGCTTACTCCAACATTGATTCCTCTTATACTTCTGATCCATACCCCTAATAACTAGATGATCCACTACTGTCTCCAACGGCTGATGGCAAACATTGCGGCAATCAAGACATGGACAGAATAATTCACTAGGATTACCCAAACTCCTTGCTGATGCATCAACAAACTTTTGACATCCTTGTTCATACTCACGGCTAGTCCTGTAGATCAATCAAATTACAAACTGTAAAATCACTGCTGCTTTAGTCGAAAATTCAGTGAAAAAATCAAATAGCAACAATGAAGCAATAAAACAGATTTATACCTTGGAAGCCAAACCCAAGCCTTGTCCATTTTACACCAAAAGACCCAAGCTCGAACACCGGTTATATATGTGAGATATAAGTTTAACTATTAGGCACTCCAACTATAATCATAAACACTCACAGTAGAGACAATGTAAAGATCATAAAAGGAATAGATGAGAGCTTACACAATCAGGCTACAAGGTTTGGACAAACAATAAGATTCGACTTCAGAATAGGCACCACGAATCTACACAAAAACAAGTTCCAGCAAAATCTTAACATCCCAACTCTTTCATGAATCAAAATATCTAACCATTTTACGAATCTAAAATGTCAATACCTTGTTGTGATTGTGTCTGAGAAATTTAATCTGCAAATGCAAACAAATAATTATGAAATGCACAAATCTGATCAAAACAAACAATCGCCAAGCTTGAATTGCAAAAGTGAATTAAGAAATAAATCGAGAGTACCTTCAAATGCAGATTAACAGAAATTTCCCTGCAAAAGAGCAAAATAACTGAAATTAATTAACACCCAACATGTTAAAACCAAGGCTTTACTGCCACTGTTGAATGAACCATGAAGAAGTATGGAGACAACATGATGCCCTTACGCTCAAAGCTAGAACAGTACTATTGCTACAAACTTGGTCAGCCAATTGGAGAAATGAAGTTGGATTTGACTCGTGAAAACGACTCTGATGCAAAGCTTAGATCTCTGGACAAAAATTTCATTAATTTGTTGTAGCTGAAACTTCATTATTTATGAATAAAGTGTAGAATTTGAATGCCTCCTGCTAACTATGAGATCAATGGAAGTTATAATTATATTTGCAATATTGAAAGTGTTTTCGTATTAAAATTAATATATAATTTGAATTTTATTGATAAACTATCGTAATTGCAAAAAAATGCTATTAAAGGAAAAACAGAACGATAGTATTTAGAAATGCTATCGAACTAACTATTAATATCATAAATCGAACGCTATCTAATATATTATTAATAACTTTTAGTAAACGCTATAGTATACTATATTATAGCATTGAAAATAACGCTATGTTATGTTAATAAATAATCGCATCTCAGAAAAGCGCTATCTAAAGTGTTTGAGCTATTATCGCGGGACCAGATACAACGCTTCTCATAACGCTATGATATCTTTAGATAGCGTTTTACGGACGCTAAGAAAACCCTTTTTTCCTGTAGTGGATTCTCGACAAAAATTTTGACTCAATAAAAACGACTCAATAAAAGGGAAAAATTGCAAATGAAAATGCCAAAATGAACAAACATAGTTAGTAATCCCCCCAGACTTAACTTTCACCGTCCCGGTGAAAGCAAATCAGATTAAGAGAGGTATAACATGAAGTTCAAAATGAAAAATTGAAAAGAAAAGGTTTAGGATGATGTTACCAAATGTCGACCAATTTGTGATGAAGATCGGGTCCGGTTTTAGTGATAGTACACTTCTGTAGGCAATGTTGATCGGTGAGTTTTGAATTTCAGGCCTTGGTTTGCACCGGATTGTGTTTTAGCCGAGATGAGTACATTCGGTTATTTGAATTTAGTGATTCATCTTTTACAGAACGATTCCCTACGAGAATATCTGGAGTTCAGTATGTCTGGAAGCACAGGAGAACGTTTATACCTTTCGTCACCACTTTGTGGAAAATCGTTAGATATGAATATGTTAGATACCTGTGACTCGATTGACGAAGGTGAAATACTATCTCTCTCCAAAAAAGCATGTTTTTTTTTACCACCGCACGAAGAAAATATTTTGTTGTGAATCAACAGGATAGTGAGGAATTGTCCATACGTAAAATCAGAATTATTGAGACGGGCCTTTTCCACATAAAAGAGAATCTTTTGTTACAATAGAAGCAGAAGTGATGTGGGTTTACATATAGTCATCATTACTGTTATAATTGAAATTGAAGAATATTTGTTTTTAATTGAAAAAAGCTCAATATAGATCTAGTTAGAAATCCATTTATAATGATTTTATTATATTATTAGAAATCCATAAATGTAGATTTGAATTCAAAAATGGTCATGAATTTACAGTAATCTTTTATATAATTAGGGAGTTGCTCTCTCCTCCTAAGCCATCCACATCAGCATAATTTTATAGATAATGGATCCCACATTTAAAACTGAAAATAATAGTCAATCAATTAATTTACACAGTTTACTGTTATTATATTTCCTTAAATAAATTATATTATTTACCAAAAATCCTAAAATATATTTCACAAAATAAAATATTAAAAATATTAATTAAGAAAATTAATAGATATTATATGATTTATAAAAGTTACAAAACATTTTTTTACATAACTTGATAATTCAAAATATATAAAAATAACTACAAATAAGAAAAAAATTAACATGTTTAAAATAATATATGAAACAACATAGATTTTCTAAGAATTACAAATTAATAAGGATAGAAAAATTATAAGTTTATTTGTAACTGTATATAAAAAATTTAAAAAGGTTTATAATAGAGATAAAAAGATTCATGTCAGACGAAAAATGGCAAAGAGCACGGCTCAAAAGGTGACTGAGGCGGTGGTTGAATGTAGTTAAGAGGCGGACATGGCTCAAGATGATGTTAATAAGAATTTTGATGAGTTTAGAAAATCAGAAGGTCGATGGTGACTAGAGGAAGTTCTAAGTTCACTAAACAACCGTTTTTGATACTAAAAATATAATAAATATTCATGCAAATACTAACAAATTCTAGAAATAGTTGCCAAATCTTTGGAAAAATTAGAAGACCATTTAAAATAAACATAACGGGAGTATCTATTACAGATCTTCAGTATTATACAGAAAAGACATTTAAAATAAACATAACAGAGTCTCTATTACAAATCGTGAGTATTATATAGAATAACAAAAAACAATATAATATATTTTAGAAATATATAAATGATGATTAACCGAAAAACAACCCCGCGCTTGCGCGGGTATAATCTCTAGTACAGTCAATACTTAATGGTTCTGGTTTGTACTGAATTCTAGATGGCCGAGTGGTAAGGCGGGGGACTGCAAATAGGTACTGTAGCTGGTATTCTTGTGATCGGTTTAATAGGTATTTTCTTTGATGGTTCATATTCAGGATTAGGTTCATCTCTGTAGAAATTGCGATCTTCGAAACCAATCACGCTCCGGAAAAAAAATCTCAATATCATATTCGTTTAGAAGAAAAACAAAAATTGCTTTTTCATTATGGTCTTACGGAACGCCAATTACTAAAATATGTTCGTATCGCCGGAAAAGCCAAGGGGTCAACAGGTCAAGTTTTATCACAATTACTTGAAATGCGTTTGGATAACATTCTTTTTCGATTAGATGACGAAGGTGAAATACTATCTCCAAAAAAGCATGACTTTCTCCAGACCCTAGGTAAAAGAATTTCACGTTCCTTCTTTCGGGAAAGGAGGATTAGGAAAATCCTATTGATTGCAGGTTTCTCCAGACCCCCGGGAAAAGCATGAAAAAAGTCGGCCAGTAGTGCTATGAACTGCAGAACAAACCGTTAAGAATTTCATGACCTATATTGAAATTTCATTGACCAACCTGGTATTTTATGGCCTCTGGTGAAGTTTGAGCGAATTTGAACGATGGATTGACACTTCCTTCACAAAATCGTCAATTCGGCTCCGGGAAGGAGTTTCCTTGGCCATCCGAAGTTTGGCTCGTTCCTTTTCGTTCCTTCCTGAATAAATATGTTAGTTAAGCTTCAAGAAGTTGTTTCCAACCGGTGGCTGCGCCTATGCCTTGATTTGGTTTTGTCGGCCATTTGTCTTGCCCGTTCTCGGCCGGATGTGGCTTCATTGGTCTATCTCATGAACCGTGATGTATTCTCCGTCCTATCTTTTGGATTTGCAGACCAAAATCTGATTTTATGGTCGCTTGTGCAGTTTGGTGGACTTGGCTCACGCAGTTTAGGAGTTGGCCGAGAATTGTTCTCCTTGTACGCGTCATGGCCGAGAAAATGTGCCGGACTGAATTTCTTCAAATCTGTTCGGGCCAATTGAGATATGCTTCGACTGAATCAAGTTTCTATCCCTTCTTTATCATTCCCATGTGTTGAGCGCCTTGTTTCGTGTGATGGCCTATGAATCTCCTTTCAACCTCCCTTTGGCCGCCATATGAATGTTGGTTTTAGGTTGGTTACAGCCTTTCTCCATGTCTCCTGCCTGTCAAATGGTTAACTCCTTGCAAAACACTTGAAATCACTTATTAGATGGTTTCTTCGATTTAGATCCTGAAGTAACCAACTTGAGGTTCACAATCCAAGATAATGAAGTACAAACTATAAACAGTTTTTGGGTCTTGGTTAATGATCCCAAACTATAAACAGCCTATCTCCATGTCTCCTGCACGTGACGATACGGACTTGGTAAACGAACGATGCGACCAAGCGCTGATCCGTATCCAGAACTATCAGCAAGCGACGGCCATATACTACAACATCAACGTTCGAAGCAGATGGTTCGGAATAGGAGAATTGGCCCTACGCAAGGTCTTCCAAAACACCGCCGAGCTGAACGCAGGAAAGCTGGGCACAAACTGGGAAGGTCCCTACAAGATCACCGATATCATGCGACCCAGAGCCTACAAACTCGAAGGGATAGACGGAAAAACGATACAAAAGCCTTGGAACGTGATGCACTTGAAGAAGTACTACCACTAGAGCCTCCCAACGCTCATCAAACAGAACTACGCACGGTTTGATTCTCGCAAGGGATACGTAGACAGTTTGTCTTCAGACGGATTCAGTACAGAAAAAAAAAAAAAAAAATCCAACTCGGAACCAAAAACAAAAAAAAAACCAACTCGGAATCACTTAGAACTACGCGTGACTTGATCCTTGCAAGATGTACGTAGGCAGTTCATCTTCGGATGGATTCAGTTGCCCCTCCCCAAAAAAAAAGGGGGAGGGGGGGAAAGGGGAGTGGAGTACGTATACTCGTATACTCTCATTCTTTGTAGCAAAGTCACAATCAATAAAACACATTTTTCCTATTTTCAGCTTGAAATTTTCCACAGTTCGCAATATCTTTTGTTTCAATTCGCATCACGCCATTCGAGACTCTTCGTTCGTTGCTGGCCACAGTGGACGAGCCACAACAATCCTTTGCGGATTTTCGTAAACGCGCATGTAGACCGTCTTGTTTCAACTCGTAACTCCTAAAGAAGGACATTGCGACAAAAACCGGAGAAAAAACAAACGCAACCCCGCAGCTAAACGCTTCTAGGTAATTAAAAACGAACTAAGTATAGGTTGTTTGGAATCATTCAAATAAGACTTGTACAAACAGTTCGCCTACTCTTTCTTTGCAAAAATCGCAACACAACCAACTTTGGTTCACACACAAGGATTAAAAATCCAAAAATGTTCCATAAAGCCGAACCAGTCAAAAGCGGATAAACCCATCCACGCAATTTGTCCAAAACGAAACAAAACAACGCCAAAGTGTATAAAGCCGTCCAGGCACTAAGTCAAACAAAAACAAACTCTGAAGATAGAGACAAAAAATACTCGGGCTCGCGACCAGAAGTGCCTTGAGCTCGGCGTCTCCGTCGTCTCGCGCCTCGATGTCCGTGCCGTGCTGATCGAGGAATCCAACTGACACGGCGATCTTCTCAACCGGCTCGGCATCAAAGGCGGGCTTCGGGTCGGCGACTACAACGGTCTCAAGCTCGCAAGCGACAAACGACAAACCAGAAACCTCCTGAATCTTAGACTCCGGAGCAATGGGAGACGAACCAATGACTGTCTCGGTCGCGACATTCAAAGCGCTGGGCGACGGAGTGGGAGTAAGAGGCAGCAATCCCAGCTCGGAAACAAGACCAGCAACGATGCCGTCATGCTTCCCATACACATCATCCAACCCAACTTTGTAACCATTGATCTTGTCCACCTCAGAGTCGAGAGAAGGCGGCTCGGCACCCTTGAGGAGAACGATGAGCTCCAGATTCGCATCCATCTGAGAGAGCTCCACTTCCTTATCCTTAGCGGCCACAACTGCCATGAGAGCCAACCTGTCTTTGTCGATCTTCAACTGAAACACAAATCAGAGAACAAAGATGAAATTAAGAGCTCACAAAAGAACAAACTAAGTCGATCTGAATTCAAAAAGAGACGAGCCAATCACGAATAACCTGGAACTCGGCCGTGAGCTCTTGCTCGAGCGCCTCCAGTGCCTCCTGAACCGCGGACTCTTACTGATCCTTCAGCAAAGCAAGTGCACCCTCAACCTTACCCTTACGGCGTTCGGCAGCCGAAAGGAGGTCGGACTTCAGCTCCAAGTCCTTCTGGAGAGCAGCGTTCTCCTTCTCAAACCTCACAACCTTGGTCACACTCAAGTCCATTTTCGCTTCGTGCTTAAGAGCGAGCGTCTCGATGGCGTTCTCCAACTCGGATTCACTCTTGGAGGTCGCTGCGAGAAGCTTCTCGTTGAGGTCCGCCACTTTCTTCTCTTTGTCGCCGAGTTTGCTGGAATCCTTGCAAGCCTTCTCCTCATACTCGATCACCATCTTGTTGATGAACTCAACGAACTGAAAAGTCAACACAGAAGAAGAAAACGTTTCACCCTGAGAAGAGAAGCACCAAAACAAGAACAAGACAAAAGAAGAACGAGTAAAAACGACATCACATACCCTCGATCCTTGGCTAGACATCTCGCCATAAGCCTTGGGCTGCGAAATCGTGTCCGCTGATAGGAAGCCAACCCGCGATGACGAAGAGAAGTGCGTGTCAACGCGAACGGCAGCACGCTCACGGCTCGGCTCGCCGTCCTTGGCAGTCTTGGAACTCTCCACGCGTCTCTTCTTCTTCTCTGCACTGCGGCTTGGCGCATCCTTATCCGAAACAAGTCGCTTGCGGCTAGGCGCATCACCGTCTTCCTGCGCAGATGAGAGACCCTTCGAGAAGCTGCAAAGAAGGGAGAGCGACCACAAGGTCTCGGCGCAGAGAGTCATAAGGTGGAGGGATCGTCTTGGAAGCACTCGGAATAACCTTCCCTTTCTTCTTCAGATCCGAAGTAGGTGGAAGCCTCGGCTCGTTGGACTATGGATCGCGGAGGCTCGCAACAGGGGTCTCCACGGAAGAGCTCGGCGCGAAGCGAACAAGTGAAGTCTGCTTGCCTTATCTCACTCTTGTCATGAAAGGAGGGTTGGGGAGCCATCTTCAAACCAAGCTCGGAACATGTCGGGGATGGATCGTTGATGTACTTGCATTTTGCATAGTTTTAGTACATCTTTTATGCATCTTTTGCATAGTTTTAGCATCCATTAGCATCATATCTTGTTCCTTTTCCCTTCTTATGCATTCATTGTAGTTTTAGGTTGCATTTGCATACATGTGCATGTTTGATCCTTAAACAGGTCTTTTGGAGCATTTTGGAGCAATTGGGACGTGAGGAGCAAGGAAGGACTTGATGCATGGATTCAGCTCCGCGCATGCTTAGGATGAAGAAGGAAGCCGTCTTGAAGTCAGCTCGACCCATCTACTCGACCAACCGGTCGAGTTCCTCAACTCGACCGGCCAAGTTCCAACTCGATCGAGCTGCGGAGTCAATGGTCAAACCCGAAAAATGTTGCTTCCCTTTGACTCCCCTTTGACCCTAAACCTAATCTCTTTTGTATTTAAAGGCTTGTAGCCACGAAAAAGACAAAAGCAACTTCTTTAGCTTTTTTTAATTTTGTAATTTACTTTTTGCAAAACCTTAAGCCTCTCTTTGTGTTCTTGAGCTCTTGCTCTTGAACCTTAGATCTAGGCTTATCTTTTGTATTTGCACTTGCTTATTTCAATAAAAGTTCTTTAGTTTCATTCCCTCTTTCATTTTAATGTCTCTTTCATTGCATTTGATTATGTATTTCATCATGTGTAGTGAGTAGTTCTCTTTAGGGTTTAAGATGGGCTAGACTAGAGGATTCTTATGCTTAATCTCTCTTGCTTTATGTTCTTAATCTAAAATCTCTCTCTTTTGGACAAGCCTTAAGGCTACACGACCACTACCATGGCATGTATGAGTCTAGGCGATTTTCCTCATGGGAATGTTGGGAAATCGCTTGAAAAGGTCCACTAAGAGCTCCAATATGCTTGCTCTCGAAATGGAGTTTATAGGTGTTGGATGGGTTAGTTTGAGCAATGATCCTACTGCCTCTAAGGCTTGATTCTCACTGGCTAACCCCCTGTTTCTGAGATCTTGCCTTAGATGATAGCTTTCACCTTGGGAAAGGGTTAGCTAGGCTTGAGAAGCTCAATACCAAGAGATAGCTTGAGTACAAGTGGTTAATGAGCAAGATTGATTAAGTATAGTCTTCCCCTAGTCGCAAGACCCTGTCTTAGACCCTAACCTTCGTTTAGTATTAAAGTTTGCACTTTATCGCTTTTCCTCTGTTTTTACTTCAACTCGATCGAGCCAGTTACTCTGTTCTACTCGATCGAGTCTTGGTCGAGCTGCTTTTATTTACTGCTTTTTCTTTTGCATTTTTCATTTCATTAGGTTGTTTACATCCATCCTTTACTGTCTGCTTGACTTTTGTGTTTGCATATTCTCATAGAGTAGCAACAAACCCTTATTGATAACCTCTTATACTACATCGACTATGATGGTTAAGAGGAATTGATTGATTGTGATTGCACCATACCATCTCATCTTTATTCACCCTGTTTGCATTCCACCTCATATCATTACATCATTTCATTCACCATATCATACGCAAAATCCTATCATCAATTTGGCGCCGTTGCCGTTTGGGTTTGATATTGTTGCATTTGAGTTTCCAAATCACTTGGACGATCAAGCTATCCCACCTTTTGTTATATGTATTTCTGGGTTTTTGATTTCTTTTTCAGGTGTATGCGAACTCGATCGAGCTCTTCAACTGAAGACATAGGCAGAAAACAGAGAAAGAAAACTCAGAGGCAACAAGCAGAACCAGAGGTGGTTGTTACTGAAACAATGGATATACCAGAGGGTAATGGACTCGGTCGAGCTAGGCAGACTCGACCGATTGGTCTAGGAGATGCTCCAAACCGCCATCAACAAAGACAAGGATTGTCCACCACCTGTCCAGAACCACAACTTTGAGAGATCAAGCTGGGTATGATCAATCTAGTGCAGAACAAGATGTTCCATGGATTGCCAAGTGAAGACCCATTGATCACCTTGATGAGTTTGATAGGTTGTGTGATTTGAATAAGATCAATGGTGTCTCTGAAGATGCCATCAAGCTGAGACTCTTCCCTATGTCTCTTGCTGACAAGGCTCACCAATGGGAGAAGAGCCTACCCATGGTACAATCACCACTTGGGATGATGCAAGAAGGCTTTTCTTGCCAAGTTCTTTTCAACCGGTCGCACGCCAAGCTAAGGAGTGAGATTTCATACTTCATTCAGAGGAACAATGAGACTTTTGCTGAAGCTTGGGAAAGGTTCAAGGGCTACACAAGTCAGTGCCCTCATCATGGATTCAACAATGAGTCCTTACTCTCTATACAAGATGTTTGGCAAGGTATAGAGAGATGCTAGACACAGCCAACAATGGAAACTTCCTTAACCAGGATGTGGAGGATGGCTGGCAGCTTGTGGAAAACATTGCAAACTACAATGGGAGTTATGGAGAGGAGTATGACCGCACCAACCGGAGCTCGACCCAACACTCGATCGAGTCCGATGAAAATTTGAGAAAAGAGGTCAAATCATTGAATGAGAAGTTGGATAAGCTTATCTTAGCTCAGTCCACAATGAAGAAGGTCAATTTTGTGTCTGCTGAAGAGATGGAACCTGTTCAAGAAGGGGAGGATACACAATATGCTGAAGTTTGTTACATGAGCAATGGGCAAGGAGGTTACAACAAAGGATATTACAACTACAAAGCCAACCCAGCCATGTCTTACATAAACATTGACGTTGCCAACCCATAAGATCAGGTTTACCCTCAACAACAGCAAGCTTGATCGAGTCAAGCTCCTCAACATGGGTATGGTCCGAAAAACAACTACCAAGGCCCTTAAGGGACTTTTCCTGGTCAGCAAATGCACATACCACATGGCTTTCCCCACCAACCACGTGGCCTAGGACTTGGATCGATAAGGAAGAGATATATCTAATGTGTGGAGTCTTCCTTGGTGAAATGCTGGCCCATACACATCGTGAGACTTTAAACCCGGCTCATGGAAAACTTTCTTTTTTCGGCACTTCTATACCCTAACCGACCTATGACCTACATATACCTTTTTTTAGCTTCATAAGAAAGAGAGACGTGTGTGCGCCGTCAGAGAGGAGAGAGAGCCGTCCTGTAGAGCATAAGAGTTGGAGAGAAGAGGCGATTCTCAGGATTCAAGACATGCACACACACACACACAAACCTTTACACTTTGTTCTTTCTTTTTCTCTTGCATTTTGTTATTTCGGATTTGAGAGTTTCAAGGGAGATTTAGACTTGTTCTTCAATAGAGAAGATTTCTTCACCCTTTATCTCTTTTAATACTCACATAATGCTTTCATACATCTCTTGCTTGTTTGTTTGCATCATGGCTTAGTAGTCTTATTGTTGGGTTTGAGAGTTTTCAAAGGGTTTTCATGGATTGGTTGTTAGGTTGCTAGATTTGGGTTTTATCATTAAAGTTCTTCATCCAAGTTTGTGCTTATTGCTTATAACTGGATTGACCATCTATGCTACTGCTCTTAGGTAGATTTACTTTTTGACCGTTTGTTAAGTCACTTGAATCAACTTGGATGAGCAAGGTGAAGTAACCTATGGAAGTAGAATTACAAAGCCTTGTGGACAAATCGAATTTGGAATATTTATGCTTGTTTAACCACTTGATTACCCACGGGAGTAGTGTAATCTTAACTTGTTAGACATTTTAATTGACACTGCGGGAGTAAGTTGATTATCTATTCATAATTCGAGATTTTGAACAAAACTATTGATTTCCCTATCTACTTGATTAAATCTATGAAACCTTGCGAATTCTCTTGTGCCCAATGTTTTTCCCTATTGATTTGATTGCTTGTTATACTTGAGTTTAAGCTCACTAATAGTTCTTTTCGTCAGTGTTCACAACCCTAAAACCAAACCCTCATATTTTAGTTTTAGCTAAGTTTTAATCTCACAAGCTGTTAGTGTAACTTTTCTGGTCCTTGTGTTCGATAACCCATACTACCAACGATCCGTGCACTTGCCTTATCTACTAATAGTTGGGTAAAACTTGACCCACATCAGACAAGCAAGAGGGATAAACAATGGGAAAAGAATGTCCAGATAAGTATATAGTATCCATGAGTTGATAGCAAATGCAAGCAATGGTAATTAAAGATCAAGTTTAGGGTTCAAATAAATAGGGAAATGCATCAAATCACAGCAATGAGATGTGCATGCAGTGATTAATCAAGTTAAACATGGTGCTTTCTTGTTCATTAAATCTCACCCTAATGCACAAAAGAATCTAGACATGGGGCACTTAACAGATCTCATAAGAAGGCAAGTTCACAAGGTTAAATCAACAATGCACAACAAAACAAAGCTAAATGATGCAATCCTAAAACAGTTCTAACAAATAAGAATGCAAAAATATGAAATATTTTTGGATTTTTGAAATTTTCTCAATTTTTAGTGGTTTTTTGTGCAAATAAGATGATGCATGAAAAATTGAACTAAGAACAGAATAACCAAGGTTAAAACTTCTCTTGAACCCTCGTCCAAACTTAAATCACACAGTCCCTTGTGTGAAAGAAGTTCAAAGAAAGATTCAAGAGGGAAAAACCAAGAAAAAATGCATGAAAATGAAATGGTATTTACAAGAGAAGGGATGTTTGAAACCTTAGTGCTCCCCAAAAAATTGGGAAGCAAGGTCATGGGAAGGAGAGGGCAGGCGACAATCAAGAGCACTCCAAGGAGCATCATCCATGCAGCCTTCATCATCATCATTGAAGTATGTGTGGTGGCCCTGAGCTTGGCTGAGTCTAGAGCGCTCAAACCGGCTGTTGGGGTTCCAGTTGCTGTGATAGAAGTCCTGGTAAGGCGCTTATTCAACCTCAAAGACCGGATGCTCCTACTGTGGCTCCTCTAGCTCAACTTGATCCTCAACTCGATCGAGTTGAGGTTCATCTGCTTGGGCTCGATCAAGTTTGTTGGTGGAGTCAGAACGGCGGGTTCTAGAACTTCTTCTCCTCCGCTGTCTACTGGCTTCTGCTTCTCTTGGCTCGTATAACAAGGCTCTGGGAGGTTCTTGAGCTGGGATTTTCCTTGGTTGGGTGAGAACATAGCGACTCCTAAGGAAAGGAGGTGTGGAAGTTGCCTTGGACTTCTTTGATGAAGATCCCTTGACTTTCTTCTCCAAACTCTTAATTTTGTTCACCATCTTGTCCATGGACTTCTGCATCTTCTCCATGGCCTTCCTTTGCCACTTGTTGAACTTTTGGAGAAGTCCAATCCTTTTGTGAGCAGCCAAAACAGAGGAATTCATCCTTGGAGCTTCATACTCATCAAAGTAGTAGCAATCAGGCTCGCCTACCTCTTCATTAGCTTGAATCTCCTGCTCCATAAGCTCAGGCGCTTGTTCAGCTTGCTCCTCAGCTTGATGCTCAGCTTCATGCCCAATAAGCATGTCAAGTGGTGGCCAAAAATCAAAGTTCTCTCCTTCTCTAACGGTTGTGTAGGCAGGGCTTGGTAGGAGCATCTTGGAGGTCCAGGTTCAGGGTGCTTGAACAAGAATTGGTACATCCCACTCTCCTCCTTGTGATCAATGAGGGTGTTCACCTTACAAAACTTAATTTCCATCCAACCAGGCGCTGTACTCTGATGATGAGTTGTATCTACACCTCCAGCTAGCAAGATAGGTGTGATAAGGCCTCCTACACTCAACTTCCTCTTAGACATGAAGCGATTATTGTAGGCTGTGACCTTGTAGTTCAAGAGTTGATCCAAGAAGGGAATGAGTGTCTCAGTATCTGAGGTATCTCCATGGATGTGTTTTCCATTTCTCATGAAAGGGAGAATTGTTTTGAGCCCCATATCAAGCATTTGGAGCTCTCCCTCAGTGATGGTGCATGTGGTCTTCCTTGCAAAGAAAGAGTTGGTCAGCGCCTTGTGCACATATCTAAGGACTGGACTCCTGATTTGAGCAGCCTTAGATCTTAAAGATGAGTAAACAGCATCAGCGATTGTGATCCAAACCCCTTGAAGATCATTCTTGTCAAAACTCCACTCAGTTCCTTCTCCATAGTTAAATCCAAACAAGACTTCAAGATGCATGAATGTGACCTCTCGCTCTACACCATCAGCTGTGAAGGTGATCCAACCCAATCCTCTTTCCAAGTCTCTCCTTTCAACCTTTCTGTACGTGTGATATCTCAATGAAGCTAGGGACTCACAAGTCAGGTCCTTATATGACTCCATCCTGTAAGAGAGGAACTTGGCCAAGTGCATGTTCGTGAGGACTAACTCCACATCCACAAAGATCCCAAGCTCTTTCATTGTATCATCATGAGGGTATTTGGTTTCCACAAACTCCATGGAAAAGAGAGCATCATAGTGGTCTTGGAAATTGGGGAGGCCATCATCTTCTTCAGCTTGTGGTGGTACAACTGATGAAAGGATATTTGCGTGATGGTGGAATGAAATGTGTATGATATGATATGAAATGCAAACAAGGGTGGAATAAGGATGAGATGGTATGGTGCAATCACAATCAATCAATTCCTCTTTAACATCATAGTCAATGTAGTATAAGAGGTTATCAATCCATAAGAGTTTGTTGTCACTCTATGAGAATATGCAAACAAAAGAAAGTCAAGCAAATAGTAAAAAGGTGATGGAAGTAATTCTACCTATTATGAAATGAAATGCAAGCAAAAGCAGTAAATGAAAGCGGCTCGACCAAGGGCTCGATCGAGTAGGAACAGAGCAAATGGGCTTGATCGAGTTGTGGGTCGAGTTAGTGCAAAAACAGAGAAAAGCTAATAAAGATGCGAACTTTAAGCTACTAGGACGAAGATTAGGGCTAAATACAGGGTTTTGCAGCTATAGGGAGGCTATACTTAATCAACCTTGCTCTTAAACAACTTGTATTCAAGCTATCTCTTGGTATTGAGCTTCTCAAGCCTAGCTAACCATTTCCCAAGGTGAAAACTATCATCCAAGGCAAGATCTCAGAAACAGGGGGGTCAGCCAGTGAGAATCAAGCCTTAGAGGCATTAGGATCATTGCTCAAACTCAGCCATTCAACACCTATAAACCCCATTTCGTGAGGCAAGCATGTTGAAGCTCTGAGTGGACTTATTCAACCGATTTTCACTCATTCCCATGAGAAAAATCGCCTAGGCTCATACACACCAGGGATAGTGGTTGTGTACCTTTAAGCTTAGTCCTAAACAGAGAGATTTTAGGTTAGAAACATAAAGTAAGAGAGATTAATCATAAACAACCTCTAACATATCTCATCTTAAACCCTAAAGGAAACTACTCACTAATCATAACGAAATAAACAACCAAATACAATAAAGGAGACATTAAAAGATAGAGGAGATGAAACTAAGGAACTTTTATTGAAATAGACAAGTACAGAAATACAAGGATAAGGCCTAGATCTATGGTTCAAGAGCAAGAGCTCAAGAACACAAAGAGAGGCTAAGGTTTAAAGAGAAAATGCAAATTACAAACTTTTTTAAAGAGTTAAAACAAAGAAAACCTAAAAAGAAGGTTGTCTTTTTCGTGGCTACAAGCCTTTAAGTAGGAAAGAGACTAGGTTTAGGGTTAAAAAAGAGTCAAAGGGAAAGCAACATTTTTCGGGTTTGACTTTGACTCTGCAGCTCGATCCAGTTGGTCTTGGCCGGTTGAGTTGGTGAACTCGACTGGTTGGTCGAGTAGATGGGTCGAGCTGACTTCAAAGGCGGCATCCTTCTTCATTCCAAGCATGCGCAGTCAAGCTGAGTCGATACACAATGTCCTACCTTTCTCCTCACGTCCCAATTGCTCCATAGTGCTCCAAATAGACCTGTTTAAGGATTAAACATGCATGTAAATGCAACCTAAAACTACAATAAATGCATAAGAAAGGAAAAGAAACAAGATATGATGCTAATGAATGCTAAAACTATGCAAAAGATGCATAAAAAATGTACTAAAACTATGCAAAATACAAGTACATCAACACCCTCAAACTTATCATTTACTTGCCCTCAAGCAAACAAATAGAACAAGGAAGAGATGAGGTTGAAAACAAGTTGATTCAATCTTAAAAACATGTACTCAAAAGCGATTTGCTAAATGTCCAACTTAGAGATTCTAGAATGCAACAAGGTGAGAGATATTCATTAAGATTTTAACCATGTTTATCAACATCAATCCCACTTCACAGTCACTCAAACAATGCATTCAAATCAGCAAATCCCTTTAACATTCATTAAGTAAAATCAGTGAACCAAAAACATGCAAGATCAATCAACTCATTTGGTTTAAGGGTTTATGGTTAAGAGACAAAGACGGGTCTCATTTTAGTGTTTGGTGGTTTAGTAACAGGGATCTCTCAAGAAAGTGGCTATGCTTTGGCAGAAGGCTAAGTGTTAGAACCAAGATGATGCAAGAGCAGTAACTCGAGCTACCTAATCCTAACTCGATCGAGTCTGAAACCCAGAGCCGAAAGAACAAATCCTAACTACCCTTTTGGCATTTGGGAACTTTTTTTTCTTTTCTTTTGAACACTTTTGAGGGAACTTTGCACTTGAGGCTTTGCCTTCTTTTCTTTACTTTAGAACCCTTTTTTCTTTCTTTTTACACTTTCCCAAACCTTTACTAGACCCTTTTAAACACTGCCAACTCCCTGGACTTAACCAAACTCTTTTCTCTTTTGTTTTCCCCAACTTTTACCACTTTTCTGGTTTTTACTCAACTCGCCCAAGTCCAAATGGACACCCCCAAACTTAGCCTGAAAACAACCCAAAGAGAACTAGATAACTAGAACTACTTCTCCTACCGGTTTAAACACAACACCTTATACTAAGCATAGCCAAGAAAAGGCCTCACAATCGCTCAAGAGATAACATGGGGGTTTGAAATGAAAAAGGCTTAGGTTTAGGGTGTGGTAACTGTCTCAAAGATGGAGATCAGCTATCTGGACAAGCAAGAGGGATAAAAATAGGCAAAGAATGTCCAGATATGTATGTGGTATCCATGAGTTGAAATCAAATGCAAGCATTGGTAATTTAAAGATCAAGTTTAAGGTTCAAATAGTAGGGAAATGCATCAAATCACAGCAGAGGTTAAATGAGATGTGCATGCAGTGATATGATCAAGTTAAATATGTTCCTTGTTGTTCAATCAATCTCACCCTAATGCACAAAAGAATCTAGAAATAGGGCACTTAACAAATCGCAAAAGATGAACAAGTTCACAAGATCAAATCAACAATGCACAATAAAAACAGAGGTGAATGATGCAATCCTAAACAAATCTAACAAGTATGAATGCAAAAAGATGAAAATATTTTTGGATTTTTGAAAATTTTATGATTTTTTGTGTTTTTCTATGCAAATAGATGAATGAAAAACTAAGAACAGAATAAACAAGGTTAACTCATCTCTTGAACCCTCCCCAAACTTAAATCACACAGTCCCTTGTGTGAAAGAAGTTCAATTGAAAGATTCAAGAGGGAAAAACCAAGAAAAAAAAAGAAAAATGCATGAAAATGAATGGTATTACATGGGAAGTGTTTGATACCTTAGTGCTCCCCAAAGAACTGGGAAGCAAGGTCTTGGGAGGGCAGGCGACCATCGGGGGAACTCCATTCCACAATGCTTGTGCATCCTTCATTTGCATGCTCTTCTTCATCATCATCAAAGTGAGTGTGGCTACCTTGACCTTGGTGGAGTCTAGCTTGCTCAAACCGGTTGTAGGGAGTCCAGTTGGTCTGATGGAAGTCCTGGTAAGGCGCTGGATCAAACTCATAGTCCGGATTTCAAATCCCGGCTCCTCAAGTTCAACTCGACCCTCAGCTCGACCGAGTCCGGTTTGCTCTGTTTGGACTCGATCGAGTCCACTGGTCGAGTCAGAACGTCGTACTCTTGAAATCTTCCTCCTCTTCTGTCTGTTGGCCCCTGCCTCTCTTGACTCGTATCATGAGGCTTTGGGAGGGTCTTGAGCTGGGAGTCTCCTTGGTGTGGTCAAAACTGAACGGCTCCTAAGAAATGGAGAGGTGAGAGTTGCTTTGTTCTTTTTGATGAAGATCCCTTGACCTTCTTCATAAAACATCCCAAATACTTAAAATATTTTCACAACAGAGCCTATTGCTCAAAACAACGATAAATACATTTCCAAAACGTTCTATTTTACAAAGACAACAAAAGCTACGCTGGTGGCCTAACATTCCTTGCTCCACTACTGGTTACCTGTAAGATGAAAAAGGGGATTGAGCGCTAGTCGCTCAGTGAGTAATGGCTACCTCTAACAAAATGACAAACCAACCCCAAAAATCTAAAATAACACACAATACACAATAATGTTAATTATAACCCTTAATTGATAATGCAACAATCAAACAAGAACATGCACAACCAATTAAAGATTACAACGAACACAAGTTAGATGTTTGCATTATCAAAAACATTTTCTAAAACTTTCTCCTCCTCAACCACTCCTTCTTCAACACACTCGTGCATTCGGATCTTCCCCGTGAACACCCATCTCACAGCCACACAAGCACGAAAGACAGAACATCACTACACAAGTTTCGTCTCCAAGACAGACCCGTTAATGCAAGTCCACGTTTTCACGGCTCACGCGAGTCCTGTCTCACAAACGACTCATAACCCGGGTTATCTATTTCATACTCAGCCATAGGCAGCGACCCCGTACCTCCGATTATTCTCATTTAACAGTATGTCGCCTAAATGAGGTGAAATAGCCCTCGGCCCTACGCTGCTATCCCGTACCTCCGAGTTTTCCCACTTAATAGTACATCGCCTAAGTGAGGTATAAAAGGAAG